TGTTGCATTGCAGCTAAAAATAGAGGGTTGATGGCAGGGAAATTTTGGTAGGGGTTCGGCTGCTGATAAGCTTGTTGGAAGGGCATTTGGAAGTTGAATTGTGTCGGTGAAGCGCTTTGAGGAAATGCTTGCTGAGGCTGCTGAGCAAAAGGTTGGAATGGAGCAAATTGCTGAGGCATCCCATAGACATTCTGCTGAGCCGGAGGATAGCTCGGCTGCTGGCTATAGTTGGAAGGTTGAGCCTGGGCATCGAACGGTCTCTGCTGCTGAGGGTAAGACGAACGGTCGTGGTATGAGCTATGCTCACGAGTTTCTCTTGAGCCTCCTGCACCACGGCCACGATTGCCTCGTCCACGGTCAGAGCCTCTACCCCGACCCCTACCACCACGGAAGGGTGGATTTCTCGAAGATCCTTCGCCCTCGACAGGCGCCTCTTGTTGACTCATCATTTCATGCAGATTCTTCGGGCGGGCAAGTGGAGTGTAGCCGTCTTCCGCTGTCGGGGAATCGTCGTAGTTGAGCTCAGTCTGGCTAAGTTTCGAAGGACCCGGCGGTCCTCTCCTGCCCCTAGACGGCCCGCCGTTTTCATTCCTGGCTTCCTTGCGCTCCTGTCGCTTCTGCTTCAATCTCCGCTTGTACTCGGCCTCTGCTTCGTCATCGGAGAATTCTATCTCATCCTCGCCAACTTCTTCGTCATGGAAGTTCGATGCATCGCTTCCCTTCAATCCTTTCAGAGGCTGAGTGAAGACGAATGTCGAATGCTCCTCAACGTAGTACACATTCTTTCCCTTGGAGAGACCACGCTCCTCGATCGCGGCAGCGCTGGGAAATCGAACCGCATACAATGGATTCTCAACCCGTCCCAAAGTCTCGGATACAACGCCAGCAACTGTTCGACCTTCAAGGCAGAGCAGAGAACCTGACTCGAGCACTTGGTATTCTCCGGAAACGTTGGCTGCAATAAGAAGGGTGTTTTCAACGATGGATTCCACATGTCCCAGATGCACGATCTTCATATCAGGCGTGACAGTGATTTCGGGGATTGGAGGGGCTTCCTCCGGTACTTCGTTTGCGGTCCTCAGGTTGCCGCCTGATCTACCCTTTCCTTCTCCCTCGTCATCAGAGCCATTTTCTGCCATCATCAGAATCCGCGCCGTTTCCTCGGCGGAGAGGATCGGATAGTCATCGTCTTCGTCATCGCTATCATCGGAAGAATCGGTGGTAGAATCGTCAGACGATGATTCATATGGCGAAGAATCAATCTCCCATTCGGGATGCTCCCCTTCCTCCTCTTCAGCTTCATGATCTTGCAAAGTGCCGGGGGCTGCATCATTTGTATTAGTCTCATCAACACGAGGTTCCTCTGCGGGCTGATTTTTGGCTTCCTCCTGCTCAGCCTGTTCCTTGCGTGGTTCTACATCCATCGGCTGGGCGTCTTCAGAAGCTGGCGCCGTCTGTACCTGGTTTGTTGTCTCCGCCGCATGCTGTGCATCCTTCTTGGTTACTTCCTTTCCAGTAGTCATATCGTGGGCCATTTCGTTATGCACGTCTTGTGCTGGAGCAGATTCCTCTTTAGCGGGTTGCGGGTCTTGAAGACTGTCATTGATGAGACTCAATCCTGGTATTAAAGAAGCAGGTTTAGATGATATTGTCGGCTCGCTAGTCATATCCGTATCCGTAGTATCTTTGTTCTCACTGCTATTATCCACTGGTGTTCCTGCCGCCCAGGGAGTGTTGTAGAAGTCACTGCCATCGTCCACAGGCGTCGATGCGATGGGTGGCGTATCCTTCATGCAGGGTCGTTTCGCCGAAGGGCCGTCATCGATGACATCTGAAGCTCCTGGAACATGTTCGGAGGGATTCTGTTCAGCCATTGTAATCCTCAGATTGCTGTAAAAAAATAAATCCTAAGCGATGATAGAACAAAGTAGTTGTGAAGAAACTGATTGTACTTCACGGGAACACTTTTTTTGAATCTGCCAAAAGTGCCGCTGCGGCCGCCGAACAAGCTCCGTTATCGTTATCGCGTCCGTCCTCATCATTTGTCCATTCCCAACCACAATATTACCTAGTATCAAAGTCCATCAACAAGCATCCAGGTTTGATAGTTCTTCGAGTCTCTGTCCTCGAGAACAATCAGTATGGCTCCGGCCAGAAAGGAGTCCCAGTCAACAAATGGCTCTCAAAGGACAAAGCGACGGTATCTCAACCTACATGGCATCACTCGCGTTTCAGCTAACAATCTGTGCTCCTCGCAGCTCCCGACCAGTTCCTTTCTATCTCCCTTTGAACGTCACACTATATGTGTTCCTTATTTCCAATTTTGTCGCTGCGGCACTTGCTCCGATTCAAGACTGCGATGAAGTCTTCAATTTCTGGGAACCCGCGCACTACCTCGACCACGGGTACGGGCTACAAACGTGGGAGTATTCTCCCGCCTATTCAATTCGAAGCTGGCTCTACGTTTCTGCCCATGCTGTGGTTGGCAAAATAGTGTCGATTTTCTCGAGTAATAAGACATCCGAATTCTATGCTATACGGTTCGTTCTGGCAGCAGTCTGCGCCGCCTGCGAGACGAGACTATACTCAGCAATCTGTCGGACATTGAACCCCAGAATCGGTCTCCTCTTCCTGATCATTGTCGCTTTCAGTCCGGGAATGTTCCATGCGTCTGCAGCATTCTTACCGTCGAGTTTTACCATGTATACTTCTATGCTAGGTCTTGCATCTTTTCTGGATTGGAGGGGAGGCCAGAAGACGGCGCAGGGCATTATGTGGTTCGGTCTCGGAGCAATCATGGGCTGGCCATTTGCCGGAGCTCTGATCATTCCTCTTCTCCTTGAGGAGGCCGCGATCAGCTTCATCGCCGGGACTCTTGGAAGTTTGTTTGTGGGTATATTCAAGGGCATTATGAGATGTCTCGCTATTCTAGTGCGCTTCTTCCGGTTACTCCTTCTGCGATTCTCGCTAACCGATATAGGGCGTCGGAATCGCGGTTGACTACTTATTTTTCCAGAAATTCGCCATTGTGCCGTGGAACATTGTCGCTTATAACATCTTCGGAGGCGAAGGCCGGGGGCCTGATATTTTCGGTACAGAGCCGTGGACGTTCTACATCAAAAATCTGCTTTTGAACTTCAATATATGGTTTGTATTGGCCGTGTCTGCTGCGCCGATACTTGTTCTTCAGGCTATATTCCGTTCTCAAACCACCAACGTCCAAACGCTCTTACGGACCGTGACTCTGGTGACGCCATTTTATATGTGGTTGGCCATCTTCACTGTCCAGCCTCACAAAGAGGAGAGGTTCATGTATCCCGCCTACCCTTTCCTTGCACTCAATGCGGCCATCTCCTTTCACATGATCCTCTCTTACGTCGGATCAAGTAACCCCAAAGAGATCATTGGAAGATTGTCACCGAAGGTCAAACTGACCATGGTGATGGCTGTAATTCTTATGGCTATTAATGCCGGGCTACTGCGGACTCTTGGTATGATCACGGCGTACAATGCACCCCTAAAGGTGATGGAGCCGCTGCAACAGTTGGAAATGGCACAATCCGGTGGCTTTGTGTGCTTCGGCAAAGAGTGGTATCGATTCCCTTCATCATACTTTCTCCCAAACGGAATGCGTGCGAAATTTATCAAGAGTGAATTTCGAGGATTGCTTCCTGGAGAATTTCCGGATGCCCCAAGCTATTCGGGTCTCATCCAAGGCACCTCGCAAATCCCTGCTGGCATGAACGATCGGAACGAGGAAGACCTTGGTAAATACGTGAGTGATCTTTGTCGCATATTAATTCTTGTTCCCGAGCTGACATAAACAAGGTCGATATCTCTCAATGCTCATATCTGGTGGACTCATCCTTCCCCGGACGAGCTGCCACAGAACTGGAGCCTGACTATGTGCACGACGAATCAGAATGGGAGACGATAACCTGCAAGGACTTCATCGACACGTCCCAATCAAGCGCGCTAGGTCGATTGATTTGGGTTCCTGATTTCCCTATGTTGCCAGCTCGTTTCCGCAGAAGCTGGGGGCAATACTGTCTTCTCCGTCGGCGGAACGCCAAATCAGAGTAAAGTAGACGGCCTGATATTCATCACATCTCTTTTAGCGTACATAATTCTCGAGCCGTTACCCAAGTTCGTGCACCATATGCGATCTCGCAGGCGAGACACCGCGTGGTCAAAAGAACTACAGGCGGCACTATGACCTTACCTGATTTGGATAAGAAATCCCTTGCGTGACGCCAACTCTGAAGGCAAATAGAGATAAGATATCTCTCCGCACGGAATGACGCCCATGCAGACTTACAGTTTACGAAGCAGGCTCTGTGTTTGGCCAGTTGATGGTCGCATCGGATTAACGCAAATGGAAATCATCCTTGTACTGTCAAGCGAGTCGCCTCTATTGAGCTGGACAATGTGCATACGAATATGGAGTGGCGGGGTGGCCTCTTATCTGTTCAACAGTTGTCTCGTCTTCATATAATAGCAATTAACTCTGAGGCACACGGTCATAGAAGATTTCAGGTTACCCCTCCTCTGGATTTTTAGACGAGGAATGAAACCATGCTTCCTGAACTTGTACAACTCGGCCAGCTTCACATCAAACATGCAGCATCTCTATGTTTGGTAGCAACCTTGATCTGGCTTGCTACTTCTGTGTTTCGCTTCTCGAACAAAGGAAGCGACAGAAGATCAGCTCAAGATCTCGAGAGAAAATCGTATTCAACATCACTGATTCAAAAGCCAAACAGAAAACCCGGAGGTAAGACACGTCCGTAGGCATCCGAAGCTCTTGACTCGCACTCAATGTCTCTCTGCAGAATGGATACCGTCAGACTTCAAGAGGCCGACCGCCTCTCCATATCCAGACTGGGATGTCCATGCGACCAAGCCGATCCCATATCGACCATTCAGATATGGCCCGTGAGTCGCCTCGGATGTGGTTTTGGATTCCCATGACTGATGTACACAGGAAGTATTTCATCACGATGGGGTTGAGAAGCATGAAGTGGGATGAATGGATCGGTAAGGCATCTTCACATACCACATCCATGGCTTCAGTGACGCTCACAGAAGCTCTAGAGCTGGACAGCCACTACCTACGGTATCACGCCGACAAAGCACGTCGGATCAAGGAGAGGGGAGCGAAATGCTGCAGAACCGCACCTGAGGCGATGGACGGTGCCATTGAGCTACTGGAAGAGCTGTGTGTGCCAACGCCCTTTACCCAGACAGCATAACACAACCTTACAACTTAATACAATATAGCACCTCCTACCTCCCCGAAAGATACCCCTCCATGTTCCGCAAAACCGCAACAGGCATCGCCAACACCATCACCGGCGAATCCTTCAACACCACCCAGCGCCCCCTCCCCGAAGACCCCATGACGACCTGCGCGCGACTCATCCAAGACGACTTGGCGCTCATGTTCGAAAAGCCCGACGGCGAGTACTACCTCCTCGCAGGCGCGATCCTTCTCGCCGGCTTCTGGCGCCTCGAAGACAAATTCGGCATGCGCCTCTCAGAGATCCACACCTCCGGCGACGTGCCGGGCTTCAGGACCAAGCTCGAAAAGGGCATGATGAACTTCTTCCGCCGGATTCGGCCTGAAGACCCCGTGCTTCGCAACAACTACTTCATCCAGGTCGACGACGAGCTCGCCTGGTCGCATAGTATCGGGTCCGAGGACGCGGCCGTCGTCTCGTGGAACACCGCGCAGAAGAACAAGGCCATCGAGCACCATTACTTCCGGTCGGAGAGGCAGAGTCTGCGCCGGCTGCCGCGGTCCGGGGCGGTGGTATTTACGATCAGGACGTACTTTGAGCCGATCACGGAGATTGCGAAGGAGCCGTATGTGCCTGGTCGGCTTGCCTCTGCGATTCGGAGTTGGGATGCGGATGTGTCGCGGTACAAGGGGCGGGAAAAGTACGAGGAGGTGTTGCTGGAGTATCTGGATAAGAAGCATGCGGAGCAGGTTGCTGCGGGCCTGGATTTGCACAAGGAGGATGAGGTTCGAAGTTATCCTTTTTGAGCTTTGGCCCGGCGATGTTACGGCCTATCTTCATTCTCTTGAATAATATCGTAATTTGATACCTTTATGGGACAATTTTATCCAGAGATGCTATATACACTCATTCTAATGATATATCGCTAAACGAGCTCAGCAAAAAGCGTAGTCCAAGGCAAGTCTGTGCCTGGTGTCACCAAAATCCAAGTAGAACTGCACATTGTATGATTCAAACAGCAGCATCAAGACCCTTCGAGCTCTTTTTCCGCCTCGCCATGGACCATTCTCTTTCCTGCCGCCAGGAGCATTCCTCACGGAACTCGCATATGCGGCACTTCCATGCTTCCATGATCTCGACGCCGCGCGGGTCACGATTACCGCGCCACCAGTCCATCTGATCGGAGAGATAGGATGACATGGAGTTTGGATCGAAAAGAAAGCTACGGCTGCCCAGGACACGGGTGTGAAGGTCTGCCGTGGGTGCGGAGGAGAGATAGCGTGCTGTCAGAAGAGGTGATATGATCGTCGGGTATGGTTCTAGCATGCTAGGCTGGAATTCCGAGGGGATAGAGGGCGCAACGGAGACGGAGGGTTGCGGCGAGGGAAGGAAAGTAATGCGGAGTTGGTCTTTCATAAATTTCCAGAGACTGGACAGGTTATTGTGTTCCAGGAGGATACTGGTTGAGTCCTGGCTTGCGGAGGGGAGGGATCCCGATGACCGGATGGACGGTCTGCGTGCCGCATCTTCCGGAGAGGGGATGAAGTCTGGATCGAATTCGGAGGCTGAAAGAGCGTCGAAGAATTGATCATTCAGGCCGCCAACTTCGGCGATAAAAGCGTCGGTGAAAGTACGATGAGGGTCTAAGTCGTAGCGGGAGGCGAGCGTCTCGATGGACACCTCATCGGTGGTGGTTAGATGGTTCAGCATGTGGTAGTAAATTTGGAGCTGGAGCAGCGTCGGCCGAAATGACGTGCTCTTGATGGTGGGTATGGAGCCGCTGGCTCGCGTTTTGATGTCTGTGAGGTAGACTCGAGGGATGTTGAAGGCCTCGGACGATTGGGTGCTGGGAGCATTCTCGACATGCTCATCAGGCTCATCCTTCCACGTCATCTCTGACAGCCTCTTCCCGCCCTGTGAGGGAGCCAGCAGGTAATCTGTCAGAGACATCTGATACTCGGGCATTACCGCCCTCGACGCCTCCACATCGGCATAGTATCTGGCGGCTGTCGCCTCAAGGTCTGGGTCTGGGCACTCATACGAGAGCTGGTCAATGACTCCATTGACCAGCTCACCGTCCACAAGACCCCAGACCTCCAGTTCCCGAGTAAGACCATATTCTCGCAGCGTCCGTAAGCCCTGTATGACATTCCACAGCCTCAAGGCCAACGCATCTTCCTTGGTTGTGATTTCCACGGGAACAGTCGTGTGTACCTCATCCTCGAGAGCTTTGTGAATAGTACTCCCTTGTTTCATAGCAGGCGTTCTCCTCTTCCTCCCATGCTTGGTCAAGGTATACCAGTACTGTAGCTCGCACCATGCAGGAGAGATCAGATCCGTAACTGAAAAGGCCTTGTTGGGTGGCTTTCTGAATCGTTCAATGGGTGATCGAAGATCAGGCGCTGGACTCGTTCTCGAGTCACCGACCCATTCCCGTTCACGGGCTACGTCTCTCTCACGTTGTCTTTCGCGGCCTTCGATGGAATCCGGATGCTCCACTAAACGCTTGAAATCAACCGTCAGCCGCCTACTCAACCTCATTACACAAAAGGAACAAACAAAATTGCAATGATCAAGGAATAATCCTCACCAGACGCGGCGCAAACGTTGCCCGAGATCTGATCTGCCCTTGCCCCAGCAGACGTCGAGACCTGCCGAGTCTTGCGCTTCTGCCATAGAAAACCGGGCTTTTCACGGCCCAGTACCTTAGGCACTCGCTGACTTGCTGGACTTTCAACATAATCTTCAATATCAGCGACGGTAGTGACGGTCGCCTGCACGGTTTTCGAGGCTGTCGTTGTTGTTGCCGTCGCGGTAGCAGAAGCCTGGGCGGTCGCGTGTTCTGTGGCGACTTTGGCGAGCAGATCGTTCAGCAGCTCTTCTTCATCCGGGGTAAAGTCGGATCCGTAGTCGCTGCTATCGTCGAAATCGTCTGGCATTACAATATAGGATGTCGGAGGGCAGGACATGCCCGTGATGATGGTAATAAATTCATATCATGTGTGGTGGGAAGAAGAGGATCTGATCTCTGATTGTCTTATCGTGAAGTCACTCCGCCAACGTCATTTCCGGTATCAAAAAATTGCTTGCAGTTCTTGGCGCAATTTTGATATCGAAATAGTAAAAGTTTACAGTTAACTTTCTATTAGGTGAATCTTTGAACAATCACTAAGGAATTTGTTCTTGTATTGGGTATAATGTATGAGAATAGTTCTAGTCTATGTACTCGTTGAAATGCAACGCTCAAGAAGACAGGACAATCTATCGTCTATTCAAATCAATCGCGCCTGCAAGTCTAGAATATGCAAAGGAGGGAATATGAAAGGCGCAGTTGTGGAAAGGTACCTCATGCTTTTATCGTTGTCGAAGGGCTGATACTGCCCGAAACCAGCACATGAGACGAATGGTCCGACTCGGCCATTTCCGCCTCGACCTCTCTGGCAGCCTTCTGGTTTAACCAACTGAGATAGGTCTGCCAGCCGACGGCGATGACACCGGCGAAGATGCTCCGGAAAGGCGGAGACACGTACATGAAGCTAAAGGCAGTGACTGCAGGCCAGAGCTTGACGCTATTCGAGATACTGACGGGCAGAGCGACCTTCAAGCGCTCGAATGTCTCTTCCAGGGATGCGCCAGCGAGAAGAGAATGTACGCTGAAGAAGTACGTATTGAAAACGGGTGTGAAGACCGCTTGTTGTACGGAGACTTTGGTGAGGATGGAAAGGAATTTGGACTGGAAGTTGAAGTTGTTGTGGAGGAACATGAACCTAGTGAAAGTGCATCGCATTAGCAAGATGTACTCAGGGCCATCGGTAGGACAATACTTACCAGTTATAGGACGGAATGGCGGATCCCACGCCAACCGTCAAATGTCGCATAGTTCTCAGAGGATCATAACCCCCACTCGAAGCAGCCTTATCCTCGCCATCTTCAGCCGAGTCCGCAGGCTTCTCTTCAGAAGCAGCCCGTGAAGTTTGCGCCGGGCTGTCGGAGGGGAACAACAACTGCGCACTTAGGTCACCGCAGAGATATACCACAATAGAGCTGACAACCTGCGTCGCATAAGGTCTCCTTTGTTGTGCTCTGGCGTATGAGTCTGCCAATCTACCAATTGGTCCTGCCTGGATGACCTGGAAGAACGTTCGCGAACTCGATCGGGCGGGGGTGGAGGCAGCTAAAGGTGTGCTTGCGGGAGAACTGGTAATTGGGGAGCATGACGATGTGGATGAGGGTGGAGCACCCGTTCGCGAAGCGTTTGCTGATGTGCTGTTCTTCTCAGGGACAGGATTAGGTGATGCCTCGGAGGAGTGGTTTCTTAATTGTGATCGTTGTGATCGTTGTGACCGAGTTGTTCGTCTGCTCAACTGCCTCACAGTCGCCCTTCCATGTTGCAAAAGATGACCCATGAGAGGCGATGCGATAGGTGGTATCACAGTCTAATCAGTATATGTGCGACAATTAAAAGCAATCGTAGATCGATTCGCGATTTTGACTTGACAAGGGCGATAAGAGAAGTTGCGCAAAAGACCGATGATAAGGCGCAACTCGATTTTGTTTCGGGTCAGCAATAGAGGTCACCAGTGATCAAATTAATGGCATGGAGACTCCATGAGATTCTAATGAATGATATGAAATAAGCGAAGGAAAAGAATACATGCTCTATGTGAGAAAGAAATAAGATTTATTTGTCATGCATAGAATTTGACTCAGAAATAGTCGGGGCCTCAATGTTAACCACTGCCGAAAGACCGCAACTTTCCGATCCGGAGTTGTTTATCCATCTTATCGCCGAGGGTCGAGCCATCCAATCAACTTCTCCGAAGTATTCAACCCTTCGCCTGTTGGCCTGAGAGGAAGCTAAAATCGATACATCGTTCTGCGTGAAACAGCTCGGCCGGTTATAAAGGGCCATAATACTTTGCTTATCTCATATCAAGCGCCCGGATGGTCTAGTGGTATGTGGTCATGTCATATTACACCACCAATTTTCCCGCTAACAGTATAATCAGGTATGATTCTCGCTTTGGGTGCGAGAGGTCGCGCGTTCGACTCGCGCTTCGGGCCTTGCATTTTATTTTTTTTTTTGGCTTCCTTCCCAAATCATGCTTTGTTTCAGCAGGTAGCTGTTTAAGTTTTAATATGCTGGTTAGAAAATCTGTCTCACGGCTCTAAGACGCCCCCAGGTAGATCCTAATAGACTGCGTAGCGCTTGTAGGCTAGTGCCTGCTTTGGCAATCATCTTCTGAGGCCCTGAGGGTGGCTCACGAAGGTGAGGCCTGGGTCAAGCTACAGAAGAGATTTTAGTTTCTGGGGGCTGATCTGTAACCTGGTGAATAAGGTAATGGGGTGAATGTGTTAAGAAGGAGGGTTGCTATATTCTGTATTGCATTTCTCTTTTCCCATCCATCTCTCCTTCTGTCAACCTGCTACAAAGCGCTTCACTTGCTTCGTACGCTCTTTCGGTATTTGACTTGCTCAGGAATGATTTACTTTGTCTCATCATGCAGAGTCAAAAGAAAGTTCGCCTCTTCCCGAATCTCTGGCTGCCGGATCCTGAGCAAGCTTTGTCCAGCCAGGAGCTGATCTATGTCCAGAAGCTCATTCCTCTTATCCAATGTCTCGAGATGCAATGGGACAAAGAGCTGAAAGAAGCGGATGGTAAGTGCCGTGGCTGTCTGAATAGGGATTTCTTAAGGCTAACCCAAAAGCACGTCAAATCTGCTCACTAGGGTGGAATCTAGATGAAGCTTATGAGCGTCTTCAAGAGAATGAAGCTGCCTGGTGGAAGGCACGAGGTGTCACTAGACCTAGAGAATTCTTGGTTCGCCCGAGTGGCAAGCTGAACGCTCCAGTTGCTTGTCACTTATACAATCTCACATTCTCTGTTGACGACCCCCGTTGCCAAAAAAAACCGAAGACCTTTCGAATCCCTCAATCGCCCAGCTCCATGAGGCTGGATTTTCAACAAAAAACAGCTGTTTGCTTTTTGACCATCTGGCTCGCAGAGATATCAGCAGACACTGTAAAGATAATTATCCCCAAGATCTCTTTGACATTCATGAACAGTTTGTCTTTACGCTCCGAGTCGCAATGAAGGCAAAGGTTGAGATCTGCTGGGGTGCCAATGTTCGCGAACGAATGCTCAAGAAGCTTGACCTACAGCCTTTGCGTCTTTGGGGTGATTTTGCAGGCTTGGTTCTGCATCTGGAGCTGACGCCTGACAAAGCATCTTTAACACGCTTTATCATTTTTGTCGCGCACCCCCAGCGCTTTATGTACGTAAAGAGTGATGGAGAGAAGGCCCAAGTTTGGCGTCGCCGATTTGGCTCACCACAAGATCAAGCGTTGGCTCTCGCTGCTAGCTTGGGGGGGCATCCAAATTCCCCCAAACTTTTACGAGCTAGATTCTCGATTGCCTCGGAATCTATGTGTCCCACGCACAATAAGCGCTAAAAGAAATGAGTGGAAAGGCTAAGTAGTAGCCCAGTTAAAGAAAGCTTTCCCTGGAGCTATTCTTTTTGAGGAAACATCACATCGCATCCGTGCTACAAAGGAAGAGAAATTGTGGGTTCAAAATGTGTTCTAGCTTCTGGCTCAACTCAAACCTGGCCAAGTTAGTGAAACTGCCAATCTGCCAAGCACTACAGATGATATGATCCTGGTATGAACAACCTTAAGAATTTTACCTATATACCCCTTTAACTCCTAACTTTGGATAGAGGAATGACCGCCTTCGCAAGATAGCGAACTATTGGCATGATCTAGGGGAGCTACTATCTGCGTTCATGCCCCATATCACTACCACCGCTCATCCCATAAAAGTCATCGGTGCACAAAGTATCGGCTATCATTCAAGCGAATTCTCTACAGAGTTTCAACTGTCAGGTTGCTGGGACTGGGAGGATCTCCCTGATCCTCTGGTTGAGTTTATACAGGCACAAGATGTCTAAAGTTCAACAGGCGCAAGATATCGAGTCGAACTGATCTTGAGGTTGCCTTCTACCTCCTCCAGAAATGCAAAGGCAGCCCTGAGACTTTAGACATTCTCACACTCGCAATTTCAGTGTTGGCTGCCTACGGCTGGATGATTGCTCGCCCAAGAAAGCCCTGTGTCGATGATATGCTCATTCTTCGCAAATATCCGACTGATATTGTCCCACGAAAATGTTCCGAATGCGGTAAGGAGCAACTGGACGACCCCTTTGCCTACTGGTCAAAGTTTGACCCGAGTCGTTATGTACTTTGGTATCATTTTCGGTCCGGCTGCGGCAGGCCAGATTGCAAGACGCAAAACGCCAGCCTCCTACCTCTCAATCCGCTAACAAGGTACTCGCGTTGTAGCCAGAAGGATTTGAAAGAGAAGCCTCTCGATTAGTTTGACACATGGCTTCTACTCCGTGCAGAAGAATTTGGGACACTCCCAGTCGAGCTCGAAGTGAAGTGCCAAGGCGAAAACTGCCAGGAAACAAAGACTTGTCACACTGATTTCATCACACACCATGCTGCATTTAACTGGGCAAATGGATTGTCTCCCAAGCCAGGTCCGCATGGTGCACAATCCTTTGCATTGTGACTTAAAGGTGATTAGTCATAATCTGTAGACTGAGTATGGTACAGGGAACACTTCATTTCAGTCTCATTAGCAATGAATGTGAAGGTGGTAGAAGACTTATCGATAAATGAAAAAGCAAAAAGAATAGAATAGATGAGCAAAAACATACAACAGCCGGGATTCGCTGGTGGTCACCCACCCAACTACTAACCGGCCGGCGTGTGGCTTAAGTACGGCTGAGCGGACGGGAAGCCCTGTTTTCCACACCCTGTGGTCGTATGTGCTTGGTTTGAATCATGTTCAACTTATGACTAGCGTAGTGCAGAGTGCCTGCCGCACCGTATCTAGAGAACATAGGGTGCAGATTATACTATTTGTACACATGTTTATATATCAGTTTGAATTTCAATAAGAGAGTCAGCCTCTGGCGAAACGTGCCGTCCACGGCACTAGAGATCTGTGCTTCCGCTACTGTAACCATTTCACGCACATAATGTGTCTCAAGGGTGAAGGGTTTTCAAGTTGATATTCTTACACTGCCTGGCTTGCATCGAGTTCTCACCGGTTCAATACTGATAGGGACGAAAGAAACACGCAGGGTGTTCCATTCCTCCCCATTTTCCTTATTCATTCTCGCCCCTGCCTGAGAGGTCACACGGATGTTCGTAATACTCAGAAGCCAAACGTGGGCTTGGAGTCCACACTTTAGCCAGCATCACGGGCACAACCAGCTCTCATTGTTTAGGCGGTAGTAATGGCGATTCAGGAATACCAGCCACCGCCTGAGAGACCAATAAAGATTCTGTTATGGTATTACATGGCTTACCATTGACTGGAAACCTTCGGCTCGGCCCGTGCCACGTCCGATGCGGCGATTCTGCGGATGTACTCCGTAGTCGTAATGCACTCGAAGCTTGAACGACACCGATAAGAGATACTTGATTACTCACCTCGCAGAGTGAGCGACTGTTGTCATTGCGAAGAAAGCGTTGTGCATAGGCATGAGCCCTCTGCTTTTGAGAATCCTGAGATTCCTGTTTTTCAGAATATTCTAGATCGTGCCCGTTGCTTGCAGTAGGGCACGTCGCGCCCTAGAAGACGGCAGACTCCAACCATCCATGCAGTATTTGTTCCGATGTAAATCATATTAGCCTAGCTTATCTATTATACGACGGCGGATTTGTATCTGCTATAAGAAAGGAGCAGGTTGATGGATCCCTGCGTACCGTAATATGGAGCCCCACCACCGATGCCAACCATCAAACTAAATCGGACAGCTGGGAAGCTGCGGAGCATATCTTTGGCAATAGTAGCAGCAGACACTCTGCCTGTCGTTTCTGCAGGCAAGCAAGCAATTACTACATTGTGATTGCCAATCCTGCCAAGGAGGTACAAATTTGTATCTTGTGGATGGACGGCAGGAAGCACTGGATGTTCTTGATCCAGCATGCAGTGTAGTTGTGTCCACTAACATGGTTGTCCAGAAAACAGCAATGATAATGCTTCGCGGTCTCATTCTTTCCATATTGGCTTATCAATTACGTGCATGACTGCCTATAAATCGTCTCAGGATATGCGGAGACGATGCCGACATGATGCCGAGATGATAGGATGATAGTCTGCAGGAGCAGATAATACCGAGCACATTTTTCCTCCATACATGTCACCTGATGTTAACAAGTCCTATTTCATTGGAACATTAGGCAATTCAGAATTTCTGAATGTGATATAATCATTGATTACTACTTAACATATCTGGATTCATGGAGAAACACTTGGATGATAGCCACTACTCCCTCAACAAGAGACATTTTCCATTATGACACTGATTGCTATTAACCTCCCGTCCCCATCTCGAACACTCTCGGAACTTGGTTTGAGGGAAGCTCTGCCGGTGCGGCAGCAGGAGGAGCACGCATTCGACCGCTCAGCATGTACTTGACTCCGAAGTGTTGATTCTCTTTTAGTCTTCGGTGGTACCTTCGTCTTTGCAACCATAAGACTCCTATTAATGTTACGAGACACACACCCAGCCCGACACCAGTGCTAACGCCAACAACCAATGATTTGGAATCCGAGCGCTCCGAACCACCTGATGCAGCCCTGGAGGTCGTGGGTTCTGTTATAATGGCGGTAGTAGTCGTGGGGGTGGTAGTAGTGGCAGCAGCACCTGTGTCTGAAGCGACAGTAGAAGTAGCTGTGTAAGATGGGACAGCCGAGGTATTGGAGAGCATCAGCTTGCCCATTTGCAGTTTGAAGGCGTTGTCGCAACAGTTCGACCCATTGGCACTACAGCACCAGTGGTCATTGCTGATCTCAGGACATGGTAGGACGTGAATCCCGTAGCTTCCTTGAATTGCTGTAGGTAGAAAACAGAATTAGCAGCCCATCATCAGACAGGAAATACATGCTTCGAACCACGCACATTTAGGGCAGATTCCCGGACAGCCATTACTCTCCCAATTCCGATCTGTACACCCGTTTAACAGAATGAGCCCAGTATATGGTGTAACCTGGGCCAGACAAAGCCCGTTACTCAGGCAGATATCATTGGGGTCTCCGTTCGTTTTATTGATTGCACAGCAAGCGCTGTTGGTGTTGTCAGGAAAGCAGGGCTGCAGCTCTGCTAAGCCCGGGCTGCCGTCTGTAAAGTAGCACTGTGTGGCGATTGCGAAGGGGAGGAACGCTGTTCGAATTGTGAGGCTAAGTAGTACCTTCTGTCCAGGTAAGAGGGAGAGTCGCATCTTAGAGCAGAGTACAATAGTCCTAGAACTCTATGTAAAAGCACAAAATGTATTACGGAAGTGCCAAATATAAGGAGGACCAGGAACGAATCAATAAACCAGAGGAATGAGACCCATGTCCAGGCGCTTATATCTCTGCAATAGAAGGATCACCGGGTTTTGGGCTTTACTATATTGATCTGTGCCAAGCGCTAAGTCCTCACTGGCTATGAATGAACAGCGGAGATGATGGATAACACATTTCCCGAGACCTTGTTGAACTTTTCTGAGACCTTGCTGAACTGTAACCCGGATAGCACTTACTGTTCGATAATTTAATTTCTAGCGCCAGTTGCATCCAGTGATTTATATAAGACTGAATAGTATGGGTATCACACAAAATCACGCACGGCCAGATTACCTTTCTAAATGCTCCAGAACTTCCCATGATAAACAGCTAATCCTGAGTCTTATGGACCTGCCCTTTCTCAATCCCCATCCTCTTCAAAGTCACCCATTGAACGTCTCAGACCCACAGACAAAATCTCCACCGCTGGCAGCTGGCAATCAAACACATCTGTCAAACAGCAGAGCATGGGTATTGCATAAGCATCATCCGCAGAAAGCAACCTGTTCTGAATAGAATATTTCTCGGTAATTCTAACATATTTTACGTGGTTAACTCTTCTTGAGACAATCTTGAGGGAACGGTGCTTATTTGTGGTTGAATCATAGGGGTAGGCCCTTGTGAGTTTCCCTTTTATGTGTGTGACTGTGGGGTATCAAGACTCCACCCAATAGAACTCATGGAATGAGTTTCACGCCTGTAGCGCGTGACGACTTCTGCATGAGATGCAGTATGTCACAACACTTAGCTCTTGGCAAAATCGAAGCGAACGTCGACACGATGGGGTCTAGGGTAGCCAGAAAAGAAGATCACGCCAGACGACTACGGCCCTCTGCAAAGCGACTATTTTCGGAGAAACTAGAATCCTATACCCGCTTCTTGCGACAATAATCACAGGCATGATGGACCCGTTTCAGACAGCGAATCCCGGCTGTTGTATGTTTTTGAATTTTTGTTGAAATTGCCATCTGACCTTCAATTCAGTCTTGCCCCTGAATGTCCGCCGGAGTCGACCGCTCTACTCTCCATCTATTTGTGTAGCTTGTAGTTGCGACTTGCGAGAAGCGCTTTACTTTCGATTTATCTTCGAGCTCTGACCATGAAGGCCTAGCCGCCGTCTTTTTACCGCTCCTGATTTTGCTGGCCGAGAAGACTAAAGTGACAGGGTTAATGATGCCTAGCGACATGGAGCCTTGTAGCGCGGGTTTGTTGTACTTTTATTACGGACTGTTACCTCTGCGCCGGTATACTTTAACATTTCTCAACAACGCGAACCTCTCTCCACTACACGGCAGGCTACTGAGGCTGGAATACTTGCTGTTTCGAAAAAGACTCATCTTTCCACGTTGCTGCTCGCTGCTTATTACAACTATTATGGACCGGATTATTATTACATCCTGCTTGATCAGGGTGCGCCCGGTGCGGGCGATAAAGACACCTTCCTTCATGCTGCAACTGCCCTTAACGAGACCTTTTACTCTGTGAGTGAGAAGGCGGTGGATGTTGGAAATGTCACACCTTGGAATGCAGAGGTCGCAATCAATGCTGGATATATCCAAGCCGATCCCATTCAGGATTATAACCTGACGAGCCAACAGAAATGGAGAGTCAAGGATCCTTCAGTTGCCAAGCCACCCCGGGCCTTCTTCGTTCATGCTGGGGACCCGGAATTCAATCCAGGCAATGACCTGCTGGGCCGGAAGTTGGTGGGTTTTGACGGCAAACCCACTCGACTCTGGACTCATCCACCCGAGGCAATGGAACGTCTCGGATATGACGCCGAGAGGGCGTTCTGGGAGGCGACGGTATCCGTGGCGTGCGAGATACAGCTAGCCTTTGAATCCTGGAAATCCAAGAGTGGACTTTGTGAACAGGTGAAGGAGCATTGGGAAGCTGTTTTTGAGAATCCAGATGTAAAGGTTCCGGTGTTTGCAGGTAGCTAATCGGTCAGCCTAGCCTTTTCTTTGGGATGTGAAAGTTACTTCCGCCTGAATGGACCGAGCTTGACGGCCTAGGGCCCTTGCTATGGGCTTGAGGTTGACACGAAGGTAATATGTGCTCCGCCAGCAGTAACAACGTGGTGGGAGCCAGGACGTTTGGGTGGTGGGACTCAATATCATACCGCAGTCACCATCGGCCTATGATATGCCCCGAGGCCTTTTCCACAGTGGTCGCTTCCGTCAAAGATGACATCAACACGCTCGCAAGGTGCTGCCCTTCGTAGGTTGCTTCCGAAGCACTCACTCATTATTTCCCGATACTAATCACTCTAGTGCTGACGACGTTATTAACTTCTCAGGGATTCCCCTCTTGCAGGACCGCATTACTGAGATGGCTAATGACAGTGAAGTATCAACAAAGGCGAGGATTATCGCCTGGACTGGGGTATCACTGTATCAGCATGGGACCCACTTAAGGTTGCCTCACTAAGTTATCATGCATCACAGAGAGCTTATTAATATTTTCTTGTAGTCCCTGACAGCCCGACGATGCTAAGCATTCAGGACCCACTTGTATATAAAGTCTCTGAGGATGTAGAACAAAAGTAAGCAAAGCATTATGTTTAACTTGACTTGGTGCCCAAGGACTTAATTTACCCAGAGCACTACTTGTATCATAAAAATAATCAAAAAGAGAGCTATCTATCCAACAGTATCAATCTGGAGGTCAGAAGGGAAGGTTTTATATATAGACAGTGGGATGAACGCTAGAGCCATCTCTCAGATGTGATTTCACCAACCACAATTTTAGATCTCGACCAAATCAAGTTTTACCAGTAGTGTGAAACAACAGGGTTATCTTACAAAAGGGCTGCGGCCTAGGTGCCTATTTGGTTGCGAGTATCTATCTTCGCCTCCCCAGTCATCTTTTGGAGCCTAGGATGGAATTTCTCGTCTTTCTGAGTTCGCTTCCTTCTCTGCCTGGCATATTAAATCTGTGTTCTCTTGTCCTCCGCGCGAATCACTCCGATCCCCCTTACTGTGATTCTGTAGTTATAGATCGGAGTTCCCCTATTAGCCCAGGCAGAAGGAGGAATGCTTTCGACAGAACTTTTAAGATTAGTGGGCTCATCACAAGCGGGTTCCATCTGTTCAAAGTATACTACCTGGCCTCGATAACAAAGTTAGCGAGTGAATGCTGTAGAAGTACTACTATGCATATACCTACTAAGAGAGACTAGCATAAAATGCATTCACTGCTGTGGGAGCTGGGGGGAAGGGCTAGGGCTAGCAACGTACTTTTTCATTCACTTCTATCTACCTTCTTCCACCGTAGTCTGAACGTCCCACAATATGAATTTGCACAAGGATTCGAGCTTAATCCTGTTTTTTCACGTCGTCTCATTGCCTACCCATCCTTCGCTTCCAAAATCAACATGCCTGCTAGAGCGCAGGTAGTTACCTCCAAAATCGCCGTTCAGGAGCGTCTTCCTGACCTCCGAACAGGGCCATCGAGAACAATACATATCGCCCTTCACCCTGTTCACTATACAGGAACCATAACAGAGTGGGATGGCTTCATTCGGGACGTCAAGTCTGCTTTCGACCGCCATCCGTGGACCAACCACCAAAGCCGTATTTTCCTCCGGCCAATCCAGGAACCTGGACCGCATAGTCTTCTCCATGAGCAGGTTGTTGTGGGGGATAAAACTGAGTTCAAGGAAGGTGGCAGCAACAGTTGGGCCAGGTCATGTCAGGCGTCCTCCAGGCGCAAGGACTGCAATTGAGATTCAGCGACTTCAAAGCCGCTGTCCAGACCTACGGAAAGACTCCCCACGTGGCTTGCATCACAGAATGGGGACATATCAGATTCGTAGGTGAACTGAAAGTGCCGTGGGTTACGGAGCACAGCCTGACTGTTGCGTTGAGAGACGTCGCCATGTACTCGGTAAGCCTCTTTTTGTTCATAAGATCGACCTCGACGAGTGATCTATGTACTAATAAGTCTTAAGGGCAAATCACCGAATACATGCATGCGAGATTTGGATCTGAGATATGGATTCATATCAACATATAACCAGACCATTTTCCTGAGACAGCATCAGGATCCCATGACAGGTTGGGAGATTTAGCATAGTCTGGTTATCTCGCATGCCGACGCTTTCTCTCCAGGAGTCGTCACCGTCCGCCAATGCCTTTGGTATCTCGCGAACCTGGCCCAGACAGAATATCAGGTCAAAAATACAATCTCCAAATCCCAGTGGTTTGCCTACCAGTATACCCCACTGGACCTCGGAACACTTGATTCCATATCCCGGCCTCACATTAATGGAAGACCCTGATGGCAGGTGTTTGATTTATCCCGAGAGCGAACAGAGTGTCGAATAGGACCCCGAAAAAATGTAGACTAGTGTGAAACGTTCGCTATGCCAGATAGCAGAAAGTGTTTTTGCAGAAGTTTAATGTATATGAGTTGAAAACGGAGTGTTATCCGTAGAAGATCCCTGGAGCGACGAAAAAAAGGCTGTTTGTATTGGAATCCCATGTCTCTGCAAGCCCTGAAATATGAATTAAACTATCCGCCTACTGTTCTCCAACGCATAAGAGATAGATTGATGTCACGGGCAGTATTCGTGCGATGGGACATGACCGCTATCTTCTCAATACAATGTTTAATTCAACCGACACCGCCACCACCGTTCACATACCAAAAGGAGCCACCGGTAGACCTTGTAAGAGAACAGGCCTACAGAATCCAGCCTGCAGCAATATAATCCGTGTCATTTCCATTCTGAAGACCCAAATTATGTCGATCAGGAAACACAGCCAAACCCCACAAGGCCACATCCTGCGGGCGCCAGGTAACCGTTCCATGTGTTGGCACGAATACACCGTCAATGTAGCTAGATCCATAACGCAAAATTAGATTATCATCCGCTGTGAAAGAGTCAAAGTGAAGACTGACAGTTTCTGTGTATTCTGATCCCAAAACAGATTGTCCAGAAAAGGAATTTCGACTTTGACACTTGCTGCGAGAAGTTTCCTTCCACGAGAAGAAAGGTCGGTATAAGCCAGACGACAATTACTGGGTGCTGACCTGTAAATCACGCTGAATTTGGCCCGAATCAGGTCTCTCTCACTTTTGCGCATGGTCCAGAACAGCCCTTCGGGAATGCTATACTGCGTGATACGCTTTCCTGGCGGTCTGGTACTGTGCGCATCTGAGTCCGGGATATCAGAACCATCTCCAAAGCGGTAAAACCTCTGGCCCAGAACGACGCCGGGAACCTTGGTGTGGGCTATGTAAGACACGAACCCGTCCGGGACCAGACCGTTAACATCTTGTTTTTCGTGCTTGAAGCCGACGAGTTGAGGAGTAAAATCAATCTGGTGATTGGCCAGGCGTTCGTAGGCTTCAAGCTCCTCTTGTAAGCCGTCAGGGCCCTCGCCGGAAGCTTGTCTGCGGCGCATGTCGGGGGGCAGAGCCTGGGTTCCCTTATTTGGGATCTGTGTATAGATTACGATTCGTGCTTGCTTAGTCGGATCGCTAGAGCGGTGGCATTCAAACATAGCGATAGACAAGGAAGTGTCTTGGTATTCCTCGGATTCTTTCTCGCTCAAAAGCCTAATGCTTTCCTTGAGTTTCACGGTCAATTTCCAGGCGGAGGGTGAAGGAGAGGTGAATTGGATTTCCCTATCGAGCCAAAGCTCATCAGGGAAGTAGGTATCATCCATGACTAGAGGAGATAGCTGGATGATAGGCTAGTGGATGGTGGTAGATGTAAGACAACGTTGTCGGAAGTTCATTCATGATACGTGGTACGCGGAGGTCTCCTGGATAATGTCTATCTTCTTTCTGTTCCATGGAAGCCTTTGTCTGTCCCGAGGGTGCGAGGCATCAGAACGTCATACCTACTATCTGACGAATATCCCAGCACACAAGCTTACCTAGAACCCGGGACGGGCGACTATGGGAAGCCGAAGAAAATGATTATTATCAGTGCTTTCCCAGTTGCGGTGCAATCCTCTGGCTGGTAAGCTCTCCCTTCATAACTAATGGTAGCAGATACAGCAGCATAACTAAGGACTACAGGCTATCCAACAGGAGTTTCCTGACCTCAGGCCACGCTAGCTAGTGTCAAGAACCAGCAGGGACTGATTGTCCTATTCCAGGAATTGAAAACTGGTGAGAAGAACAACCAGCAAGGAAACGAAATTGAAAGTTCTGGAATCCTGCTTGGTACCACCAAACTTCTTTCAGTTAGGTTTACCTACAAAGAAGCCAATACTGTTATGCTGTTCGAGCCACAGCTATCAAGCAATGATGAACAACAGGCGTATGGCCGTATTCACCAAATCAGTAGTACGAAACGTGTCAACCCGTGGGCGGGGATTCAGCATCAGCCTTTGTGCGATTGTCCCGGGGGATATCTAAATAGAATGTGAGCAATAGAATCAACCAAAAAAAAAAAAAAGGTTGGGCATACCAAAGGCATTATGGACAGTCTTGAGCACATAGGTGGCACGACCTAGAGGCCCCAGGTTCGATGACTTTGGCAAAGGGATCGTTTTTCTGATATGGACTGGCAGCCGCTTTTTGGGATGCGCAGCGATCGCATAACTCATGAAGCTCGAAGGGAGAACTCCGGCTTGATCAAAATCGATCACCCAGAGCTGGCCGTGCTTGTCGATAGGAAAATTGCTTGGGTGCACATCTGCATAGTAGCATAGGAGCGGTTCAGTACTGAAATCCACCTTATCTTGTCTCCCCGTGACACCGTTGTACCATTCTAGGATCTACCATGTGTTAGTTCAACCAAGGGATTTGCTCCCCGATCGGACATAGAGAAAGACTTACTCTATTGAGATTAGATTCAAGTTCTGCGGCGGACGAAAACGGAACAGGAGGCTCGCTGTCTCGGAAGAAATGATGCCTGTAGGAGCCACCGCTCAAGCTCCCAAAGACACCAGGTGGCGGTGGAATACTGATCAACTTGGAAATGGCTTGTGCTCTCTGTTCATCCGACGCAGTTCTCTCAAAATCGATTTCAATATGCTCCATGACTATGTAGGTATATCCCCTGCCAGTGCCCCCGCCCTCGCTCACTATAAAAGCGTGGTAGACCTCAGGAATCCGGAAGGTGGCGTTGCGTTCCCTACTCTTCTGACGGAAGAATACCTGCGCGTGGGCTTCCTCCATTGTGACATTGTTATATTTGATAAAAAAGGTATTGCCTTCCGCGGAATAGGTGAGGGTATTGGAGCGAAAGCCCTTTTTCTTGCAAAGGCGCACCACCACATCCTTGGGAGGCAAGCCTGGGATGGCAGGGTTGTAAATTTCGCTTAGAGTAGTCGACATAACGGTAGCACTATTATGTTGCTGAAAATGAGGGATGAAGAGGGGATAACTTTGGGGACGATGAGCAGGCTGTAGAATCCATGGATGAATGGTGGGCAACCTGATGACAAAGCAGGCTAGGCAGTCGGCGAGGCCCAAAGTTCAAACCAAGATTATTACCTACTAATAAGTGAAGGATCCCTTTCCAATTAAAAGAAAGCTAAGGCTGTCTCTGGGGTGCGGTCTGCCCTTCTAGGCATATAATAGTTCCGCCCCGCCCCGCTCCGCCCCGGCGCCCCCAGCCTCTTTCCCCATCCAGGAGAAGAGGCATAGCTGCTCCTCTCCTTGTTGCTAGTGCTCAACGTTCGAGCTAGACCGATGTAGATGAATTACAGGGTAGAGTGACCTTTAGGAAGCTCCCAAGCAAAGGACTTGATGAGGAGACAGCAAGATTTCGAGTTCCGAGATCGAGATTTGATTCTACTCCGTACCTCAGACAAGAGTCTCAAATACAAGCAAAAAAGTATCGAATGAATTTTTTATATGAACGAAATTGATTAGTGATCAGCTACGGGATTTTGGGCTTGTCTACAGATCACAAATAGGGGAGGTACGTGCTATTGATCTTTGATAAGAAACAGAGGCCACCCACACTGCCTTGATTGATTTATCATCAAATCATTCATTCGGCATTAATCACTGCGGCACTCAGGTGTGGGTCACCTCTTTGAGCTGTACAATAGTAACGTGTGTCTTGTCGGTCTGGAGAGCTATCTATATGTTCCAAGAAGTCAGGACGTGGTCCCTGCTTAACATGATGTCGGGAACTCGGCATATCCTCGTAGTAGCCTTTTCAAGCTAACGCAATCCCGAGTATTTCAGATTTTCGGTACGAGCTATGACTATGGTTGAGTCTGAGGTCGAGAACTCTGTCTGGCTCAGACAGATGTGCCTGAACTTGAAGGCCCGAACTGGTGATCAGTGCAAACTCAAAGGCCATTAGTCCAGACTGTGGAACGTAGGGGGAACGTACAGATGGGTGTTGCAGACGCTACCGCGCAATACATTTAGTATCATTCCCGAACTGACAGAGCCCCAAGCGTTGAGTGTTGGACTCGGCTTGACAAGATCATTACGACGATACAGTTCTACGGCAGATAAAAGGACACTAGTTTCTAGAGTGTAATAGATCAGGGAGAAGATGACTCTGAACAATGATACGAGTTATATATATGCTTCCACAACGTGGTCCACGCGAAAGTGTCATTTGACAGTTATGCAGCCCGAATAATTTATGAATGTAGGGTATCAATTCATTTGCGATAAAATGAGAGTGGGTCATAAGGGGTAGACTGATAAATCCCCTGACACGCTCAAAGACTAAGACGTCTGATGGATAAAATCTGGCTGCCTGACCGATAGTAGCCATCTATCGAGAACCCGACCATCCGAGGGTCTTGACTGATGAAGGTTTGAAAAGGTTGAGATCGATTGATAGACGATCAACTACTCCGTACAAATGACGGCATGATCGTCTCCTAAATCGAAACACTGTGATAAGATTTCCTATTGTATATTGCCAAGAGATAATTCACTTCTGGAACAGTATCTCGGCTACCTAGACTAACGTCAAGCAAGAAAAATTCAGCATCAGACCAACTGCCAAGACCGTGTCTGAGAGCTTAGCGTCGGTGGCAACACCAGAACCAGAAGCATCCAGGAGGTTCATGAACTGAGCCTCGGCCAAAAACACCTGGATACTTCCCTTGAGAAAAAATTTCTATTACGTGGCTCCGGCAGATGGGATAAAATTATACGTGATTGATAATCAAGTGAGGATAAATTTACAACCTTACACAGCGTGATCTTTAACGGAGATAAGCGGCATCTCAATGCGTGTACTCCGTATGTATTGACCTGTCGACTCTTGCGGAGATTAGATGATCAGGACTTGCAGTTGCAGCAGTTGCAGCAATGCTACGGAGTTTATTATTACGAATGATAAGTTCCGTAAGACGAGATGCCGAGAGCCGAGTACTGGGAGACGCTAGTCCTGAAACAGATATTTTATGCAAAGCCTCCGGCACATTCATGCCTAGTGCGCATTGGGATCGAGGTTGATGATCGATGACGCTACAATTGAACTCTGTCGACTCTGTACCAGTCCCTGCTTTGCAGTTGGATTCATACCCCGCAGAGAGGTACACAAACCTCGAATCCAACTAATGTATGATTACGAACAGCTTTGAATCGAAACACCGAAGAAGATAAGTACAGTGCCTGTACCACCTACCTTATGCTAATGATCCAGACCACGAGGTATCCAGCGTCCATGGATCTCGAGCTTCAATAGATGGCGGCTGCTTGCTCCACATCGGCCAAGGCCGACGTTGGCTGACGGACTAATGCTGAGCATAAGCCGATTAATGCCACTTATTCCGGCGTTGCGACCCGCTGATTGGCCTGGAACGGACTTCTATTCTCCCTTCTTCTTCCCTCTGTGGGCTATCTATGGATACAGGAGGGCGTTTTCTACGGCAGGGGTCCGAGGCTAATGACTCCCCAGTGACGGTGCCATGAAATCAAGAAGCAAGAGATAAAAAACCAAGGGAAAAAAGGGAAAAAAATAGAAAAATCCATTCTTGAAGCAAGTTATATATGTTCCTCATTTTCCATCGTTCTTGTTCTGGTCTTCTTGAGTGACCTTATCTTGTTATTATTGATACCCCATACATTTTTCTTTCCTTACCTACCTTACGTTTTTCTGTACATACAGTACAACTCGACTATTTCCTAATTCAGAGCACTATATACTTCACCATCCTCCGCATTCGGCGGTCGCTGTCTATACTACCTGAATTCCTAATCTCTCTTCATCTACCGCGATCGCTCTTTCAGAAACAGACAATCTCGGATCCGTCTTATCCAGATCTATAATACTCCCGAGTATTTTACGATCAAACCGCATATTTCCGCACTTCCGCTCGGGTTCCGCACCGATTAATCGCCCATCATGGCGACCGAAAAAGGGGACCAGAACCCTGAAAAGATCGAACAATCCTTGCCACAGAAGATTCCATACTGGCGACTGGTGGTAGATCAAGGTGTCCTCACCCAGCAAATCATCGACTATCCCTACAAAGGCTCAGGAACCGAGGAGGATCCATATGAGGTTGTTTGGATGGAAAACGATCCTCGCAATCCTATGACATGGACTCAACTGCGCAAATGGTCGCTGACCATGACTGTTGCTGTTTCGACGCTGGCAGTCGCACTGGTTTCTTCAGCTTATACCGGTGGTGTTCGAGAGATTGAAGCCGAGTTCCATATTGGAAGCGAGGTTGCTACGCTCGGTGTTTCGCTCTTCGTCTTGGGTTTCGCGATTGGTGAGTTGTTTCCAGGCTTTGTTCGAAGCCTACCTGTCAAGAGGCTAATACAGTTAATAGGACCTCTACTTTGGGCACCTCTGAGTGAGATGTTCGGCCGTCAAATTATCTTCACCGTCACCTATTGCGCACTCACGGCTTTTAATGCTGGAAGTGCTGGCTCGCAGAATAGCTGGACTTTGATCATCCTTCGTTTCTTCGCTGGCGCTTTCGGAGCATCGCCTTTGACCAATGCGGGTGGTGTCATCGCTGACATGTTCCACGCCAAGCAGAGAGGTATCGCGATGAGTCTTTTTGCTGCCGCTCCATTCTTGGGTATGTCATCTTCTTCCTTATGCTGCACTGATCGTATGCTAATGCGTCTCAGGTCCTGTTTTGGGTCCAATCATTGGTGGCTTCCTCGGAATGAACGCAGGATGGCGATGGGTCATGGGCTTCTTGGGTGCCTTCTCAGGTGCAGTTTGGATTATCTGCACTATTTTCGTTCCTGAGACCTATGCGCCTGTTCTCCTGCGTCGCCGCGCCGAGAAGCTGTCAAAGCACACCGGTAAAGTGTACGTCAGCAAGATCGACATCGACCAGGGCAGAGTTACTCTCAAGGACGCCTTCAAGACTGCGCTGTCTCGCCCCTGGATTCTGCTCTTCAAGGAACCGATCGTCTTCCTCCTGAGTTTGTACATGGCCATCATTTATGGAACCCTCTACATGCTCTTCTCTGCCTACCCGATCGTCTTCCAGGGAGTCCGTCAATGGAACCAAGGCGTTGGCAGTCTCCCATTCCTGGGAATCATGGTTGGCATGATGTTTGCTGTCGCCTACAGTGTTTGGGACAACAAGCGTTATGTCCAAGTTCAAGACAAGCACGGTGGATTCGCCCCCCCTGAGGCACGCCTGCCGCCCACCTTGATTGCTTCGATTGCCATCCCTATTGGACTCTTCTGGTTCGCTTGGACCAATTATCCGTCGATCCATTGGATTGTTTGCATCCTAGCCGGTGCTCCGTTCGGTTTCGGTATGGTTCTGGTTTTCCTGGGCATCATGAACTATCTCATCGATGCCTACACCATTTTCGCCGCCTCAGTCCTCGCAGCCAATTCCGTCCTCCGTTCTATTTTCGGCGCCGTTTTCCCATTGTTCACCACCTATATGTATCAGGATCTAGGTGAGTTTTTCTTTCGAATCTATCCTTGCTGACAAGAGGCTAATTGTGCAAACAGGAATCCATTGGGCGTCCTCAATCCCGGCGTTTTTGGCGCTGGCGTGTGTTCCGTTCCCCTTCCTGTTCTACAAGTACGGCGCTGCCATTCGTAAGCGCTGCGAGTATGCCGCCAAATCAGATGCGTTCATGCGGAAGCTTGCCGAGCAGATGAAGCAAGCCCCAGAGCCAGAGTCTGAGGAGACAGAGGAGCCCGTCTTTGACCGCACGGAGGCACCTGCCCCTGACGTATCTGATGTCAGCGAGACTGAGTCCAACGTTGAAGAGCTTCCGGATGTCCGGCAGATGCGCAGCAGAGCCTCCACACGGACGGCTACTTCGTTGCGTCGCGTCGTCAGCTACGAGGGAAATCCTTACGATATCGACCGCGTCAACACTCGCGAGTCGTTCACCAAGAAATGAACGTCCAGAAAATCTGTCTCATCCTCCTCTCTCAACGGGCTTCGACCATCAGTCGCTCGTTTGCTCGATCCATACTCAAGGACGCCCCAACCTGCTTGACTTAGCAGCGTGCAGGTCAGGCACATACACATATTTGTCGATACCGAATAATCCTTATCAACACGTGTCTATAATACGCTGATGCCCTCGTCATTTGTTACGGCCAGAGCATATGCACCTTGATTATGGCAAGAAAAGTTTGTCTTTGTTCAGAAGTCATATACCCGACTGATGTTGACTCAGCTCATGTCTTGTTATGTTTGCATTATAGATGGCGTCTTTGCATTGGAAGAGAATTGTTGTATTTATCCTGTACAGTTGAACATATACTTATATCTAATTAGAGATCGTTCATCCAATGGCTGTATCTCAGTTCTAGTATCTCGGTTCTTCCCAAATGCCGTCGACTTGCATCCTAGATAATCAAACACATAGAAGGATTTCTGACATCAATTGTCGGGCAAAGCGCGGAGGACCTTGGCTCGGTGAAATTGAACAAGTACTCGGGAAAATTCGTCAGCATCTCTGCTGCAAAAACCAAGTCGAAGCATCACGTCGCCGCTCTATCATGGTCGCCCAGTATCGCCATATCTAATCTTTTTTGAACAGCTACTTTTTGAACAGCTACTGTGACTCTAGCTTGCTGTATCCTCTGGGATGTTCCTCTTCAGGCTTAGCGAAATGGCGTTGGAATTTAGAGTCTTGATATGGTCTGTTGTAAGTGCTCATCCTCTACAACTCGGTCGGTCTCCTCAACGTTGTTTCCCAGCGTGGCTCTCCTCATCCTCCTTGTCGTGCGAAGAGTCCCTATAGCCTAGATAGCCGCTCTGCAACACACTCTGCCACTCTCATTGCTGCTTCAAATAGCTCAATCATCCGAAAATGCAATCTCGCACTTTTTCGTATGTGTGTTCGTAGGTAGAGAGCACTTCATCCCGCGTTCGCTTTCGCTTTCGCTTTCACTCGAGCAGCTAGTTAGCCGAGTTTCTGTCATCGTAATTCGTGCTCTTCGCATTGCGTAGATTATTCGCAGCGACAGTGAGTGAGCAAACATATACCCCAGAGCGCACGAGGTGTCGTCGAAGCGATATTGATTCTGAACACCGGTCCTTGGACCAACAGGCGATGGATGCGTTTGGCTCTTACCAACTTTCCAGGTCTAGCGGTTGATCGATTACCTGTCAGAGTGAGTCTACCTGATCGTCGTACTGTTTTCACCAGTCTTTTTTCCAATATGATTACAAGTCGATAGAGCAGGAGAGCGATCGGCTCACAACTCAGTCGCAATTAAGAACGTCCTGTGCGTGATTCCGACCGAAAAAGGCCAACGCCGACGACGAGCAAGTGGCGAAACCGAGAGTCGAGAGACGCGCAGACCAGCCAGGCTCAGTAGCCAGGTTCGTAGGATTTCTCTATCTCCCGGGCAATATTTCTTACCGCGTATGCAGTTCTATACCACTACCGAATTCTATCCATCGTTTGGTCTTCCGTATCGCTGAAGGAAGATAGAAGACGTGGGATCGCTAGCAGACTGTCGTCGTCATTGCTACTCCATGACTTGTCAGGATGTCTTCCCAGCATCATATGCATCATATAGCATTAACGTCATCATCATTCCAATTCCTAGTTGTCACTACACTGTCGTAATAATATGAGATATCCTGTGTCGAACGATTCGCCACTGTGTCTTCACCAAGTGCAGATTCTATGTGGACATGGAGCGACTTCTTAACCGCTATATTGCTTCAGAGTTGAGTTGGCTAGATAGAAGGACTATGTCGACAGACAATTCTTCGCAGTGTAAAGATGAAGTCGTTTAGTCAAGCATGGTTCTACGATGACCTGGCCGGTGACTAGTACGCGCCGGAGTTGCGACCGTGGCGCGTCACCGCTACAGAATCAGTGGAACAAGAATAGTCGAGAAACATTGCAAGACACGGACTGGGTTGAATTGATGTAAACATAGATATTCGCATTTCGCGTCTATGCCGCGATGTGGTGCATCCCGAAGGACAGCAACTCGAGAGATCCGTAATGTACATGAGCAAATCCCAGCCGCTGAATCGGCAGCCTACTATTCATCGTGAAGAAAAACTTGAAACCCAGTGCCGAACCCATTGATATTCGAAAGCAAGCAAACCCATCATGTATCGCCAGTGATCATAAAAAAGAAAAACAGAACCCCGTTATCGCCTTCCCAGAAGAGCCAACCGGAAAAAGACACAACTCATTAGATAGAAAGCATCTAAGAGCGCTCACCGCGGAGACGACGGGCGAGCTGGATGTCCTTGGACTGGATGGTGACACGCTTGGCGTGGATGGCGCACAGGTTGGTGTCCTCAAAGAGGGAGACGAGGTAGGCCTCAACGGACTCCTGAAGAGCACCGATGGCAGAGGACTGGAAGCGGAGGTCGGACTTGAAATCCTGAGCAATTTCACGGACCAGACGCTGGAAGGGCAGCTTGCGGATCAGGAGCTCAGTGGACTTCTGGTAGCGACGGATTTCACGCAGAGCGACGGTACCTTTGGGCAAACATTAGAACATGTTGGATAACCGGCACATGATAGAAGGGACTTACCAGGCTTGTAGCGGTGAGGCTTCTTGACACCACCGGTAGAGGGAGCAGCCTTACGGGCGGCCTTGGAAGCGAGCTGCTTACGGGGAGCCTTGCCACCAGTGGACTTACCTATTAACACAGTTAGCAGGATGTTTCTTAGTGACGCGTGGTTGTGTCGACCACTGACGCGACCGTGAGACGATCTTGGCAGAGGCCGACGACAACAAGAGAAACGACAGTAAGGTTAATACATACGGGCAGTCTGCTTGGTTCTAGCCATTTTTAATGATTAGGTTTGATGGAATTTGATGTTTTATTGATGAAAAATTGATGGTGTTGATGAAAGATCGATGGTCGAGATGACGAGAGTGTCGTGGTAGTGAGTAGATGGAAGAAGGATGGAGGAGGTGGGTGGGGGGTAAGGTATTTGTAGTAAGCGAGAAGGGGTGGTGATCTGGGAGGGTGGTGTTGGGTTGCCAGCAAAAATGGATGGTCTTAGCGCGGTTTCTTTCGATCACAAAAAGTGGTCGGAAAGCAGCACACCATAAGTCCTGATTTCGGGTACTGAATTTTGGCAGGAACCATGAAAGTACGCAGAATGCAGGCGGCCCTTGCTCGGAGCGCTAAGCGAGACAGCTTCCCGCATCAGCCAATAGGAACGCAGGATCACTGATATAGAATACCACCCCAGAACACCTTGATCCCAACCACAAGTTTAGGATGTCAAGTATTTCGATCATCTGGAATTCTTCCAATAGTACTTAGGAATTTTTCTAATTATTTTACGACTCTGATCAGAGAGGTTGGCCGGCATTCCGTGGGGATCAAGGCATTCCAACCGGGATCAATCACTGTTCCGTCACGCTGCCGAGAGATCAAACCCGCTGCGAGGATCCTCTCTTCTGATTGGTCGATCCCTTTCTTAGCGTGTGATTCCAGTAGCCTCCCCGCGCTCCTCCTTCCTCTATACAAATATCTCCCGTCCCAAACTTCTTCAAGCTCTTCTCTCCTCCATCAGTCCTATCTGTCATCCACTTAAAGTCGTTATCTCGACATCTCCACTTATCTAAACACACACACAAAGTCCTTTTTAAATTCCTATCTATCAACATGACTGGACGTAAGTAGCTTCTCTGTTCATCACAAGTATGACGCGACTTGACCGCAGTCACTGACGCGTTTCTTCTCTACAGGCGGCAAAGGTGGCAAGGGTCTTGGAAAGGGTGGTGCCAAGCGTCACCGCAAGATTTTGCGTGACAACATCCAGGGTATCACCAAGCCCGCTATTCGTCGTCTCGCTCGTCGTGGTGGTGTCAAGCGTATTTCTGCCATGATCTACGAGGAGACCCGTGGTGTCCTCAAGACCTTCCTTGAGGGTGTCATCCGTGACGCTGTCACCTACACTGAGCACGCCAAGAGAAAGACTGTCACTTCCCTCGACGTCGTCTATGCTCTGAAGAGACAAGGCCGTAAGTATCTCTGTTTATTGCGGGTTTTGACGCGTCTCTGACAATTTTCTCAGGCACCCTCTACGGTTTCGGTGGTTAAACGTTCTCTTGCTTTCCTTTTTTCAGCCATCCTGCGCGGTCGGCGCGTCGATTGTCCTTCCGCAGCAGTGACGCGACGGTTTGCTTTTTCGGGTTGGTTTACGGTATGACTGGGACGTTGTGGTGTTTTCTTTGCTCATTTAAAGTGTCATGGGTCTCTGGGTTTGCTTTTATCATGCTTTATTTTACTACCCTTGCGCGTCCACTACTGGTCTGCTAGTGTTCGTGTTTGAATTTCTGTATCATAGCGGCCTTTATGCTTCTGGCTGTGCCCCGGGCTTGAAGAGATTGCAGCATCAAACGCAATCTAATATGAATACGAACGGTCAAAACATTCAACCTTTTGGTCTTGTATATGTGGTACTTGTAGCTTTCTTTTCGTAGCGCCTTTGCGCGTCTGGTCATGCTCCGGTCTCGTCGAATTCCGGCGGATGGGTGTTACATGTTGCGTGTTTATGTTATGTATTTTCAAGTGATTTCGCGTGTCTGTGTGACATTTTTTCTGCCCTTCTTCCGTAGCAGCCGGTTCATATCCGTTTATTGTGGGTATGTCTTCGCTTGTGGGTGTAAATGCTGCGCCTCGTACATGAGTTGGTGCGTCGGACGGTGTTCGATAATATGTCTGATCTCGACTTCAGCCGACATTAAATTAGTAGTTTTACTTGTTTTTTCCGTATGCTGTCATCTAGAAGCTTGATAATACTAATAAATATTGGACGTTTGTCTCGTTGTGTTGAAGTACACCGGGTGTTGTCTGGATGTGGTGCAGTACTTGTAGGGAGTCATATATATATTCCCGATGAACATATGGAATAGACGAACCCAACACAACATACTTGGATATAGGCACCACCTACGCTCAAAACGACACAAAACACAATCAAAGCACACAAGGTCTATGTTAGAAGACTACAAACCGATATTCCATTCATACACGACGTTCATAGAGCTGTAGGTGCGATATCTACAGGTTCGACGGCAAAAGACTACTAGACGACCTTTTTTCGCCACAAAAATCGCAGTAATGACTATAAAACCGGACAAACCTATAGCAGAGCAATAGAATATGTCAGCCCGAATATACTATTTAACACCGAAAGGTCCGCAGGCTGAGGATCAAGAGAAATCAAAGATGGTAGCTGGTTACCTTACGGACACCGCGCTCATGGCGGAGGAGTTGAACCCCGGTTCAACTTGGGGTTCAACTCGGGGGTACGGCCGATCGGCAAGGACACCACATCGACTCATCTCCTCAACACAACGCAATGCATTTGCGATAACCTTTCGAGTCAACCACCCAGAGACAACCATATAGGAGAGTAAGGACAACCAAATGTTTCACACTACGTGTTATATTGAGGGAATCTACTCCTTTCCCCGCACTCAGGTCATTAGCTGTATCAGCATGCTGGAACTGCGGATTATGATGATACCGCCAGCTTCCACTAACTGATCCAACACAAGATCGAAGCTCATGAAGGCACAATGCACGCGATAAACTTGAGCTGAACTATCCATACCAAACTGACACCAAGTTGAAAACACAGCTCTTCGGACTACACATAATGCACGCAATACTCCGCCCTCCGGCCCCCATTCTCCCCTTCCCGGCTTCCACATGACATGGGTTGTTGCTCAGCCCCTGCGACTGACCATGGGATTAAATTACGACTCGAACGGACCTTCAGCTACGGAATACTACTACGTTCACTAGCGATCACACCGAAACACAGGAAATCAAGATAAGGGGGTTCGAAATGCAGCAAGAGAAGGAGGCTCGCAGCAGCGGTATAACAAGGAAATAATACACCTACGATGCGCGTTATCGCCGGATATACGACGGGCGACTTTATCTGGTGTCGTTAGACCTGTAGCTCCGATTAGAGGACATTACGCGTGGACTGATAGCCCCCGTCCGGGCACTTGGACGCGACGAAACCGAGACAAATTCAAAGGCAGATAGTACGACAAAACTGATTTGACAACGAGAAACACACACATCATACGAAACCCGGCTTCCGCCTGACTGGCTCACTCGTTGACTCCAACATATCCATCACAAATACACAGGATAGGCGAACCAGCAGGGATCATGGTCTAGAGGGGTGGTCGTCCTAACAAGACAGGCAACGTAGACTTCGAAAGTAGCACCGTAGTGACAGGACCAGGATGCATTGCTCGGTCGAAATCACCAAGAGCTCCATAAATGACGCGATATTGCAGGCAACTACACAGCCCGGGTACCAGCAAAGCAAAAGGCTCAGATGCAGAGACATTCATCTGCTGTAGTCTCCTTTCTGTCTTAGGCCACGAGACTGAGACCACAAGAATCCCCGCCCACGAAGCTCTCGCCAAGTTCGACGCCGTAGCCGATCACGACTTCATAACTCCATACTCCATCCTGCACACATAACTGGGCCATCCAACAAGTATGCGACCAGAAAAAGCTTATCTCTTTGATTCATGACTCCTCTGCGTGCACCGATCTCTCACAGGATACCCGAGTATTTCAGAACGCAGAACACGCAACTCGACGACAATTCATTTATTTAGCTGCCAGTAAGCATCCCCGTATTATCCCAATCACCAGAAATTTGCTGACATCCTCCCTCTCATGCTGTTAGGATACCCCGCCTCTTATAAAATGACTCCTTGTTCGATCCACACTCGCAAGGGATTACAAGCACAACAAGCCTTCAGCCCTCCCCGAGGAATGTGAAGGACGAACACTAAACATTCCTTGATGAAGCACACCGGCCATCCACATGAGCTTCTCCCAGCCTACAACGGTTTAACTTGATGATTCCACGGAGTGATTTCTGCCCTGATTGCAAGGGAGAAGTGTCAGTCAATGTCGAAGCGGTCCTTGGCACGGCCTTGGCACATTCCTGTTGCGCCAATCATTGACAGATGTTCCTCACACAAGCCGATGTCAGTCAGACTAGAGATCGCGCCACGGGCCAGTATGAGACGGGGCGTCAATGCATATGCGGGTTGTGCACCTCCCTAGAGAGACGATGCGAGGGCTAAAATGTCCTGGCGTCGCTCAAGGGGCGATTGACCGACCCTGACTCTCCGAAAAAAGAGAGGGGCCGAACCGGCAATTGCAGCATTTGAGTATGCCACAAGGTTGACAGGAAGAATCATTTCAACCCGGACCCCAATCTGATATCGTGTAAGCGATAAGCGGTCTCAACATCTAATTCAGGAGATTTCCACCCTGTAGTGCGACCACACATTTCAGTTCAGGCCGTCAGATTCGCCAGGCTTCGGGGAAAAACTGGCCTGTACCCACGAACGGGATTTTCACACCCTGCAGGTCAGTATGGTTGAGGGAGAATCAGACTGACGGGTTGCACAAGCCGGTGAGACTAATAAATGGCAGAAGATGGGCGCGAGTTCGGGCGACTCTTAAGCTCCGCTTTTACTATCCATCGAGGGCACATAGAGCCCTTGCTGCTCGGTTCGCCCTGATGCGGCAATATCGCTCATCACCATGACCATAGTCTTAAGAAGGCACACCAGGATGCCTGCACTGCTTATAGCAATACTCCTGCTCGCCGTATCGCTGGCAAGAGGAGCACCCAACACGACGGGAATTGACACTGTGGACAATTACTGTTCAAGGCTGTATCACCAGTCAACAGTGAAGAATAAGACTCTGTACATCAACGGAGGATTGGAGATCTTCGTGGCGAAAAACAACAACGGAACGGCAGAAGGCGCTCGAGTGCTTGGATATAGTATGTTCTTTTGGTGCAAGTTCGAGAGACTCACGTCGGAAGTGCTAACCCTACCTAGACACCGGCTTGATCGAGGTCGACCTGACGTCTTCCTGGGACTGGAAACAGAATATCTCGATCCGGGCTGTCTCGAAGAAACCGAATCCCAGAACTGGTCCAGATCCGCCCGTGGTTGTTCGCGGTGCACTGTATGCGGGAGGGCCATCGGACTCGAGCATTTACCAATATGGCGGAACAGTCTCATATACGAACACGAGTTTTCCTGGGTTCCAAAAACCAACTTCGTCGCAGTATGCGCTTTGGTCGTACAACACCAGCAATGGCTCTTGGGATCAATTTGACGTCACACTGGGCGCCGAGTACCGGCCTGCAGGAGGAGCGTATGGCGAGGCTCCAGACCAGGAATTGGCATTCTATCTCAACGGATACATCAACAACGGGACATCGAATGACCTGGAGGACTCGGACGACCTTCTCCGCTACCTGGATGGTTTGATTGTCATTGATACCCACACGCAGATGGCGACGAACATATCGACGAGCTCACTGGCAAATTTTCCACGAGTCAAGGGTGGCATGGTCTACATCCCTGGGATAGGACCCAAAGGCATATTGGTCGCAGTGGGCGGTGTCACCAAGCCAGCGAATGACGGTAGCGCGTCCAATGAGGGAACATACGTAGGTTCAGACGCATTGTTTGGTCTGTGATTTGTCGCTAATCAGCTCTGTCAATAGGTGCCATTCGACGAGATCGATATCTTCGACATCTCGTCCGTTTTCGAGGGCGACGATAACGGCATCTGGTATGCACAGAAGGCGTCAGGGGATATACCGGACGGACGGACGGACTTTTGCTTGGTCGCTGTCTCTGCAAAGGATAATTCTAGCCACAATATATACATGTACGGAGGCAAGGGCGCAAACGAGTTATACGACGAGATATACGTGCTTTCTATCCCGTCCTTCACATGGACGAAAATCTCCGAGGGAAAGTTGCCACGTTACGGGCACACCTGTCACCTGGTAGCCAACCGACAGATGTTGACAGTGGGAGGAGCGTTGTCTGACGATCTCTCTACCTGCGACTGGGAATACAGAGGCGTCGCCATCTACGACATGTCGACATCGACATGGGGCAGTGTATATGATGCGTTTGCTGCAGATTACGCGGTCCCTGCAAAAGTTTATCAAGTGATCGGTGGAGGGTGAGTCTGCTACAACAACGAAGCTTCATAGGAAACTGACCCATTCTCCTAGGCCCAACGGAAACGCAACCAAGAAGACACCATCGGATGGGTTCAGTACACCCGAACTCGCCAGCTTCTTCTACCCGCCCGCGAACAACGACAGCGCAAGTGCCCAGCAGTCAGCGCCGACCAAGCTCAGTAAAGGTGCTATCGCTGGCATTGCCATCGGCTCTGTGGCAGGCGCAGCCATCCTCTCCGCAGCGCTACTCTACATCCGTCAGCGGCAACAAGCAGCAGCCGAAGCCCGGCGAGCTGCCGAAGCCGAAGAGGCAGAGAAGGAGATATTCACGGAAACAGCCTGGAGGAACAACGGCGACCGAGTCGAGCTCGGAAGCTCGGAAGCTCGGCGAATAGATAGACTAGGGTGTTAGTACATGAGATAGATGGGAGTCATGTACGCGAGATACCGGGTAGTTGGGCTTTACTGCCTTACATCTGCAAGCATTCACGACAATCGTACAAGCATAAAATTAACCGTATTCCCTAACACTAAACATCAATACAACCAAGTAAATACCAACAATACAGCAATCCGAACAATCCAACTCACCAGCCACACAAAGTGGAGAACAGTTCAGCTACCAGAGGTACCCCAAAGATAGAGTGTGGATCTCAGCGGATAGACTATGTACCATGGCGTCATGATCTACCCTGCAGGGATTACATCGGACCTCTTACTGTAAGTACTTTCAGTACCTTAGGGGATATCTTAATTTCAATTATTACTTCAAAATCAGTTCATACACATTGAGTAGGTGGTTGCTTCTCAGCTAATCAGACATTACTGTCTACGATGAGCATTGGTACTATGGGCATTCGAATTCAATCTGCCGCTCTCGTAGGATGACAAACAATACAAGTATCCCATACGCATAATCAAAGATACTTTATACTTCACATTCTGTCTAACATGTAAGTACTAGATAGAAGGATCCGTGCCATCCCCGCAAGTCCGATCCACCCAACAGTTGAGTTCAGTTCAGTGCGCAATCAGCATCTCCACTGCTAGAGTCCCCCACACCAGTGGATGTGCCATCCACCTATAATAAGCAGGAGATAATCTGCACCTAAGTATGAAGAACTCTGTTACACCCTTGAAACTACCAGACGTGTCGATCAAGCCAGCTGGGGGTTAGGCGAGCCGGGACGTCCGCGGAGTTCGTATTGATGTTGAAAGAGGGGTCGAAGGGCCAGGTAATGCTGAGTATGAAGTAAACGGACTATCCTTGAATCTCTAACAAGGGTGAAGGGGTCGAGTACGAGTACATAGAGCTATTGACATTGCGATCGTCGCTGCCACTGACGCCTGGAGTTTCAGACTGCAATATCACAATACCTTACTGCATCAACAGTCTCAATCACAGGATCCATGCATAAGAATATCGACAGTCTATCATTTGTCACTTTACTACTAGTGTACAGGTTCCCATAGTATACAATCCCAACTTCATCCTTTGTACACCAAGGCAATGTCCATCAAACGCAAAACAGAAAACATGCAGACATCATAAGCGTGACACTCATACATAAATGCCCATATGGTACACATGAAACGCGCAGAAATCATCGCGCATGTTGAAAGAAACACAAGCCCGAGTCATATCAATGCTGATCAATTCAAGCGACAATCTCAATTTGCGAGAAATAACAAAATGGAATGTCCATTCATGCAACCCATTTTCACACCCAAAGTAGGAAAGACCACGCAATGCATTAAACAGTTGAATCCATGCTTGCTGAAACAAACATTCAGAAAATAAAAAGAAAAGAAAATAAAAAAGGAAAATGATAATCGTAAAGCATTGGAAGACGTAACAACCGAATCATCATTGTGTATGTTGCGTATTGTACGTCAATTCAGACGAGGGTGCCATGATGTCATTCTAGCACATTCTGAGCGCCTTAGGCATCATTATCCCGAAACGGAAGTTGTCACCGTCGATCGGGAATCATCGGTGGGTCCACACCAATGGGGATAAGCCTCTGACATCATAGGCTTGAACCCCGTCATCCTGAGTCACGGAGACGTCGATGCAGGTGCAGAAACGGGGGATCATCCTATTCGTCGCTCCGACGAAGCTGTGACATGATTTGTGACGATATCGGATGATAGAAACTTCCAGACATGAAGCATTTGGTGTGTGCATCAGCGCACATACGCCCAAAACGCTCCGCTAGCTTTTCATTCACGGCCCCTGCGCCGCTGCTTACCGGGCCAATCGACTTCGGGATGGACAACCCGCATGTGCCGGGTCAGCGCATCATTGCGCGAGAAGGTCTTCTCCTCTGTGCACAGATGACATCGGACCTTCTGCTTACGGGCGTTGTGGATCGTGTCCTCGTGCCGCGTAAGATCATACGGCCGCGAGAAGACAGAATTGCAGGGTTTCCCAGTAGAAGGGTTGATCCGCTCACATTTGTGGGGGCCAGCCTGAGAGTTCCGTGCCGAGTGATCGCGGCTAACAAGATGACCGCCAGGGGTAGTCTGGCGGTGAGCCTCTCGCTTGTGCTTCTGGAGCTTAGCCGGCGTCTCAAACCGTAGAGTGCAGCCGTGATAGGTGCAGGTGTAGGTGCCACCATCCGTAGATGTATTGTCTGGCCGAGTAATCTCTTGTTTAAGAGGTAGGATGTTCATGTTGGATTGAGGTGAAGTCATATCATTTTGAATGACCTCGCTTCCAGTAGAATCGAGGTGCGGAAGAGAGGCGGGAAACTCGGGAGTATGGTGAAGCAGATTGTTTTGCTGCTGCTGGTGCTGCGGCTGGCGGTGGTTCTGCTGTTGCTGCACGAAGGGATATTGTTGCGAGAGAGAGCTGGTCTGCGTATTGAACTGACTGGGGAACGAATCCATCGATGGAAAGTTCTGTGCCTGTCGTAGTGACGAGCTGCTCTCACGTCGCAAGCCCAAAGCATCACTGAGACTGAAATCAGGTTGACTCGAAGGGAACAATGGCGGCATGCTAGCATCTTCGGTCTCATTAAAATCAAGAACCGCATCCTTGGGAGACATGGTCTTGGGCTCTGTCTGCGACTGTCCCAAATTCATGGCACCTTGAGGCATAGGCACGCTGGTGGCCAGTTGAGCAACATTGCTGAACTCGGCCGCCATAGGTGAGTTTTGTCGGAAGGGCGACCGGTCACGGTTCAGATTGACCGCGGGAGACTGAGACCGTGCAGAGAGGTGACCCTGATTGGCAGCTTGCAGACGATCTGCAAAGACGCTGCGGTAGTGCTGGTTGGTGGACGAGGGTTGCTTTGGAATCTGTGGTGCTGGCATGATGGCAGGGTTGTATAGCTCATCTTGGTAAATGTCGGAGATTGTGCGATTGAGCTTGGGAATGCCGATGGTCATATTGTTACCATTGTGGTTACCGTAGTCTGAAAGCGCATCGGCACGTAAGTATTCATCCATCCACCGGTCTACATCGGGATATCGGTTCTCACCATTAGCCATCGCCTTCGATGCATCGTCGATCTCGTCAAAGCTTGTTTGCGGGGTCACCGGCGAGTTGTGACTCACAGTCGAAACGGAGGGAGCCAGTGAGTAGTCACTTGATTGGTTTTGTGATTGTTGTTGCTGGTTGTTTTGCTGGTGTTGCTGTTGCTGTTGCTGCTCCATCACAGCCCGTCTCATAGCGGCTTCTGCCTCGGCCTGACTAGCATCATGTGCGGATGGATCGTAGTTCTGAAAAGGTGTGGCGAGGAAAGAGTTCTGCAAAGGCGTCTGGGCAGGTGTAGGCAGAGGCTTTGACAGGCTACCGTTGTTGGACCGTTGCACGCTTCCTGTTGGGGCAGATTTGCTGGAGGCAGGAGAGGTCTGTAGCTGCGAGTCTTGATATGAGGTCCGGGGAAGACCGTTTGAAATGCGAGCTGGACTCAAGAGCTGCAGGTTGCCTTCCCAACCGTGGTTATTTGCGACAGTATGTTGCGCCAACATGGGGTTGCTGTTATGGTGGTTGCTGTAGAGATATTGCGGTTGGTATTGTGGCAGGTATGGATTGGAAGTGGGAGGCGACGTCGAATGCTGAATATGAATCGAAGGGTTGTACGATGAAGCAGGTGTCATCGAAGGAGCCTCGAAGGAACTGCCGTCGTAGACGGCAGGCGAGTATTGCGCGACTGCCGTCGCGGGAAGGTGGGAAAAGGTAGAGGCGGGAGAGGAGGAAGGTGACGAGGGAGCGGAAGAGGGCGGAGAGACAAAGTCGAAAGTAGGTTGATACTGAAAGGGAGACTGCAGTCGAGGCTGTTCTTGGTAGAAACACTGCAGTGAAGGGTCTTGCTGAGAGAAGTCTGGGATGAACTGATCGTCTTGTATGCAAACGGGGTCCTGCTGGTGGACAAAAGGTGCAGAAGTTGGTTCAGTGATGAGACCCTTACGTACAGAAGGGTACATAAGCATAATGGTCTCTTGGAAAACTTGGGACGATAGACTTGGATGATGGACACCGAGTGGAGGGAATTTGCGAAGAGAATTTGCCACTGGGGCCAGGAGAGTTTAAATAATAGGTTGGCACCAACGGCCCCAAGAAGTCCCGACGGACTCAGATCCGATTAACTCGTTCGTGCTGCGACCGAGAGAATGGTTCGAGCGGAAGTTTAGTTGACGACGAGACGTGGTACGGAGTCGTCGAGGCAGATATGATATTGGAGTCTGGAAGCGACGGGCAGACCAGAGTCTCAACTGGAGGGTTCAAGATGTGAGGACTGGAAGTTTGTGCGAGCTACTTGATTAGTTATATGAATAAAGTTTGAACCGAAGGTTATTATGATGTGATGACAATTGCTTGTGTGTGTATGGTGAAAGGAGACAAGGTATGAAAATGTAGTATAGTAGAGTATAGGAATCACTTACTAGGAGAGGAGGAGGTAGGAGATGGGAACCCCAGACAGGAGTTAATAAACGATTGATAACAAGGGATATGATGTGAGAATGACTCGAGAGGTCAAAGACCAGATTCCTAATGTACAAGATATCTGGTTGTCGAAGCAGGATCAATGTATGGACAGGAGGGGACAAGGGACATTTATGATGTTAATGATGCAATAATCGGCTAGCGTCGTCGTACAATGCAGAGCGAACTAACTAACTTAGCGTCAGAGTCAGTTTCTGTCATGGTTTACGGGCTTGCCCGAAGGAGTTATGACAACGGACAATCCTTGACTCAGGATTACAAATAATACCCAGGGAAAAATACCATAATTACGAGTACGTACTGCCTGAAGGTTAGGTTTGATTGATCGATCTGTTTTTGTCTGGGGGTTTTAGCGCCGTCCACCTGGCCCCACGCCCCGCCGAGCCATTAGCCGGACACTCAAAAAAAGATGAACCCACCATTCTGGAGTCGGGTATCTTCCAAGCCACAATTCCTGCAGCTAAAGATGGATGCGTTGTCCTCGAGCAGGTACCACCGAGTACGGACTACGGAGCGCAGACAGGTCATTCAGCACTGGCACTTTACCATCTATCCCCTTGCAGTGACTGAGCCACACTCCCTGTGCAGAATAAGTTCGGGAGTGCAGTTATGCCTGAAGGGCCCAATTAGTCGGACAAACCCGAGATATTTCCCGATTCAACTGGTATCTAGTTCTTGATGCTTCTTTGTCCTTCTTTTCCCTCGGAATACAGATTATTCAAACATGAAAATAAATCTTATGGATTTGTCATTATTTTATGACTCTTATACCGAGGACTCACCGAGGACCACAATAATTATGAGCATCAATGACTCAGATAGTCGCCGGGCTATGCCAGCACTCCATGACTCGCATGTAGACCATTTTGATAGTAGATACTAGCACTCTGTAATATTATAAAATAATGTCGAAGCTATTAGTAAAACCGTACATCTAAACAACTAGACTAGTGAAGTTGGATGAGACTGACGATCCTCCCATTTCTGATCCTAAGGCTACCAATGACGAGCTGCCATGGCTAAGCCATGCATTCCTGTCCACGCAGTTGTTGAAGATCCCGATCTCGTGTGGTTTCAAGGCAGGACCCTGACAATATGCACAAACGGTAGGGCCGTGTAAATCGACTAATCAGAAACGTTTGTTCTAGGGAGGGGAGAAGGGAAAGTTCTCAAGTAAGGCATGTTTGATTTGTTCGTAGCTCCGCAGCCTAATGAGCCAACCAAGCATACGCCACATGTTGCGCCACAGACATGTGGCTAGTGTCCAAAGGTATGGATGTAGTTACACTATTCATGATTATTAATGTGGACGCATACGGACTTCGCCGAGCTACGAACATTCGACCGAGAGAATCGTCTGGCAGTACTGCGTACTATCTACTGCGTTCCATGCCGATTACAGCAATTGTCAGCACATGATTAGAAGAATAAAATAATATTCTTGCTGGACTGTGCAAGTGTGCAGAAACAGGCGATGGAGAAGCGGAAAAGACTCGGAGATAGCTACTCAGCAGCTCCACCATGCCGGCTCTCGGCATTTCCTACTGGACGGCGGACTTTTCGGGGCTTCTATCTACGAGGTACACAGAACTACTCGGCCGGCCAAGTTCGCAGCACATGAGCATTTCAAGTGCATTCATCGTCTGTAGAAAGATCACTTTTCAAGCTAATGCTCTGTAGCTTGCGAGGCTCAGTACTTGAATAAGTCAGCTGATTGTTTCTCTCCCATGGTACTACGGACTATTGAGTACTAGTTGCGTTGTGTGGAAGGTCATCTGACCTGGATCATGATCTTGTTCAATATCACCACTTGGCGTCGAACGATGTAAGAGTCATACCATGAAGAAGAGAGTCTAACCATAGTTTTCTGTTGATTCGTTACTATTAATTAATTTATAAAGACGAATAACTTCCTGGTTTATCACATGCAAATCCTCAGTCGATTTTGTTGAGATATCAGAAAGCTGTTGGCTGAATATCGGCAGATCAGGATGCGAGTGAGTACCTCGCTACGGAGGAGGATAGCGGCCTATAGCAACACAGTGCCTAGTCTAGCCGATTTGCTACGCAAAGACCAAGTGTCCAGTATGCAATTGTAGCCAACGGTAATCCTCCAGTGACAGACCCAGAGATACATGGCTCCCCACGCATATCATGACTGACAGCTGAAGCCAGTGGCAACTTCAGCTGAAGTACATAAAATCAGAATCTGGCTGCCTGTGTCTCACTCTACTCGACGCGCATGTCCATGACCAACAGAATCCGCGTACGCGGCTCATCTTCCCTTCAACCGGGCACTGGCCGCGCATGACTGGCACGAGTGCTGTTGTTGACTCGTCAGATAACGCAGACTGGACAGTGGATGCTCTGCCCTCATGCCCTGGAACCATTCGGAATCGACACCTGAAGGTCAAGATGGAGTCTAGCGTCTCGAATCTTGTTACCTGCAGTCTTGCACCTGCACCTGGATCGTTGACTCGTTCGGCCTCCGGCCGGATGGACCCCGGCGGGTCTTGTTCTCACGCAGTGGGTATCTGCCTTCATTCTGCATGTCTAGGCTTCTCCCATTATGAACCTGCGATTGGTGAACCGGAAAGTCGAGACTCTCAGCTGCTTATCTCTTTCTGACTTGTCTGCAATGATTATCTCTCTAGCTGGAGGTCGAATCCGGGGTACGCATGTGATTTACTGACTCATTTCAACCTCTCCATGACAGTCTAGAATGGATCTAGCATGCATTCAACTACAGTGCTTTCCACTCAGTTGATGACCGTGATATTACCGAGAATATACCTATTATTCATCCATCTACCCAAGCTGGAGTGAAGAGGTTACACTGGTGGTGCCAAATAACAAGGATTAGATCGATTTAGCCGACAGTCAGCACCTTAAACCACATGGAATTTTCCCTCGAACCTCAGACAGCTCAGAAATGTGCATACGCAGCGAAGGAAAAAATTTTCCCACCCCTCTGTTGCTGCAGGTTTCTTTGCAGATGGGAGGGCTTGCGGACATGATTCGCTGACATGCAGCTGTCCGAGCACAGCCACATCCGTCGGTGGTGAGGGATCTTCGGTTTTGGTGGGGCTGTTGGGACCCATCAGCAAGGGAGCTGGTGTTGCTGTTGGTAAGAAACGCGGTAATACAAATATGGTAATCAAACCGAAGGAGACCTGCGTATTGCGCATGACAATACAGCCCTCCCACACTGCACATAGGGCTATCATTACTCTCGTGCATCCTCCATTCCATTCTTGGGCCGGAAAATCCTAGCCGGAGGATTCGACTCGGTTCCCCCGTAGCGCTAAAGAATTTTTTCCATCGGCCTTCTAGAAGCCCCGTCTAAATTTGGCCATGCATGGGTAGCGTCAATGCGTCCATTCCTGTTGGACTCGCTTCCTTCTTGAGAAACTTTTTCTTGCAGTTTAACTTGCGACTTACACGAGTTAGATTTGGACTAGGGATGCCAAGGAGAAAATTTTTCTGGCATGGCTGCTCGTTTAGATGGACGTTAGCGATAAGGTGGTTGCACTTGTGCATGCTCTGTATACGGGAATGCATTGGCCTGGATGACTGAGTACGGAGTATACCTCGGTGATATCGGCCGGTGAAAATTTTTCATGCTATCATTAGGAATAGGATAAAGCATATTATTAATAATGGTGTCTTATACCGCGTATTTTTTTGACAAATATTGGAGGTAGAATAGCCGATTGTTCCTTGAACCTGTGTCAAGATCACCGTTCTCACTGGTAGATAGACCATTAATATCAGTACTACATACTATCGCTATCTATCAAGATAACGATAAGTAACTAATCAACTAACCAGTGGAAACTACAAGTACACAGGCTCAGTTGGGGCCCTCGGCCCGGTAGATCCTTCAGCACCGTCGGTAACACGGCACCGTGGTTCGCGCTCCGAAGAATAACCCAGCATCAGCACTACATCTCACCTGCTTGCCTGCTAATCTGAATCTGAATCCGAATCTGAATCTGACTACCGTCCGAATACGAAATCTCCCGAATTTCCGGATTGAGCCTACTTCATTTTTTTCATGGAGAAACTCGGACTTGGTTCTTTTCGTCTGGATCACGGAGATCCGAGCGCAGTAATAGATAGGCATAGCAATAGCAATAACAATAGCAATTACCAATCTCTACCCTGTACTAGCCTACTAGGATTTCGAGTCATGATATCCAGGTCATGATATTGATCAGTGTCTCTCAGAGTATCAACAATGGAAGCAAGACCGCGTGACATGCACATGGCCGGTCACCTGCTCTCTCAACTGTCCACCTCATAATCACTATTTCGACTAAGATCACACCATTCCTATGACCAAAATCAAATGACTTATTTACTATTGAGTGAAAACAGAATCAAATTGACTCATGCGCATACTCTGCGTAAACGAATTTGAAATGGTCTGGACTGACTGTCTTAACATCCACCCGTCTGGGCCGATCGGGTCTCGACCCGCGTTCGGACAGTTCGGTTAGAGTCGAGATCTGATCAGCAAGACTTGACTACTACTCAACACTAAGCATGCATGTGCATTATCAGGGTTTTTTTATAGAAGTTTTTCTTCCACTTAGGAGACTATGATAGATTCTGATGTTGATTTGCTGGATATTTGAGACTCTTGAGACATGAATGAGATACACGATTACAGTGGATGGTTTGTGGAGGTCGATGGATGGTCGGGTGGGACTAGTTCTAATATTAGTACAGTTATTCTTCGAAAGAGTGTCTGAGCCTCCATAACAGAACAGGCCACTATCTGGTGTATATGGCTATCGATAAATTAGTCTCGACTTCAATCTTGGTCTTGACTTGACAATTAGATAGCCAGTTTGTATGACTAGAGTATTTGCATCTACACTACGGTGTTGGATTCTAGGTGTATGCAAGTATAATGCTTAAAATGAATAGAACAATATCAACTGATATAGATCCCGAAAGGAACGCTTCAGTTCGCGTCTTATGCACAGTAAACGTACTTTTCTAGACAATATCCAAGAACAAGAAGTGTTTTGGCTTCTTCTCCCTCGCAGATTTTCGATCAACCCAGGACAATAGCCTACGAGCATGTTAGCATAATTGAGCCGTAGTAAACAAGAGTCACAACATACCCGTGCACGCTCGTAGAGAGGGCGAATACCCGTCCAATGTTGGAACTGTACTCCATCAGTAATGTCCATCTGTACAGGTCGATCAACATACCTGGTGTACTCCTTGCCCGATCAGGGCCTCCAACCCAGGAACAGTAGTCCACCCTGCATCGACAGCAAGCTGCATCAGCGCCGTCACCCGCGGCTTGTAAGCCATCTCCAGCAGTACGCGAGGGGATCCCTCGATCGTCCGGGCGGCGTCGGCGTCTGCCTCCTGGGCACGTTCGAACATGTGGCAGAGGATCTCCCGCATACCGGGATCGATGGGCCGGTCGGCGGGGATGGTGCCGATCGCAACATGGGGAACATGCTCCAGCTTCTCGTTGCCCTCGACGATTCGGATGTTGTAGCCGGTCGGGAAGGTGGCGACCATACTCTCCAGCTTGGCAGGGTTCCGTCCTACAATGTAGATGGGAGAGAAGCCCATATGGTGGAGAGCGTAGATGGCAGCGCGGGATGTGCCTCCGCCACCCACCACAAGACCACTGGCATTGCCGTCGGCTCCGTAGGCGCCCGCGTTACGAAGGCATTGGACCATGCCCTGCCAGTCGGTGTTGTGACCGACCAGCCGCTGCGGCTTGCCCTCACCATCGGAAACTGGCACGACGGTGTTCACGGCACCAATGATCTCGGCCTCCGCAGTAATCTCATCAAGTAGGGGCATGATATCCAGCTTCAGAGGAATCGTCACAGAGGCTCCTCCGAAGTCGGGAGCGCGGATAAAGTCCTTGACATCTTCGACATTGGCAGTCTCCAACCGGGTGTACTCATGGGGAAGTCCCATCTCGGCGAAAAGAGTGTTGTGCAGTGCCGGCGAGCGGGACTCGGAAATGGGGCTTCCAAAGAGGGCAAAGCGCTTCTTCTTGATCTCGCCCATCAGTGACAGGCCCTTGCGAATATCTGTCGCAGACAGCTGGCCCGGAGCAGCCCTGAACGGGAGAGCAGGATGCGATACTGGTGTCATGAATCCGTTCAAGATGCGACTCAGCTGCCCGTTGCCTCCCATGTTGATTGCGATCAGTGGCACGTCGTGAGCCTCTTCGGCCCAGTTCTTGAACTTCCTCAGAGCCGTGTTGTCATCGAGGTTCCTAGCCACACCTACAAGCTTGATCACATCGCCGTACTCGAGCGCCCTGTTGTAGTACTTCATCCAGGACATGTTTGCCCACGAAAGTTCGCCCTTAGGGTCGTGGTGCGAGGTGATGATCTTCGAGTACCCCTTCATTTCAGTAACCGCGCGCAGCATCTCATCTGGGAAAGCAATCTCGAGATCCACAAACTCGCACCCTGACCGGACAGCGAGCCGGTAGAGCTGCATCGCCTCCGCATGAGCATCGTCGGGGAACCGACCACCCTGTCCCTTCGTGCGAATGGTGAAGATCACGGGCAGTGTAATACGGCTGCGCAGGTAGGAAATCTGATCAGCAACAAAATCGACGGTCGGAATGCCGTTCGCCGAGTCTGGATCCTCCAGTAGGTCGACACGCAGTTCAACAGCATCAGAGCCCACACATGCTTGCTCCAAGATCTGATCCGCACCACGCACGTCAGGAAGAGTCAGCGACACGAAGAACGAATGCTGCTTCTTCTTGATGGTACTGAGGCTGTCCTCTAGTCCTGTGACAAACTTGATGAAACGCGCAAAGTCTTCAGAGGCCCGGGGAAGTCCTGCGCTGGCGTGCTGACTGTAGTACTGAATATTGCTGCACTCCTGGAACCATGGCTTGCGGCGCAGCCACACTCCCAGCATATCCTCAACGTAAGCCGGGCGGGTCTTATCGATGTTCAAGAATGCCATCACCTGCTTGATGTCGCGCATGATAAGCAGAACATTTCCTTTGGTTTTGTGCCAATCGATAAGCAGCTTTCTCGCTTCAGGAATCTCTACTACTCCTCCGCCGCATGCGAAAACATGACCGGTCGGGCGCTCCTTCATCGTTCGCTGCAGAAGACTAAGCTCGGCATCTCGGAAACCTTGCCAGCCACGCTGCTTGATGATGTCCGGAATGGTCATGCCTTCTATGCGTTCGAGTTCGTCGTCGAGATCAATGAAGGGTCGCTTGAGCGTAGACGCAACCCAGTTTCCACTTGTGGTCTTTCCAGCACCACGCATACCGATAATGAACACCGACGCACTTGCCTTTTCGGCACGGGTGAGAACGGGAGATTCGGCTTCCTTCAGCTCCTTGCCCTCGAGCTTGACGGCGAATTTCTGTCGCAGAGTATCCCACCAGCCGGGCCATGTCTTACCCACACACTCTTTTTCCAGAATCAGCGTAGGCTTAGGGGCAACGAGAGAAAGAACGCTGAAGCTGAACGCAACTCGGTGGTCATCGTAGCAGAAAACGCCGCCGGCCGGCTGCCGAAGGGTGGAACGGTCAATGCCGTCGATCTCAAGTCCATCATCGTGTTCCCGACAGACGACACCAAACTTGGCAAGCTCGTCGTGCATGGCCTTAATGCGATTACATTCTTTGACACGCTGGTTCGCGATACCATAGATGCGAGTTGTGTGGTTCGAGTCCTTGCCTCTGGCAATGGCCGCAAGAACCGACGCCCCAAGGAATGCATCAGTCATAGGCTCCATATCGACGTTGGGCAAAGGCCGCAAGACACCGTCGGCGGGACCGGTAACGGTGGTCGAGGTGTCGGTCTGTTCCACAGTGCAACCCATGGGTCTCAGAACATCAACGGCGAAACGAGCGTCGCCTTGAAGAGACTTGGATCCAATGTTCGGAATAGTGCACGTGGTGCCGGTGACTGCGGCAATCGCCAAGGGGTAGGTGGCGGAGCTGGCGTCGCTCTCCACAACGTACTCTGCAGGGTTGATGTAACGTCCCTGAGGGATGTGATAGGTATGCTCCTCAGTGGTAGATTTCTTCACATCAATGCCGAAAGATCTCATCATAGCCGTCGTCATGTCAATGTAAGGCTGCGAGATGGGCTTACCGCCCACCAGTTTCAAGGTCACAGGCTCCTTAGCGTATGGGGCGCACATGAGCAGGGAGGACACATATTGAGACGACACTTTGGCGGCGAGGTTGATTTGGCCACCGGTGAACCCGCCTGAGGCGGCGATCTTGAGCGGCAGACTGCCCTTGTTCTCGACGTACTCAATCTGCGCACCATTTGCGGTCAGGGCATCCACCAAGTCGCCAATAGGTCTCTGCTTCATGCGGTTGTTGCCGGTAAGAACGCTTGAGTCGACGCTGCTGGCAGTGGCAAGGGTTGCGACAGTGGTCAAGAAACGCGATGCTGTACCCGCGTTGCCCAGGTAGAGCGGAGAAGGGTGAGCTTGAAGAGCACCTCCTTTGCCATTGACAACAAGGACTTCGCCTTCCTCTTCCCAGGAGAAGGTGGCAGCGCCAAGGCGCTCCAAGGCGTTCAGCATGACCTCGGTGTCATCGGAATGCAGCAGGTTCTTGATACGGACAGTGCCCGAACCGAGAGCGGCAAGTACCAGAGCTCGGTTGGAGATACTCTTCGAGCCCGGAGGCGCACAAACCACTTCCGAGGCCGGTGATACGCCAGGGTACACTTCAATACTAGGGGCAAGAACGACGCCAATATCCTCATTCGGCACAACGCTAGCCCGTGGTTCGTAAGTGCGACCGATGGCTGACAGGAGAACGATTTTCTTCTTGGGACCGTCGTTCTTCTTGTCCAAGGCCATGTTAAAAAGAATCTGGTCAACAGAGCAGTGCTTACCGGCGGTCAGCTTGCGAATTCGCGAGTCCTTCAAAGATGTAGGCAAGCCGTAGGCGGCAATACACTTGACAATGCGGGCCACGGCAACGCCCTTCAAGATACCAAGATGTCTGGCCAACTCCGCTTCCTTGACCATACCAATGGCAACGCACTCTCCATGGAGGATTTGAGGAGTCAGAATAGCCTCAATAGCGTGACCGATCGAGTGACCCCAGTTCAGAAGGTTGCGCAGACCTCCTTCACGCTCGTCCGCCGAAACGACAAAGGCCTTGTGACGCGCCGACGCAAGGATTCTCGCCTTCAGAATCTCCTCGATCCCCTCGAATCGCCGCTGACCCGGCTTAACCTCACGGCGAACAGCGCTCAAAATAGTTTCGGCATTGTCTTCGAGAGCGGTGAATTCTTCTTCGCTAGAGATGGCGGCTGTCTTGATAACCTCAGCCATACCGTTGATGAACTCCCTGACGGGAAGAGTCTCCAAGAATTCCAGGTCGATGTAGATCCTTGACGGTTGCCAAATCGCGCCGATCAAGTTCTTTCCCAAGGGGGTATCAATAGCCGTCTTTCCACCGATCGAGGAGTCCACCATAGCCAGAAGCGTAGTAGGAACCTGTACGAAGCGAACACCGCGCATATAGGTCGCAGCGACGAAACCTGTCAAGTCTCCAATGACCCCTCCACCCAGCGCAATAACCACAGTATCTCGGCCGCATGGCGGGCTCTGACTCAACATCCAATCCTCAATATCTGCTTTTGTCTGTCTCGACTTGGAAACTTCTCCTGGAGGAGCATTGTAGATCAACAGGCGGGGAGAGGGAGAGACCGAGGCGGCGGCCTCTTCGAAGGACTTCTGGAAGCCAGGGGTGTAGATCGATCCGATATTCGTGTCGGTGATCAGGACGTAGGTTGTAGAGGGACAGCCGCTAATCAGGTCTTTGGCGACATAGTTGCGCCAGAGACCGAAGTCAGCGACTATACTCTCCTGGCCCAGGATGCTGATTTTCGTGGGTCCGGTCATGGTAGAGAGGAGGGAGGGGATAGCAATAGGAATGGAATTCAACACTTTCGGGGGCAGTTCGGCCTTCGTCTCTCTATTGCATTCTGTGTCCAGTCGCAAGCCGCCCTTACGTTTGTTCCAAGGGGACCAATACTAGCTACTGAGTGAGGTGAAGAAGACAAGAGTCAGCACCGGAGAAACGAAGTCGGGGAAATTTTGAGCGGGGCAATGGGATAGATATCTGGAGCTTGGCCGGGAACTCAAGCGAAGAGCAAAGCAGCAAGGGAGCGACCGAAGAAAATGGACCCAGTATCAGACCAATTGCTCAAAGTATTGAATGATCGGGAAGAACCAGGATTTCAACGGAGTGCTGACCTGTGGAAGTCAAAGTCAGAAATCCCCAGATTGACTCACCGTTCCCGCTCCGATGTCGCGGCGGTAAGGGCTCCTTCGGTGTACTCTACGGCAAGGTACTCAAGAATTTGAGCCACAGTGACTTGACTGCGAGATTACGCCATTATTTATACTCATACTTGTATTTAGTTTATAAGGAAGCAATGAGATAAGAAGCGTGCAAAAATGTCAGATTTCCAATTACTGCCAAAAGTATGATTTCTAATGTATTGATACGATACTAATTTCTTTCCCATTCCGCCAGCTGAACTCCGTGTCCCAGTTGTATCAGTCAAATCCGCGGTCACCGAAACGTACCTCATCGGATAGTGGTGCGACTCATAGACGTAGAAAAGCCACCAAATCAGATCTCAGTAACGACCGTATCCACCTGAGTTTCTGGAGGAGTACTGGTCTTGGTTATATTGGCGCTGATCGCGATAACCGCCGCCTCCGCGATAGTTACCTCCGCGATGGTATCCTCCGCCGCCTCTGTATCCTCCGCTGCCACCATGGTCGGAGGACCTGCCATTATATTGATTGGACTGGTTGTAATATGAGGACTGATTATAGTATCCTTGCTGGCTCTGACCATAGTGGTCGCCCTGGCCATGGTTGCCTTGGTACTGACCGGGTCCTTGCCCGTATGGAGGCCGATGATGCGAACCCGACATTCCTCCATGTGGAGGAGGGGGAGGACCTCTGGAGAAGCCAGCGGACCCAGGAACGGGTGGGACCCAGCCCGAAGGCATCATAGGACCGCCACCAGCATTACCAGGGACGGGCGGTACGAAACCAGGGTCGAGATGCGCAGCGAAAGGATTAGGCCTGTCGCTTGCATAGTTGATACGGCCGCCTCTATGTCCGCCGCGCAAAGGGGCACCGCCGTACGACCTTCCAGAGTTTTGAGCCTTGTGCTTGACTGCTTGGATATCTGCGTTATCCAACGCCGGAGGGTTGAATTTGACTCCTCGAAGAAGCATGGACTTGTGAACGTGCTTTGACTTCGGGATTTCATAGTTCACACTAGGGCAAAAACTCGTTAGCCAGGTACAAAAAGGGACAGGTAAGAAGAGAGACTCACGTCAAGGACCGATCATCCTCCAAACTCGGCATGCCATATTCCTCGAGTGACGATGGCAGAGAGCTATGAGGAATATAGGCCTCATTACGCTCGACCTTGCCCGCCAAACCGTCACTTATACGCATGTTCAACTTGTACTTTTGGACGGCCTGCTTCTTCGAATAGAAATTGGCCACCAGGTCTTGATACAATGGATGAGCCTCCGAAAGTAGTAACACCTCTCGTCCCACGCTGTTGCGGAGCTTTTCGTCTTCAGTGAGAAGCGGGTATTTCTTTTCCATGGCGGCAAGTAGCCGCTTCTCATCAATGAAGGGCAGTAGAATAACACCCTGCCAAGCGAACTTCTTGCCATTCAAATCCACAGCAAAATCCTCCGGATAGAAATCAATGATCTCACTCTCTGGGTTACTCATAAGGTCGTGGAAAACTTCGGGGATAGCGTGATTGGAGGAGGCAGGGAGAACTCCCATCAACTGTTCAAATGGTTTGAATGGCACTCCCTTGTCGAAGTTTATCTCCATATCGCCAATGTCCACGAAATCTGCGGCGAAAGGAGCGTAATGGTACGGATAGTACCAAGTCCAGGACGGGCATCCTTGGAAATAATACAGCAGAACCCATGCGAGACCCTCGGCGTATGCCCGCGCAACCTTGTGGCGGAATTCCTTGTCCTGGGGGTCAACGCCAAACTTCTGCTCGTAATACCGGTCGGCGTATCCTTCCTCCCACAGACGAACTGTGTCGGGAGGCAGCTCATCCTCCTTGGCAGCAACAGGCACAGCAGGCGAGTCTCTGCCTGGAGTTCCTGCTTCCGTGTCCTCTTCCACGAGATCGGCCTTTCTCTTGCCAAGGACCGATGGCGAAGTTTGCTCCGTAAGATCCGTCTGATCCTGTGACGGCTCATCATTGTTTGACGTGGCCTCCTCAGATTTCTCCTCACCATCCTGACCACTTTGAGAGCCCTGCATTAGCTTGCTCTTCAAGACGGCAGCCGCGCTCTTATTTGCCATGTTGGCCCGATAAACAGCGCCGCGATTGACTACCATGCTGTGAGTGAGTTCCCTTGTCTGTCGAGACAATTCCCCTCGACCGGGGGTGATCAGTTCCAGTTGATTCGGCGGCGCTGCATCACCACCTCGGGGAGCACGGTGACCGACAGGCGAGTCCATGGGCTCGTAAGTAGGGGAGCTTCTTCGTCTCTTTCTGGCTCGTTCTTCTTCCCGAGCCTTTGCTTCCTGCTTCCGTCTTTTCTCGTTGGCGAGCTTTCTTTCCTCTGCTTGTCTACGGCGCCGGAAGATGGCATCTTCCTGCTTTGCGAGTCCTTGCAGAATGAGCTGAGCCCGCTTCAGATCGACATGTCCATCCTCGGTCAGGTACCCGCCCATGACGGGAATGTTATCGCGCCAGATTGCAATCAGAGTATCTATACCATTCTCACGGATGTCTAATGACGGTAGGTGAGGCAGGAAGTCATTTCCTACAAAGAAGCACATGAAGACCCAATCATCCAAAGCCCGTTCGAGGTCAAAGGGGAATGATTGTTGCGGCACATACAGCTCGGCAGCGAGATACTCTCTGAGGATGGAAACATGGAGCCAGATGAATGGTTTGAGAGAGGAACCTTTTTGCTTTTCATCAAATTCCCCATTCTTCTCCTTCGCCTGACCCCTGCACTCCTCTGCCTTGTGACCTTGTTGACCACAGAGATGGCAGGTTCGTGCCCGAGACTCCTGGAAGAAGACGTCTTCACGCAATACTCTGAAATGGGGTTCATGGGTAGCAAGACCCAGCATGATCAGATCGGCGTCCTACAAGACATATCGTCAGCGGTATGCATCGGGTAATGCGCAGTGTATATAACCCACCAATCCGTAGATAACGTGGCGAGTGTTCGGGTCGTGCTCGGGTGCCGCCCTTTGTGATCGGATAAATTCCATGATCTTGTGCTCGCCCTCTCCGGGCACAGTCGCATCCGAAATAATGATTTTAAGCTATAGTAGTTAGCAAGCGTTCGCATTAGACCCGCCGAAATATCGTACCTTCTCCCAAGCTGGGTCGGTATTCAACTTGTAAGCAATCCAATAGCGAAGAGATGCAGCGAGAATGTCCATGAACGGCGTTCCTGGCGTAATGACATTGCTATCCCATGTTTTCTTGACAACCTCTTCCTGTAACTCTTCGTCCACTTTGTTGCCGTTCTGTTTAGCGAGCATCTTGCGAAACTCCTCCTTCTTTTCATCCGCCTCTTTCGCCTCCTGGGCCGATCGGAATCGACGTGCTCGTTGCTGGTTCATCTTGGCTCGCGGCGCGACACCATCTATAGAAGAGATAGACGTTAGTCGAAAATCGAAGAGAATCAGAATAGCCTGGTCACATACCAACAGCGATCATCAGAAGCTTCCTGGGACGGACCATGTTCACCACGCGGTCAGTGTACTTGAAGATTTCCACCATCATCTCCTGCTCATTCGCCGGTGGCGGCTTGCCCTCAGGATGGGTACACGGATGGACAATACCATTCATGTCCAGATAGAGATTATCCATCTCCTCTCCATTGGGGTTTGGTTTAGTAGTGTCAACGGGAACTTCTTCGCCGTTGATTTCGTATGGCAACTCTTCAATGACCGGGGAGATGATCTTGGGGTATTTGTTGGAGAGCCATCGAAACAATGCCGGAACACCCATTATGGCGACAGTAGATTATGGCTATGATGAGAAAAAAAGTGTAAACTTATGAAGAAGAAAGGTTGAGATTCATCAGTTGCTGATGCGCTCCATCAGCTTTCTCGAACACTAGCCTCTCCTTGTCGCGGATCAGTAACGACCGGGACGATATGTAGTTTTATCCTCGTTTAATGATGTCGCATCAAGATCAGGCGTCCAATATCTGATACTAGTACAATATGCGAAGACAAGACCTAACCGATTGGTCTTCAGTGAAAGGATGGTTGTCTGAAAGTCTCTGCGACAAGATGAAGGCGGGATTTCGGCGCTATTCTTGACGCGGCTCCGGAGTTTAGCGGCCCCTTGGCATCAATTGTTTGAGCCAGCAGACAGCTGTTATCTCGGAAATGACAACAGTATTGTGGTGATGACAACGCAATTGGAATTGTGAATCTTATTTTGTCAGACTATTCAATGCCTGAATATTGCTACGCCCTCGGCCGGCGGTGACCATGATACTACGATCAATCCGTTGCGATGTTCCGAATCCTCGAATCACAGGCGCCGGCCAAACAAACGGCAACGGACACAATCAACACTCTGAGCAGTAGACTCCAAAGTGCGACTTTACTGGAGGATCGACGCGCGGCAATACAGGGACTAAGGAGCTTCTCAAAGCTTTATCCGGCCTCTGTCGCATCTGGAGCGCTACGACCGTTGATCAACAGCCTGAGAAATGACCGAGAAGATGTGGACACGATCAAGGTGGTCTTGGAGACTTTGTTGATGTTATTCTCCCCAGATGAGAGCAGTGTGCGTTGATTGTCCTGATCTGTTGATAGGACTTGCTGATATGTAGCTCACAGCCCGAAGCGTCTGATGAGATAGCCCTGTGGCTTGCGGATGAGTTCACTCAGGTGTGTACTGGTTACGTGGTACGAAGGCTATATGTAGCTAATGAGGCGAAAGCGACAAGACAATATCACCGCACTCCTCGATCTCCTCGATACGCGGGACTTTTATTCTCGTCTGTATTCGCTGCAGTTGATGTTTCAGATCTCAAGTGCCCGGCCAGAAAGGACACAGGAATGTATACTAACCGCCCCGCTGGGTATCCCCAGGCTTGTCGGTGCTCTGGGGGATAGCAGGGAACCAATTCGTAATGGTAAGCTGCACCGGAATTGGGTTTTCTATAATGCTCGAGTGACTCACCGTGCGTGCGCATTTTACAGAAGCACTACTTTTACTCATTGCCTTGACACCTGCCTCGGAGGAATTCCAGAAACTCGTTGCCTTCGAAAATGCCTTTGACGTGATATTGTCCCTGATCGAGAATGAGGGTGGTTTGACGCATGGATTAGAGGTCGTGGAAGATTGTCTATCTTTGCTGGCCAATCTCTTACGCCTCAATATATCGAACCAGTCATACTTCCGAGAGACCGGCTGCGTGAGAAGACTGGCAAAACTCCTAGCTGATGTCAACAAAGACGAGGATCCAACTGAGGACGTTCCGCAGTGGACGCATGGTCAGCGCGATAAGAATATCTGGGGCTTACTAGTTATCATCCAGCTGTTCCTCGTTAAGGGCGGGATCAACACTCCCGCCAACCAGACGGCTTTATGGAACAATGGTGTGATGGAGCAAATATTGAGCGCGGCCTTCGGCCAGAGGTTCAATGTCAACGTGACATCCAAGGTTTGTGCTTTTGAGTTTCCCAGGTACGACTTATCGGTTGACCTATCTAGGCGTTGGCAACATGCGCCGATTTGATCCGCGGAAACTCGTCCCTGCAGGAGAGATTCGGGGATATTGAGGTCTTCTGGGGTCGACAGCCCAGTCAAGATGGCGTTGTCAATGGGGACAAAGTCGCGAACGGTGTTCAGCGCGTCAACGTCATCGAAGCATTGCTTAAATTGAGTCTTGAACCAGCCCCAATACAGGTACTTGATGCCAGGCTGGCCGCAAGCGAGTGTATCAAGGCATTCTTTGCAAATCATCCGGGAATTCGCGTCCACGTGTTGCGGAGAGCGATTGATGGACATCTCAGCGGGCAGGATCAAATTCCGAATATCATGACTGTTCTGCTCGTGCCGCCGGATGCTCGAGGAAATTCCGATCCTTATCAAGTGTGGATTGCATCTGTCTTAATGTTCCACTTGCTGTTTGATGATGCCCAGGCAAAGGCGATAGCCATGCAAGTGACTGAGGGCGACGCTGAAAGCGGCGAAGAAGTAATCACCTGCATCCAAACAATTCTGGGAAACCTAATCACAGGAATGAAAAGGGGCGATGACGAGAGAATCACGGTAGGCTATTTGATGTTGCTATGCGGATGGCTCTTCGAAGAGCCAGATGCTGTCAATGATTTTCTTGGAGAGGGAAGCAGCGTTCAAAGCTTATTGCAAGAAACTAAGCATCGCGGTGTCTCCAATGTAATTGTGCCCGGCCTGACCACGATTTTACTGGGAATCATCTACGAATTTTCCACGAAGGACTCGCCTATTCCTAGGGCTACGTTGCACAAGTTACTACTCGAGCAGCTAGGCAGAGAGCAGTATATTGACAAGATCACTCGCTTCAGAGAATCGCCCATGGTCCGGGACTTCGAGGTCTTGCCACAGACGGTGGGAGGACAGTTTGACGCGGGACTACCTGATATTTTCTTTGACAGGACATTTATTGACTTCCTTAAAGATAACTTCAGCCGGTTGATTCGGGCAATCGATCGCGAACCTGGGCTTGAGATATCGGTCATCACAAATGGCATTCAGCGAGGAGTTTCGCGAGAACTGGTAGATTCGCTCAGGGCTGAGCTCGAAGAACGAAGCCAAGCTGTGCAGAAGCTCGAATCTGACTTACTCAATTTAGGAAACCAACTTGAGCAAGAGCAGCTCGAACATAGGAAATTCAAGGACCTGAGCAGCTCAGAGGCTTCCAAAATACGGCAGATTAATGAATCGTTGCAACGAAATCATGAACAGGAGTTGGCGAGATTGGAAGAACAACACAAACATGCCAAGAACGAATTGCTGAAACAGCATGGTGATCAACTTCGAGCTATCGACAACCAGCTCAAGGAAACCTCCGCCGAATACGAGAGGAGAAGCCAGAAAGTCAAGAAGTTGCACGATGCGGAAGTCGCTGATCTTCAAAAGAAAATCCAATCGCTAGAATTGGAGCTTACCCGCGTCAGGGAACAAAGTGCAGACGAAATTGGCAGCTTACAATCGACGATTCAAACGATGAGATCAGAAGCAGACCAAAGCAAAGGACAGCATTGGGCCCAGGTAGCGGAACTTGAAAGCACAATCCAAAGTCTGCGCTCAGAACTAGACGAAAACAAGGCGAAGCATGCCGACCAGATCTCTAATCTCAGCGACACGATTCAGAGGCTACAGTCTGAACTTGACAAAGCCAAAGAAGGACACGAGGCTGAGCTTGCTGACCTTAGAGCGAAGGCTCAGACTGTGCAGTCCGAACTTGACACAGCCAAACAAGAACATGAAACTGAAATCAGTGGCCTTAGACTCAAGGCTCAGTCGTTACAGTCAGAACTCGACTCTGGTACGGAAAAGTCCAAGGAAGATCTCCAGGCTGTTCACGACGACTACTCATCTAAGCTGTCAGAGCTGGAAAAGCGGGTCAAGCTGGCTGAGAGCAAGGCAGAAAAAGCTGAAGCAGATGCGCTCAGGTCTGCTGAGACACTCAAGGAGGTCCAGGCACAACTTGGAAAGACCAAAGCTGAAGTTGACGAGAAGGAGGAAGCTCGCAAAGCCGCGCAGACCGAACTCGAAGATCTCCTGATAGTGTTTGGGGATTTGGAAGCGAAGAGAAATCTAGATAAGGTGAGTCATTAGCTACTTGAATTCGGACCAATCACTAAATAATCATCTTTCCAGAAACGCCTTAGAGACCTTGGACAAGAGGTGTCTGAGGCTGAAGACGACGAAGACGAGGACGATGCTGAGGAGGAAGAATGAGGTTCGGCGTGTTCATACATCATGAACTGCGATTCATGTGAGCTAGCTTTCAACTCATCCTATAAAAGCAACCTAGATACCATCAACCAGCATAGGTATATTGCCATTAGGTAGCTCTAGACTGTCGTTTGTCTCTGTAATAATAATGCTTAAGGGCGGTAGGGCAAGAAGCCTTGGCAGAAAATCGGCCCGCGGGGCCGTGAGTCATTGCCGCCCTACATTTATCGTCTTTTTTTATCTACCCCGCGACCCATCCCTCGCTCCCGGCCACAGATCGCACCGACAGCCATTATCTGACGACTGTCCCCTCGCCCGTCATGTCCATTGATTTTCCGGCTGAGGAAGAGATCACCCTCAAGAGGTGGAGGGAGATCAACGCCTTTGGCAGGCAAGTCGAGCTATCCCGTGGTCGCAAGCCATACACTTTCTACGATGGCCCTCCATTCGCAACGGGCCTTCCTCACTATGGTCACTTGCTCGCCTCGACTATCAAGGATATTATTCCTCGATACTGGTCGATGAAGGGTCACTATGTCGAGAGACGGTTCGGTTGGGATACACACGGTGTCCCCATTGAGTACGAAATCGACAAGAAACTCGGCATGTCGGGCTTGGAGGCCGTCGAAAAACTCGGCATCGAAAAGTACAATGAGGAGTGCAGAGCTATTGTCATGAGATTCGCGTCTGAATGGCGCGAGACCATTGAGAGACTCGGCCGCTGGATTGACTTTGACAATGACTATAAGGTACGTTACCCCGCTGATGCTGGTGCGAATACATATCGCCTCGATTTGTACTGACGGGGATTAGACCATGAACTCCAGTTTCATGGAATCTGTATGGTGGGTTTTCAAGCAGCTGTTCGACAAAGGACTCGTCTACCGTGGCTACCGTGTCATGCCTTACTCGACCGCACTCAATACCCCCTTGAGTAACTTCGAAGCGCAACAAAACTACAAAGATGTGCAGGACCCTGCAGTAGTTGTATCATTCCCTCTGGTAGATGACCCTGAGACCTGCCTTCTCGCATGGACGACCACGCCCTGGACTCTGCCTTCTAACGTCGCCCTCGCCGTCAACCCTGGTTTCGAGTACATCAAGATTTACGATGAAGCCTCCAAGAAGCACTATATCCTTCTCGAATCCCTCCTTCGCACACTCTACAAGGACCCTAAGAAGGCCAAGTTTAAGATTGTGGATCGTTTCAAGGGTGTGGACATGAAGGACTGGAAATACCAGCCACTCTTCGATTACTTCTACGAGGAGTTCAAGGACTACGGTTTCCGTGTGATAAATGGTGACTATGTCTCCGCTGAGGATGGTACCGGTATCGTCCACCAGTCGCCGGCCTTCGGTGAGGAGGATTACAACGTTGCTATGGCAAGCGGTGTTATCAGCGAAACACGTCTGCCACCCAATCCTGTCGATGAGAAGGGCTGCTTCACCGCGGAAGTCCGTGATTTTGTTGGTCAGCATGTCAAGGCTGCCGATAAGGCCATCATCAAGCATCTCAAGGGCATCGGCCGTCTGATCGTCGACAGCCAGATTACTCACAGCTATCCATTCTGCTGGCGTTCTGATACCCCTCTTATCTACCGCGCTGTGCCCTCCTGGTTTGTCAAGATCGGCCCCGTCATTCCCCAAATGCTTCAGGGCATTGAAGAGTCGCACTGGGTGCCTTCTTTCGTCAAAGACAGGCGTTTCGCCAGCTGGATTCAGAATGCTCGGGATTGGAACATTTCAAGAAACCGCTTCTGGGGAACACCGCTTCCGTTGTGGGTCAGCGACGACTTCAAAGAAGTCGTGGCTGTAGGAAGTGTCGAGGAGCTCAAGCAGCTGAGTGGCTACGAAGGAGAAATTACTGACCTTCATCGTGACAAGGTGGACAAGATCACTATCCCAAGTAAGCAAGGCAAGGGTGTCCTCCGACGTGTCAGCGAGGTGTTTGACTGCTGGTTCGAATCCGGTAGCATGCCATACGCATCCCAGCATTATCCCTTTGAGAACAAGGAGCAATTCGAGAAGAGCTTCCCCGGTGATTTCATCGCCGAGGGGCTCGATCAGACGCGTGGTTGGTTCTACACTTTGACTGTCCTGGGAACACATCTCTTCGGCACCCTGCCCTTCAAGAACTGCGTTGTGAACGGAATTGTTCTTGCTGAGGACGGAAAGAAGATGTCGAAGAGATTGAAGAACTACCCTGATCCGACGCTGATCATGCAGCGCTACGGTTCCGATGCCCTTCGACTCTATTTGATCAACTCTCCCGTCGTGCGTGCCGAGCCGCTCAGATTCAAGGAGTCTGGCGTGAAGGAGATCGTTGCCAAAGTTCTCCTCCCTTTGTGGAACAGCTACAAGTTCTTCGAGGGTCAGGCAGCTCTGTTCAAGAAGAACAATAGCATTGACTTCGTCTTCGACCCCAAGGCTGAAGCCACCAATACCAACGTGATGGACCGCTGGATCCTGGCCAGCTGCCAAAGTTTACTGAAGTTCGTGAACGAGGAGATGGCTGGATACCGTTTGTACACTGTAGTTCCTCGGTTGCTCGAGTTGATTGACAACACAACCAACTGGTACATCAGATTCAACCGCAAGCGTCTTAAGGGCGAGAACGGTATTGATGATACTCTGCATGCGCTGAACACCCTCTTCGAGGTTCTCTATACCCTAGTCAGAGGTCTCGCTCCCTTCACACCATTCATCACCGACACCATTTATCAGAAGCTGCTTCCCCACATTCCCCAGGCGCTCCGTGGCGAAGACAGCCGGAGTGTGCACTTCCTTCCCTTCCCCGAGGTGCGCGAGGAACTTTTCGATGAGGTTGTCGAGCGACGGGTAGCACGGATGCAGAAGGTCATCGAGATGGCCCGTGTCTCCCGTGAGCGCCGCTCCATCGGCTTGAAATCGCCTCTGAAGACTTTGGTTGTGATTCACCAGGATCAGCAATATTTGGACGATGTGAAGTCCTTGGAAGGCTACATCCTGGAGGAGTTGAATGTCCTTGAGCTTGTCTTGTCGTCCGATGAGGCCAAGTACAATGTTCAGTACAGCGTTAGTGCCGATTGGCCTACCCTGGGCAAGAAGCTGAAGAAGGATGCCCAGAAGGTCAAGAAGGCATTGCCATCCCTCACGAGTGATGACGTGAAGAAGTTTGTTGCTGAAAAGAAGATGCTTGTTGACGGCATCGAGCTCGTCGAGGGTGACCTTGTCGTGAAGCGTGGTCTCAAGGAGGATGTTGCATCTGAGGGAATGGAACCTAACGCTGATGCTGATGTGCTAACCATCCTTGACGCCAACCTATACCCCGAATTGGCTCAACAAGGATTAGGTCGAGAGATCATCAACCGTCTTCAGCGTCTGCGTAAGAAGGCCGGTTTGGTCCCTACTGATGATGTGAGAATGGAATATGCCGTTCTCTCTGATCCCGACAGTGTTGGTATCAACGAGGCTTTCGAGACGCAAGCCAAGGCCATTGAAAAGGCTGTCCGCAGGCCCCTGGAACAGGTTGCCGTGGTTGATGGCAAGGTCCCCAGCGGAGACAAGGAAGCTCTTATCATGGAGGAGGAGCAGGAAGTTCAAAAGGCAACTTTCCTGTTGCGGTTGCTCAAGCTGTAGCTTCGGGCCAATCTGTATTGAGAAATGCTGCATGAGAATAATTAAGATCTTAGATTTGTCTAAAGATGAATTATGTTTACGAATCTCTTGGTTCTATCTGGAATCGTAGCAATCACTTCTTCAGTCTCCAGGAAGCCCCTCTGTACTCCTGGCCCGGTGCGGTTTCCCCAGCCAATACTTCGGCCTCGACGACCTCATACCTTCTTGGATGCCGCCTATAACTTCATCAGTAATCTGCATCAACCATAGCTTCTGAACAGCATACCAAAAAGCAATCTTTTAGCTTCATAAACTCCTTAGCACACATGTCCTTGTGCACTGCATTGTAGTCAGCAACAATGCATTTGCCATATGTGGCTGCCTGAGGACTGATTAGATACCGACAGTACGAGCAACGGGGTGAACATGAACCTACCTCTGCAGAGCACTTAGAAGCAGCTTTTGCAAACTTCTCAATAGGTCTGACCCTTGTTGATGGCATTTTTGGTGTGTTACTGCAACTGATCCTCTGCAGCTTTTGTCTGGTGATGCAATTCAGAGCCATGGACCGGCCCAGGACAATACATTACATAAGCAGTACCAATCACATGACGTACGCATTCCCATCTGCGCGACACGAACAAAACAATTCGAGTTCCGGGGACAAAGCCGGGGTGCTCTGTGTCCTTCGTCTCAACATTCTGCAAAGTCGGACATACTATTTTTTCTGGATTTCTTGGATTTTGATTTTCTAGCATTGGACACTGCGGATCTTTGTTCTACCGTCACCTTTGCGTCCCGCAATGCATGATTTCGTTTTCCGCCTCCATGACCGATCTGCGAAAAACGCGCCTTAGGTCGCGGACTTTTCGATGCCTCCGAATCCCCCTCAGCGTAAGGCTTTATCCTTTGAAAACCCGTCGCTTTCAGACGAAGGTAGGCAACTTCGGTTACTAGGATGTCGCGATTTTGCGATCCGAGTTCTTTGTCTAATCTCCGTCTTTCTTGTGTATAGATGTCGGTCTCTTGTATCAGATCGTTATCCGCGCGGAGCTCGATCCGGACGCCAACCGACTTCCCTTCAGGGCGTTGTTCAAAGCGTACGATGAGGTCATTGCCGAGCATGAAGTGGACGCGGATCCAGGCCATGCCTGTCTGCGCTTCCTCTTCAAGATGGGAAGCAAAGAAGTCGTAGGCGATTCTCTCTTTGAAAAGTTCGAGAATCTGCTTCGCCAAATGGGTATTGTCATTGAATTTGGAGGCGATGATACCTTCACCGAGACGAATGATACATATGAGGATAAAGAACCCTCAATTGAAGGGTTGCGCAATAGGAGGGTTGATCTCGATACGACGTCAAGGGAGGATACCACGCAGACAAGGCGCCGTAGGCGAGCATCCTTCAACTCTATGTATGATGTTGGTGAAGACATTACGCAAAGAAGCTTCGTCAACCGTCCGAGCTCGCGTTCCTCCATGTCGCGTCTGCAGACAGGGAAGACTGAATTCCCTGAGCCGACACCGGCCCGGGCCGAGAAACAACGGACCTCTCCTGACAGGACTCAATTAATGGCTCAGTTTGTGGACGTTGGGCGTAAGTTGATGCGCCGAATGGAGGAGCTGGCTTCTAAGGATGAGAGACGGGATAAAACACCAGCTTTTGTTGGCAAAGATGCCAGATCTGCAGTTGACCGAGACCGTTCTGAGAGAATGGCAGAAGCCTCGCAATCAAAGTCACGGTCCCGGGCTGCCCGCGCCGCGAGCTCCACAGCCTCGGATGAAGACAGTGAAGGGTCTACTACATCCTCACAGGAGGACGCGCACAACCCTTTCGAGAAAAGGGAGGTACCCCCGGAAATGCTATATAGACCATCACTCTCCGATTTGCTGCGCGATGCTTCGACATTCAATATGTATCGTCAGCGCGCAATCGCTCGGCGCATTCTGACGCAGTGGTTGAAGAAGGCGGTTCAGACACAGCAGACTCACAGAAACATGGAGGTGGTCGCGGTCAATCGCGACAGGATAACCCTCCTACGGCAAGCTTTTGATACGTGGCGTACAATTATCCAAGATAAACGCCGGGTTGCTCAAACAGAGAAATTTTTCAAACATCTCGAAGAGCGTGCTGGACGCGCTAGAGATCTCTATCTTATGACCAAAGCTTTCACGCATTGGGCGCAAATCGCCTCTGACGAAGTTGCAAAAACGTCAGCTGCCCGACGGCATATTCTTCGTGTCAAGTATTTCAACGCCTGGCGTGAAATCACAGCTGTCAACGAGCTGAAAGCTCAGCGATTCGCGCTGCGAAGACCCTTTAATGCCTGGCGAAGCAAGGCCAGAGAAGCGAAGGAAATGGAGCAAAGAGCAGTGGCTGTCCATAACAAAAAAGTGTCACATGCGGTCTACTGGCAATGGTTCTGGAGTTTCTGTGATCGGCGGGCGCCCCAGTGGTACGATCATCGCCTCAAGCGACGTTCCTTGCTTTACTGGTTGCGAAAGTTCCGCATGAATAGGGAGCGTATTCAAGAGATAGACGCGAAGAATAAGCATACTGCGACTGCGACAGCTTGGCAGCTATGGCATCAGAGATCTCAAGCTATTGTTGCTGCGGAAAAAGACGCTATATCTATGGATCGCAAGCAAGTCCTGCAGGAAAAACTCGAGGAATGGAGAGTCGAGGCTCGATTACGCCCAATTGCTTCTCGCGTCTCCGCGACGATAGATAGAAATATTACCCAAACGGCATTCTCGCAGTGGGCCAAACGGCTCCGAATGCTCAGAGAAGCGAAAGAAGTGGATCGACTAAGGGTTATGCGCAATGCTTGGACCGCTTGGAATGATCTACTTCGATGTCAGGCTCTGACTGCGCGGATAGAAGAGCGCATGAAGATGGAAATCATGTACAAATGGATTCTCGCGGAACGGTTTCGACTGATGCAAAGGATTCGCGATCAACGAATCACCCGCGATGTGTTCGCTAGGTTTGTGACAAACGTGCGTGACACTTATACACGTTTGTTGCAGCATGCCGATGTACATGAGGAGTACCGCAACGAAGAACTTCTCCGATCGAAATTCATCTGCTGGCGGGAACAGCTTGCGCTTCAGCGCCAACGCGAAGTGGCTGCGGCTGAATTCTATGCGCCACGCCTTCAGCAGGAATCGCTCGTGGCCTGGCACTCGAAACACCAACACACGACGAAATTGGAGGGGTGGGCTCGCGACGCACGGTATTACTTCCTAGCGACCCGAACGATCAAAAAGTGGCACAAGGCTACATTGGACTCTGCCAAGCGTCGTCGTCAGGAGGCCTATGCCAAAATGCGGCGAAAGATCAAGATCAATCTTGCCCTCAAAGCGCTAACGCACTGGCATTCGAGAGCTCAGCATGTAGCAGAATTGGAGCAGCAAGGCATAGCCCTTTGCCGGAGCAAGACTTTGGTTATCGCAGCACAATATGTGGAGACATGGCGCGACTCGACAGATAAAAGAGTACAGGACTGCGAAGAAGCAGACATCTTGTACGCCCGCCAGATTGCTCGAGGTCAACTGGCACGCTGGAGGGAATCGTCCGCCAAGTATCGCGACCTGAAGCAACAAGCGAACGACGTTTACCGCCTGCACGGCTTGGGTCGCGCAAACGGCCAGCTTCGCAAACTCAGCCTTCGCGTCTTCCAGATCAAGAGCTCTTTCGAAACTGCAAATTCTATGCATGAACGCAACTTGAGAAAACATGCAAGAAGCATGTTCCGCCATTGGTTAGAGAAGGCCAGAATGAGACTTGAAGCCCGAGACATTCCGGGTCCATTGAAAACTCCTGCAAGAGCCTTTGACGGTGCACTCACGAACGGGACAGACGAGGCCATTTTTGATCCTTGGTATCGAAATGAGACTCCATTCAAGCTCAGCGATTTCCGTACCGAGTCTCAAGTACCCTCAGCAACTCCGCTAACCACCCCTAACTACATGATGTCTCCGTCCAAGCGAGCCGCGCGAGCCAAAGCGCTCACGCAAATTTCTACAACCCCTGCGACGCCTCTGTATACGCCGTTTGCCAGTCGATTGTTGCGTGCCGAGGGTATGGGCACGCGGACTGGTTCAAGCTTCCGGAATCGCAGTGGCCGGGGCAACGGCTTAGGCACAAGTGTGCGATTTGTCGATCAACCCCCTCAGTCGCCGACTGACGGTCGAGGCTCGGGGAATCGACGTCCCTGAGATATTATGTGCTTCTGAAGAGGTTGGCGCTTTTGTTCGTGTATATGCTTTCCTTTTTGATTCGTTTCGCGATTGGTGCATTATTGGATGAGCATATCGATACCTTGTTGCATGTTCGCGTGGCGTGTGGTCAAGTGCATCATGGGTTTTCGAGTATTTATATCGACGTAAACCACTGTTGATTTTGGGTATATGTACAATGAGTGATAGACGACCAAGCGATTCTGTGATGAGTGACGCAATTGACGCAATTAAGTGCAGACGGTGTTTATCTGCTTCTTGGACACTTTGGATGCCCTTTAAATAGTAGCATGACATCGATGCTGCAGTAGAGCATAATACTGCCATAACACAATTTGCCTAGAGATAATCCTAGTCCTCTATGTAAAGATTAGGTCGACGTTGATCGCATGTTCTGGTCACACGGCGGGAGTGCCTATGGTGGAGCAAGTACAGATAGCGGAAACAGCGTGGTTGACATCAACATCTCACACCTCCGGACGGAGTATATCGCTTTCTTCCCCCACAAGTACAGAAATCAGCATATCTAATTTTCTCATCGACATTCTCGCACATTCTTCAACCGGCGCTTGTCGTCATCACGTGTCTATTACTGGCAATGGTGTAGCACCACCGAGCGCAACAAGCGTCCAACTCGATCAACGACCGCCTCTATGCGAGCGGTGCTGCCAGGGAGACCCCCAGCGAAGCTCCAGTCTTTCAGCACAGCGCTGTGGGACGGTCTCCGCGTGGTTGTAAGCAAACATCCTTGTGATTCTTGAGACGATCTCATGCTTCATTTGCTTGACTACGAGCTCCGCTGACCCTTTGTCGCTTTCGCGTTTCCCCGTAGGTGTACATTTCCGGGCATGCGCTTGTTATCCTCGGCGGTCCGCAGACCCTCCTTCAGACCATCTACGTGGACGAGGCCAAGACACTCGAGGCTGTGACGATTGATGAAGCTTCTGGGAAAATTGCTGTGTGTGGTGGACCGGACGTTTTCATCTACCAGCCGTACGGCATCCAGCATGAAACGTTGAAGGTGCGTGTTGTTGTCCTGCGATTAGTGGTGGTCGCACGTTGCTGATTTTGCTGGTTATTTTGGAATGCAGTGGTCTCTTGTACATACCTTTCGCGGCGAAGACGATGGCGAGACGATCCGAACCCTGTCCTGGGGCTCTCCCGATGAGCTACTCCTGGGCAATTCGCACCTCACACTGTGGTTCTTAAATGACGTGCCGCGCCTTATATGGAAGCAGAAGCTCGCCAACCCGGTCAAGTTCGCGCAGTTCTCTCCCGATTCGACACTGGTGGTCACTACGGGACATTACGATCGCATGGTCAAGGTTTGGCGGCGGCTCTCCTTCGGTGCAGATGATGTGCGGTTCGAGGTTTCATATCTTCCACACCAGGGGGTTGTTACAGGGATACATTGGCGTAAGCCAATTCATCGAGAACAATCATTGGAAAATGTGTTCTATACCCTGAGCACGGATAATAAGATCAGGGTCTGGGCTGCGATCGACCATCATGCGCCGTCGCCTCTCCAGTTATGGACGGAGATTGACATGGGCGCGTCTGTTCAGCCGAGGGAGACCGCCGACGAGAAGAATAGGCATCGTCGATATGGGTTCATTGTCGACAGTCGAGAATTTTGCCTTGCGACTGAACGAGCCGTGCAGCGAAGTGTGGGAAACAAGGAGAACCATGCTTTGGAACACATTATTGAAGTCGCGAACAAGAACCCGGAAATTTGCGTTGTGCTAGACGGACAAGGTCATATGTCTGCATGGGCTTTGGAGGATGTTGGGTCCAAGGCCAAGTCGAACATGACCGCTTTCAACATTCTTCATGTCGAAAGCATTGATTTCTCCTTCATGTCTGGACTGTCCGCGGAGGAGGATTATGCTCAGTTCTGTGCTTTTCAGACCACACCACTGGGAGACTCATTTTCTATCATTGTCCATCATTTCGATGGCAGAATTGAGTGGTTTGATTCGCAGGTTGATGTCCTGTTTGATCCAACGCCGCGCAAAAACCGGATCGCCCTGAAAGCATCTTGGACCGGACATAATGATCCTATCAAGAAGATCGTTCGGAATGCAGCTGGAGACACGCTTGTTTCTCGGACCAACGAGAACAAGGCCACGATCTGGAAGCAAAGGTGGAGACATGGTCGGTCGGTTTTGGTCCGGAAAAGCTGGCTCTACTCGGACGAGCACATTCATCGTAGCTGCGTGATAGAAAGTGGTGACTTTCTGGTCAATCTTCACCATTACGGCATCTCTGTCTGGGATGTCCGCTCTTTTCATGCCCGAAAGATCGCCTCTCAATCGTTCGAACTCTCGAGCAAACCGCTCTGCGTTCTTCCGTTACCGACAGCGGAGAGGGACGGCAACGTTGTCTACATTGCAACAATAGGGGCTGATATGAATGGGATAGCATGGGAGATACGTTTACCTACTGGAAAAGCTCAGACGAATGGTCTCTTGTCAGCAAGACAATGTTCACTGCGGAAGTTTTGTTCCTTCAATCTTGGTCTCGACGAGGACATGTCGTACATCTTGCCTGTCGACCCTGCAGGCCCTCAAAAAACAGTATCGGGATTCTTCGACCTCTTTTCTCCGGATATAGCGCTGTCGTATACCACGCGTGGTGTCATTCATACCTGGACTGCCAAGGTCGACCAGCATAACAGCCATGTGGAGTTCTTGCTGACCTCGACCGTCGACACGGGCATTGAGAATCCGTCCCTCGCCAGTGGGAGCTCCACCAAGAAGGCAGCTCTTGTTGACGCGGACCGCACTCATCTGACCATCTGGGATACAAACGGTGCGCAACTGGAGTTTGAGGAGCACTTCGCCCAGCACGATGTCATTCGCGATCTCGATTGGACATCTACGCCGGACAAGCAGTCAGTTTTGGCAATTGGTTTCCCGCATAAAGTCATACTCCTGTCTCAGTTGCGCTATGACTATCTCGATGCTCGTCCATCCTGGACGCAGATCAGAGAAATCTGGATCCGGGATCTGACACCTCATCCCATCGGTGATTCATGCTGGCTTAGCAACGGTCACCTTGGAATTGGCGCTGGAAATCAGCTCTTTGTTTACGACAACGAGATTGACGCCAGCGACCGCTTAGTTTCGCAGCTCCGCATACCTTCTCGCGGTCTGCCTTCAGTTGACTTGTTCGAGGTTGTTAGTCGACTAAACGGTCCGCTACCTGTCTTTCACCCACAGTTCCTTGCGCAATGCATCCTCAGTGGCAAGACAAATGTGGTACATTCTGTCTTGACGACTCTGCATCGGAAATTGAAATTTTACACTGAAGGCGACGACATTGATGGCTTTTTGGAAAGGCCGCTGGAAGACTTTTACGTGGAGCACGACATTCCGCAGCAAGCATCTTCCAAACATTTACAGGCCTCGTACGCCGACCTGGATCTGAGTGAAACCTCCAATGTGATGGACGAAAACGCTGCCGCCGCACTGAATGAGAATCTCTCTCGCTTCGCATTGCCGCAACTGTCAAGCCATGAGCAGTTCCGCCTAGCTGATACAATCGAATGCGTTGCCACGGTCGAAAAGCACCGACGGTCAATGGATGACAATGCTGCTCGCTATCTTTTGTTCTTTCGACAGCACATGCTGAGAAGAAGTCAGGGCGTCGCAAATAAGGATACCGTTTCTTGGAGAGAGATCGTTTGGGCGTTCCATAGCGGCAGCCAAGATATCCTGTCCGATCTTGTGTCAAGACAGTACGGCGGCAAGATGCAATGGGCGTCGGCAAGGGAAAGTGGTATCTTTATGTGGCTGATAGACTCTAATGCTATTGTAAGCAATCTCCGACGTCACCGGTTACAAGGATGAAGAGCTAACACAGTACAGCGAGCACAATTGGAGCTCGTCGCGCGCAATGAGTATACCAAGACGGAGGAAAAGAATCCTGTTGGCTGTTCCTTGTTCTATATCGCGCTCAAGAAAAAGAATATTCTACAGGGCCTGTGGCGGATGGCAAGTTGGCACCGCGAACAAGGTGCCACTCAACGGTTACTAGCAAATGACTTCCAAGAACCTCGATGGAAGACTGCAGCTCTGAAAAACGCTTATGCTCTGCTTGGGAAACGGAGGTTTGGTATGATCTTCCTGCACAAGGCCCGATTTAAAGTAAGCTTTCTCTGACATTTTCCCAGAGTACGCCGCGGCTTTCTTCCTTCTTGCAGACCAGCTACGCGATGCGGCCAACGTCTGTTTGAACCAGGTCGGGGATTTACAGCTTGCAATCGCTATCACGCGTGCGTACGAAGGAGACAATGGGCCCGTTTTGAGAGAAATCCTGGAAGAGAGGGTCTTGCCCGAAGCCGCATCTGACGGGAACCGATGGATGGCGTCGTGGGCCTTTTGGATGCTAGGCCGTCGCGACATGGCTGTCCGCTCGTTAATTGTAAGATGGTATCGCTTGTTCCTTCTCTGTCTTGTACTGACAACTGCTCGTATAGTCACCCGTTGAGACCTTGATCCCTTCTACCCCTTCATCTCCTGGAAGCCCTGGCTCAATCTCACTACAGGCGAAGTCATTCTTATCCAACGATCCCGCGTTGGTCGTTTTGTACAAACAACTCCGGGAAAAGACTCTACAAACCCTGAAAGGGGCTTCTCAAGTGTCAGCCCGAGCAGAATGGGATTTTATCATTCGCAATGCCCGCCTGTATGACCGCATGGGATGCGACCTTCTTGCCCTGGACCTTGTGCGCCACTGGGAGTTTCTCAGCGTGCCTCCCCCACCGAAGACGTTGAAAGATGTAACGCACAAGCTGCAGGAAAACGGCGTTGATTACCGAAAGATGCTTCGACGACGAAGCAGTCTTGTGGTGGCAGACTTGCCGATCAAAGCTGGTCTTTCGCAGGAACCAAAGACACCAGCTGTATCACAGAAAACACAACCACCCCCTACGATGTTCCACGAACCCGACGCCAACTCGCTGCTCGACAGCTTCGGATTCTGATCTGCACTTGTTGTTGTTGTTGATTTTTTTCAGCGTGGAGGCGTCTGGTGTACGTATATACTCTTCTATTGACCGCAAATAATCGCTTCGCGAGCCATGCTCTGAAGTTGAATCTCTTGTATAGCACGAACTGGCTTTACATGAATTTGCTAGACTACGGAAGACGTGAATTCATAATTGGGACGTTGATCATATACAAAACCATCATCATTCTGGCCTTCTTCACATTCAAAAATCACAGGCAAGGTAGATCAGGCTCAAGTCTATACAGTCCAACTACATTAACCGGGAGAAGGAGACCCTACAGCCGTATACGCAGTGCCCTCCGCAGCGAGACCGGCCTGGCAACAGTACTGGAACCCGTCCCATTCAAATAAAGCGCGGTCTGGTTCGCCAAGTCCATCGAATTGTTCACATGGAGATCAGGACGGTCATGAAGCAGGGGCTTATGGCCATCCGCCGGTTGTTCAGTCGACTGCACCTCTTCGTCCGCCTCTTGCTCTTCGCAGTCCAACCTGACCCAGACCTGGTTATACGAGACGAAGTTCCTGGCGACACAATCACTAGACGCGAAGCCGTGCTTCACCTCCTCTTCGAGGAGAGGCTGGTCGACGCACCCGGGGACTTCGTGTATGGAAATTCTGCATTTCTCGGGTCTGGTGCCTTCGACTTTGACTTCCGCGTCAAAGGACATGTGCGTTACCTCGCGGCCGTATGGGAGTGGCACGAAGATGTTCGTGCAGGTCCCTGGGGAGATGTTGAGCGCTGAGATGAACTCCTCGTGGGGAAGGTGGTCTGGGCCTGAGGCTGGGTGCAGGCGGTTGATGGGACAGGAGGGCAAGAATTCGGCCCAGATGCGGGCTGTAGTTGAGGAGGCGAGCGCAGGTGTCAGGATAAGGAGGAGGGTGAGGTGCTGCGATGCGATGCTGTTAGAGTTGTATCGTGCATAATAGAGGTTTGTCTTACATTCTTGAAATGCATGGTGGTGATAGTCCGCAGGAAGAGAGACGATTTGCACTGAGGCGTGGTCCCTCACTTACTAGGCCTGAAGAACATAAGCCTATATATGCATGCAACTTTTGAGCCAAAGCCAAATGGTGATCGTAAATAAGTCCCGATGGCAGGAATCAGCCACGATCAAACCTTGAACCTCGACACGACACGACACGAGACGAGACGAGACGCCTGGAACGACTGCACATACCTCGTTTCATTTCCACTGTCTCTGATGAATCGACACGCACATGCACACGCTAGTGCGATGGACTGATGGTCAGGTCTACAGTCTGCAGTGCAGATCGCGCATTCCGGGCCAAGCTCATAATGGCGCGCGCCAGTAGTGTTCGTGGCTTGATGGCTTGCATTCCATTCCGTTGTTTTGTTGACGGTGACGCGCCTGTCGAGTTGGCAATGCATGAGGTGCTAGAGACTTCGGGCTATATCGTTATCATGCTATGTTCTCAGGGGGATGGGATGTCAGTAGCAGATGCTGGATGAGTGCGTTGGTTCGGTGAAGTGGTTATATCGATCCAGTCACCGGGTGTTCCTTGTGGAAGGAATCGCGCGGTCTTTGAGTAGGCTCAGTCCTTCGGAATGCGAGCTTCGCTCTCGGAATCAAGAAACGAGTCGTTACGGATGGGACGTTATTATCCCCCTATACGGTCAGTACAATTGACGGATATCGAAATATAATACCACTAGGCTAAAAAGGTGTCCGGACATTAGTCCTATCAGTCTAGGGTCTTATACTTTTCAACAACGGAGCAATAGGACTCATACTGGCGACGATACTATGATCTACGGATCTTCATATGTAGCGACCCTCCAGAAATGAATAGTATGTTGATTGACATTGTCATGTCAAGAAAAAGTGCTTATTAAAATTAAAATACAAGACTGTGTGCATGTCAAGTTCCCTTTCACATCAACCCATCTCACTCCCGCCCGTGATGCAAGTTGCAATCCAATCTCTCACAGCTTGAAGCGAGCCCGCCGCTCACCGGAAACCGAGCATTTTTGTGAGTTCACCAAGGCCGAGACTGTCAGCAGGATTTGAGGCCTTTCTCTCCTCAGGAGCTTGCTCGGCCTCCTCGGAACCTTGCTCGGGCTCCTGCTCCTGCTTAGGAGCAGCCTCTGCCTGCCTGGAATCTTGGTGAGCCTCCTGCTTAGGACCGTTCTGTGCCTCCTGTCCCTGCTTGGAACCCTGTTGAGCCTCCTGCTTAGGACTATTTTCTGCCTGCTGTGCCTGCTGTGCAAGTTGTTCAGCCACCTCCTTAGGGCCTATTGGCTCCTTCTTGACAGGGGCGTCCTCGCTGCAATCGAGCTGGAACGAGATGTACTTCACTTCGTCGCTGAAGTAGCGTTCAGGGATGCACTTGACCTCGAGTGGGCTCTCGAGAGGAATCCATAGAGTAGGGAAGCCCAGGCAACCTTCGTTGTCGAAGACCTTGAGAGCCTTGCAGTAAGGAACGGTGTCCTTGGTGAGGGGCTCAATGTCGAAGTTGTAGTAGGACACGTCCAGGCCATGACTGACCTTGACTTTATCGCAAGTATAGGGCGTGGTTACTACCTTCGGTCCCGGCTTGATGATTTCCTGGGCCACCTTTTTAGGGCAAGTGTCTAGCGAGTTGACTGTGACGAAGGCAGCGGCGGCCTGGCGAGCAACAACGGCGGTAGGCGCCAGCGCGAGCGCAGATGCCACGGTGACGAACTGGAGAATCAGCAATTGACCAGCTCATGCAGAGCACAAGAGAACTCACCTGAGAGTAATGCATTTTGTCAAAAGACTAAGTGAGCGGAGGGTCTTACGCTTTGCGTGAGGTAAAGGGTCCGTCCTAAATGAGCGACTGCGGTAGGTTCTTGGAAGGATGCGAAATTCAAAAGAGGCCAGCGCCTCAGGGACACAGACCGTCTATTTATGCCCATTGTATGAGGACAACAATCCAACGCGTAGTAGGGCTCCGATCGCTTCTCTCATCCTTGAGGTAAACACCTTTCTTGAACTAGGGCACATGCCTGCTTCCCTGGAATGCAGACACGCAGGAACAGGAAAGGGCCTGTGTGCCCTAGAGTTTGCAAACAACGCATCCATTCTTGAGCGGAGTTTTTTTTTTGCACTCGAGGCTCACTCGAGGCTTAGAGAGGGAATGTGAGCCCCTGCATTGTGAAAGTTAACCTAGGATTTGAATGTCCTCGTTCGAAGCTCCGCAAGGCAAGGGACTCATGTTTAGGTATTTACTCTCGCGCTCAACCAATCACTGGCTCTGCCTGTTCCTTGGAAGATTAGCCCCTTCAAGGGTACGACACACGAGATGGAGCCCAAAAATGTACTCCGAGTTGGAAAGTCTTTTCAGAGACTGGGAGCTTTGCTGAGGGCTGGCACCGTTACCGCGCACCCACAGCGTCACTGCTTCACCTGCGCTTTTCCATACCTTATTTTGCTCCCCTATCTGAAAGTGACTATTTTGCCCCATTATCAACTTTGTGCAATTTTTCTTGCAACGTCACGATGCGGAGACATCCGCGAACTTGGTCAGGGACGGATGTTGTTTGTAAATGCCACTTGAATAAGGGTTTCCCCAAGGAGCACCTGGACGAGTATCCACCACTTCCTTTCGAGTGAACATTCGCATTCCTCGACCGAGGCTTCGGCGGTTTCCTGGCATGATGCACCAATCGACCTTCAGCAGATGGAGTGGGCAGCTTTGGCACACATTAGCTCCGAATCGAACCGGTTTTACTATGCTGCCTTCTATGCTGAGGACCTCACTGTTGAATCAGCGGAACAAGAATAATCTCCGTGGACCAGATTTCAATCCTGACGTCAGCTGAGTCTACAGGCATATGCCAGCCAGAGAAGCCAATGAGCTCAGCTATCATCAGTCTCATCGATCGGTTGATTGACTGCTGCGTCATCTCTTGCCTTGAACAACCCTGAAGCTCTTTGACGTTATCGCTGTCTCTCTACCTCTTCATTCAAACAGAGGTCTGCTTGGCGATCAAGAGCAAACATGGCCTCCACGGACTTGGCGGTCGACTTTGTTTATTTTTCTTGCTTCAGCTCAAGGACTGACTACCAAGGCATAATACGAGTACAGTCAGTGCACTCTATGCGCTGTAAGCCTGTATACATGGTCCGCGCGGTGATTCGGCGGGCTTACTCGGCGACAAGGATGCTTTGAAAATGGACGAGCGCCAAGTTGCCCTCATGCCTGGGTTCTTGTCACGGTCTGACTATGAGTTGACATGTAGATAAGTCGTCATCGGACGATATCTGAAGATGCAATGCCTCGTATTCCCGGGGTTCCTGGTCGACTGCTCGACGGTGGTGGACAGGTCAGGGTCCCTTGTAGAGGACGAGCATTCTGCTGAAGATCTATGGCTATAATTGAGTCATATATCACGAAGAGCTCTCCTCGGTTGGATCAAGTAGCGTGACGTTGCACTACCGAAAAGTCGAGCGAAGTCCATGCAACATGACGGAGTCATCTATATCCTACACTGATGTGTAAGCAATTTTCCCTGTGGCAAGTCCTGCTGCTGATATAGATTCAGGCTCATCATCGGCGCCGGCCCTTCTGGTCTGATGGCCGCCTACTGGATGGCACGCTGTGGTGTGAATGCACGAATTATTGACAAGCGTGGCACCAAGGTATTTACCGGGCAGGCGGATGGACTGAGGCCCAGGACGCTTGAGCTGCTTGACAGCATAGGAGTTGTGCATCGAGTCCTTCACGAAGCCTGTGAGGCAGCAGAATTCACGTTCTGGGTCAGTCAGGCTCTTTCAAATGGGGTTTGGGTGGTGGTCGACGGACATTGGCTGACGCAAGGTTTCAGGGCCCGAGTGAGGATGGTCGACTGAAGAGACAAGAACAGCATCCGATTCACGATGTGAACAATTCACCCTTTGGCAACTGCCTCCTGAACCAAGGGAGAATTGAACGTTTCATCTTGGATGCCATCAGAGACCGTTCTGATCTCGAAATCGAGAGACGCGTCATTGCAGAATCACTGGAGTACGATGAGACCCTCGAGAATAGCGGCGATGCGTACCCCATCACGGTTACTTTGAGAACCCTCAGCGAGGAAGAAGCGAATCCTTCCCCCGCTCACGGTGGTTCTGGAGGCGCACGAAATGGACTATTCCGAAGTAACATCACGCCTGATGATTGGGACGATTTAATCAAGAAGAGCAAAGAGAGACCGGGAAATGTCGAGACGGTGAAGGCCAAGTACCTCATTGGCTGTGATGGGGCACACAGCTGGACCAGGAAACAGTTGAACATACCTTTCGAAGGATCTACAACTGAGCACATATGGTACTTTACCCTGTTCCGCCTGGTGTTTGACTGACTCATTGTCTCAGGGGTGTTGTCGATATGGTTCCCATCACAAACTTCCGTGAGGCTGGTTGTGCCCCATAGCTCTATGCCGGCTGCTGACTCCTGGTAGCTGATATCCGCCGGGTGTGCACCGTGGCAACTGAATACGGCACTCTCTTGGTCATCCCGAGGGAAAAGCAGCTTGTCCGGCTCTATCTGCCTCTGCAAGCTGTTGACGGCATTTCGGTATCCTTAGATCGATCCTCAATTACTCTTGACATGGTTCGGCAAAAGGCCAAGGAAGTGCTGAGACCCTTCGACTTTGACTTCAAGATCTGCGACTGGTGGACAGTTTATCAGGTAGGGTTTAACTCCAATATTGCATTTTGAGGCAGAAAGAGTAACTCGAGGGCCCTTACAGGTCGGTCGGCGGCTCGCGTCAAATTTCACGAAAGGGCGAATTCATCTCGCCGGAGACGCCATTCACACCCATTCTCCCAAGGCAGGTCTGGGCATGAACATGAGTATGCAAGATGGATTCAATATCGGCTGGAAAGTGGCGCTCGTCGCGAAAGGGATTGCTCGCCCTTCTATACTCGCAACTTACGAGCTAGAGCGTAAAAGAACTGCGCAAATGCTGATCGATCTGGACCGCCGCCTGCAGCCGTTGTTTGTGAAGGAGCAACAGGGCGATGCTGCAGAAAGCACGGCCCCTAGCAATGGCAAGGAAACACTGATGGACCTGATCCAATTATCCATCGCATTTGCCAATGGATATGTCTGCTACTACGGGCCCAGCTCTTTAGTCCACAAGGGAGGTGAGGATATTGCTGCGAATCTGATCCCTGGAGAAAGATTCCCACCAGCCAAGATCCGTAATCAGGCAGACGGCCAGGCCTGGTGGACAACACGCCTTTTCAAAAGCGACGGGCGCTTCCGAATTGTGCTCCTCGCAGGAGATTTGCGTCACAAACATCAGAGGCAGCGCGTCGAGGCTTTCAGCACCCATCTAGCTTCAGCCGAATCGGTTCTCCAGCGGTATAGACCCGAAGGCGAGAAACTCGACAGTCTCATTGAAGTGATCACTATTCACAGTGCTCCAGTGCGAGAGATGGACTTTCCCGACTTTCCGGAAATGCTCAGGCTGTTTGACGAGGAGAGAGGATGGGCCTACGACAAAATTTGGAGTGATGACGACTGCTTCTGGGACCGACAATGTACCGGAAAAGGGTACGAATCTTGGGGTGTTGACAGAGTACGAGGTGCTCTCGTCATCCTCAGACCCGATCAGCATATTGGATGGGTTGGAAACATCGAGGATATCGATGAAATGACCTGCTATTTTGAACAAATCTTTCAGCCTCCACAGAAGACTGTGAACGTGGAGAGCAATGCGTAAGAATAAGACTGTTATGGATCTGTTTTAGGAATGTTGGTTAGCCTTGTTAGCCATTTATCGTCAGTCGAAAGAAATGAGACTCACAGTTTGTGTTTCAAGATATAAGCAGCCTGATGTCCCTGTGTTATTATGCTTGTAGTATCACATGGAGCTTCTGGCAGAGCAGCGATTGAGAGCTAAAATGCAAATAGACGAATTCCATCGCTTTGGTCGGTTGAAGGATTAGAGGAACGGTGGAGAGAACATTTAAGGTGTATACAAATAGAAGACAAATAAAGCTCTACGAAAGAGGAATTGGAAACATCAATTATAGAGTATTAATAAACTAAGTAATTTAACATCTCCTATGAAGCATCACCTCATATTTACTATGTTCATGCTAGCAATGACTTAGTTGGTGCTAAGTCTTTTCGTTAAAACCGGGTTAACCAACCCTCCCCATTTTGCTTAGTAATCACCTAATTTAAAGGATTTCTGTAGAAAGATTAATATCACTATATAGCCTAGTATCCAGTCTATCTATATATGGAATATCAATTCGAAATATATAGTGGTTGCTGAGATATAAGGGAATAATCATTTTTGTCACAGGTTGGTATGAAAATGACGTGGATATATATATATATGCCACCGGAGGTTGACAACTGCTATAGTTGAAAAATAATATTTTGTCCACCACCCATTCCACCCTATAGATATCGAATTGATATTTTAGATGTAGAATAGTATGATGATAATTACCATATATTTCATATAAAAATATCAATTTTCTATAGGCATGGTAGATAGTATGATAGATAGTATAGCATTCAATGAGAGAGGTAATCATTTGAAATTTCAAAACAGTTAAAATTAAAGCATTTTAACAACCCGAAACCAAACTGAATCTAACCATAGTTAGTTAGTAGGGACCTAGCTAGGCCTATCTAGACTGGATCAGGGTCGGTTCTAAAAATTAGACTCAAAATCGCAGTGGTTCAGTGCCAACTGGTTTTGAACTCGCCTGAACTCGGACCGAACGCAACTCTACCCCCAGCCAATCTTTTACCTCTGAGATTGCATAGCCTTAGCCCCTTTCATTTCCTGCTGTGATGCAGCTCAGGCTAGATATCAAATTATCCATTGATCATTATCTAGGTAGCCATACAACGAGAATACTAAGCATAGGGAAGGAAGGGAGAGAGGTGAAGCTATTCGCAAGGTAGATTCTTCCCCGTGCAGTATGGGTAACCATTAATCTGGGATTAGCACTTATCCTCATACTCTTTCAGACCACTCTTATATTATCATAAGTATCATCATTGCAAGTATAGTAAATGCCTTTACAGCCACTTTCATCCTACATAATATTCAGATGGCTAGCATAACTTATATCCGCCTTAGCGCATTCTCAGCTTTGAGCTCTGCCATTGAAGTCGCTGTTTCTAACGCTACAAGGGCCCTGGATAAGCCCGATGTTCCCCTTATGATCAGCTCGATCAAGGTTCTTATGAACATAATTCTAGATCTCCTAATCATCTCTAGATTTCATGTCGGCGGTTGGCAATCGAATATAAACATGCAGGCTGGTATACACCTCAGTTGCGATATACTTGCAGCAGTCTCTGGGCTGCTGTACTTCTTTACCGCCACATAAGTCAAGAAAAACAGGTATCCCTGGCATTCTCGAAATATGCCTTCTTTGCGAAAATTTCTGGTGCTTCTTCAACCCGGCTTTATCACTTTCCTTGAGTCGGCATATCAGGAATAGCAATTGGGTATTGAACACGTCTATCAGCTAGTAGATATCATTGTGCAATACATCATCGGCGGCTTGGAAGGCAAAGACTACAATATGCTTCTTTCTCTGGGCAGAAGATCTTGGTCAATTCACAAGGTAATCATCTCTATCTAGGGATGGCTCTACTACCGGTCTGTGGGAAAACGACCAAAGCCTTCAGATAACTCAACCGAGGAACATTGATCATTTGTCAGGTATCAGTAAGCTAGTCCTCGTACACCGTTATTCGAAGAGACCAGGGCTAGCCTATCACTTGAATTGACAGGAGGAGACGCAATACATATGTCTACGAGCAATAAGAAGTGTCCAAGTCTGGATAGGTATGTTTTCCATGGTGGGCCGCGGCGAGGGGTGTCAACCTCGAGGCAAACTTGACCCGTAACGGTCGATTATGTGGATACCAAGTGCTAGACTCCGCAGCAATCATCATTTTACTTATTGTTTGCCAAGGCGAATGCCAAGTCGCCCACACCTCAACGTCTACCTACTGTAGGTATCATCTCAACCCAGCTGACGTCGACACCGCGGTTGATCGGATAAAATGACTTCTTTGTATGAGAGCATACTGAAAGTAAATACTTAGCCCCTCAATGCCTGCTCCTTGCTTCCTCTTAAGTTAGAGTCACAGCATACAAGAATTGGACTGGTTAGAAGTATGCGTTGCAGAGGATCCCGATCCTACAGTAGTATAGTATGACATTGTTAGAAGAGATCATCTTCAAAGACAATTGAACCTACTTCTATGTTTTTTCCTACATACTGAGTTGCGCACTGAGTATATAGCATATACTAGTAACTTCAGGTAGCAACAACAAAGATTAAATGCTAAAGCTTATCATGCAGAGGTCTTACTCAGATAGGAACCGCGCGCAAAGACCCACTTAAGGTCGCCTGACGGAAAGCTTGTTAGCCCTGTCGTCCCTGACAGGCTGACAGTCCGATGGATGCTTACCTACGGAGTACTCCGTAGTAGTAGGAAAGCATCCGGGACCCACTTATAGATCAAATCTCTAAGGGTATACTACAACAACAGCAACTCATAGATGTTTCTCTCGGTTTTGATGTCACCAACGTAATATATCCAGAGTATTATTGGTATTATTAAGACTAGCAAAATGAGGGTTATTTAATGGTACTACCGTACTAATTTTAAGGTCGGATGGGAAGGTTTTATGCATCGGGCTGGTCACGTGATCCGGGTTACTTCCTCATGACACTGTTAACCTTCTTTCCTCCTGCTGACCAACATCCATAACTCCTGTTTAGTACGTTCCGATACTTCATTGCGTTCAAATCATTGCTTCTCCCAGCTTCATCATGAAGATCGCTCCCTTTAAGACCACCCTCACCTGGCACGAAAACCATTTCAGCCAGAGTGTTGTACAGGCCCCCCGACCACAAACCCCTCAGCGCAGGGAATCTTTAGTGAAATTAGACGAAGCCTCGCAGGAATCTCAGAGTACACGGAGATTGTATATTCGCTCAGCCCAGATGATGCGGGACTGATTTGCCGGTCGCTACGTGCAGACTCTGAAGTTGAGAGGAAGAATTTGAGGTATGACACGCGCTTTGCAAACTCATACCGAACATTATCTTCTAATACTTAGCATGATGCGGTAATAGGATAAACTACAACTCATACACCGGCCTATTACGGCTCAAAATAATGCCCACCAGCCTCCATGACGTCCACCAGCGGTGGATAAACCGCGCAATCATGGAATGGGGTATGAATGGAATCATCAACAGTGCTGAAGCAGACCTTCTATGGAGCGGAGTTGGAACCAGTACGTATTTTCTAGTTTCATGTATGTTATTGCACTAATAATATGCAACAACTTAGCATTCGATAATTTCACTGGTGTTCACCAAGGATCAGTCAAGGAACCTGATCATTTCCTCCGTGTGGACACAGACCCTGACCCTCGCATTGTCGTAGAATCAGGTTGAAGTGAATTGTTCACCCATCTACGGAGCGATAAAAACCTGTGGCTCAAAGGAAATCCATCTGTTATCCTAGTGATCTTACTCAAATGGTCTGCCTTGTCGTACAACAGAATAAAGGGCACTGCCGAAGTTTGGCGCAGGGATAGCACCGGCAACCTTGTCTCCTCCACGATGGTAATCATCTATTTATGTCCACGACGCGATTCTTGACCTGAAGCTGACATTCATTAGCCTATCTTCCCCGCACCGGTACCTTTGCCCCAGAACGAGCTGATTCAATTCACGAAAGGCGACTTATTCGGACCAGCCCTGCTCCCAGGGCAAGCAATAGGTACTCTACTTGAGCTGGATCTTGCTAAGCTGCGGAAGTTTGCATCTGAGGTGATCGGAAAAATGGGAATGCAACCTGCATAAACAAGAAGAGAAAGAAGAGAAAGAGCATGTCTGTATGTCCTTTTTTGCTTCTTTGAGTGATTCAGCGGGCCGCGCCCTGTATTCTGTGCCTATCTTTGCCTCCTTTTGCTCCGAATCAGCGCATGAGTGACAGAGCAGTTGACTGTTCTTCTCTGACCACCTCCAAACCTTAGTACCGTCTGTACGCCCGCACCTTGTGCATTGCTTTGAGTCTTTTTGTATCAGCTTTTGAGGCGGCCGTTGTGGCTCAGAATTCCCCTTATGGCAGCATATCTTGTGCCCAAACTCCTCTAGGAGATTCTCCTTCTCTTCTTTCTCTTCTTTCTCTTCTACTATTGCAAGTGCGATATGCATCGAAAAAGTGGGAGAAAGACCTGAGAGAGTGGCTCTGTGAAATATGCGATAGCTGTCGCAGACGGTACAATGAGCTGCAAATAACACGAGAGCAAGCTCAGAATAAGGAATGTCGATGCGAAAATTGTCAAACACTATACAGCTCAATATGGAGGTTGAGCAAACCGAGCAAATCGAGTGATATTTACAAGCTTTGGTGCATCGACTGTTGTAAAAGGAGGGCCCACATTGAGAGCTAACGATGCCGCTCCTAAAGGGAGGCGATATCAGCCAGCACAAGAGTCACTAGACATGACATTCCAGGTCGGTTATTGGAAGGACAAAGTTATAGATAGAGGTGGAGATTGCCGGTCATATTTTCGGAGAGTCCACGGTGTCGACAACAGTATCGAGACCTTGGTGGCCATGAAAAGGAGGGCGGAGGCAAGCCATTCTTGAGCACCGAAGATCTGACAGATGAGAAGGCAGCGGATGATGCGGAGTCAATCAAGAATACCAGATTGTGATACTGACACAGCTTAGAGGCGATTCGCCAATGCGGAAGAATGCAAATAGACGAAATCCATCGCTTTGGTCAGTTGAAGGATTAGACGAACGGTGGAGAGAACATTTAAGGTGTATACAAATAGAAAGACAGATAAATCTACGAAAGAGAAATTGGAAACATCAATAGATAGTTAAACTAAGCGCTGAACAGGGGGGCCAGGGTATCCAGCAGCAATGGATAGATACTGAAGCAAAAATAGGTGAGCAAAAACATACAACAGCCGGGATTCGCTGGTGGTCACCCACCCAACTACTAACCGGCCGGCGTGTGGCTTAAGTACGGCTGAGCGGACGGGAAGCCCTGTTTTCCACACCCTGTGGTCGTATGTGCTTGGTTTGAATCATGTTCAACTTATGACTAGCGTAATGCAGAGTGCCTGCCGCACACTGAAGTGGAAGGGGAGCCTGACTGGAGAGAGGAGGAAGACAGGCTAAGACGGAGAATTCTCCATCTTTTAGATGAAGCCAGACTCGGTCCTATTCTGGTCAAAGCGTGGAGCGGCCACTATCGGAGTGTCACTGGGGTCATTGCCGATGTTCGAGCGCTTTTGAAGAACAGGGGGGTGAAGCTTGATGGTATATACATACTGTTGTGTTATCCCGCTCTAACTGGAAAATGATGAATATACTTGCCCTCCACACTATCTTTGACTTTGCTGTCTGATGTCGCCATTCCTCCTCGGGCATCCCATCCCTAGCTATGGTGAAAATAATGCCTTCAATACCTGCGCCCTCTTATACCTCTGGGGCTCCCCCTCCTGATCCATAGGATATTGCCCACGAGCGCCGTGCGCCCGCTCAACCAGTGAGCCGACCGCATCGCAAACACCGCGCCCAGTTCTGCGCGAAACCTCGACAAAGAGACACTTCCGCTGGGTTGCAAATGCCTCGGCTTCTCCTTGCGACACAGACATGGGGCCTTCTTCACCTTCACCTTCACCTTCACCCATGGCGACAATCACCGTCGCAAGAAAAGGATAAGGGGAGAGGACCCCATCTTCGCTGCGACTTCGCATCCCCTCGCAGATAGCGACCAGTTTATCCCACGATTCCCTTGACGAGGTGTCATACGTCAAAACAAGACAGACATGCTGCATGATGGTGAACAGCCAAGTTAGCAGCCCAAGGCCCCGTGGGGTCCGGCACGGAAACAAAGCGGACATTGTAGATGTACCCATCGTAAAGGTAGTCCGTCTCGTAGTCGCCTGTCAGGTCGAACTCGCTTCCGTAATCCGTTTCTCGCTGCAGTAGCTATATAGATGAAAACCGCGTGCGCGGGTGCGAGTGAGCTCAGCTCGGCTAGCGCCGGGTTGGGGGTGTGTGGTATAGTATATATAGTACTTGAATCGACTAGGAGCATGCGTGCATGTATGCATGTTGCAATGCGCTGGGTGGATATGTAGATAGATGGATAACTAACGTACCCTGTAAAGACGCAAGTAGTCGGCGGCGCCTTTGGCATTCGCGACCATAATGGTAATAAACTGGGTCTCGGAACCGGGCTTGCGGATAGATGATCGCAGGGTGGGTGACCGCTTCACCTCGCTGATATGCATGGCGCCAGGGGGAGGGGACGGGTTAACACTTTTGCTCTCTGCTATCGTGGCCGGCGCTGATGGCGCGGGCTCTTTGCCACGGCTGCTCCGGCTGGCCTTACCACGGAGTTTGCGAAATATGTTCATGGCGTGAGATAGTATGGGAGACGGGTGGGTGAGGTAGGCGGGTGAAATGAGTGGATACGGGCAAAGATCCTAGGTAGGGTCACTACCTCAGGGAGGCTTATAAGCCTGTTCTAGGCCTGGTGAATCCATGGGGAAATCACCATTGTAACCTTTCTGTTAAGGCGTTGGAGTAGTAGCTGCCTACAACACTAGTTACTTCTTACAGGGCCATTAGGTCATGTGAGTAATGGAGAGAGGGAAAATATAGACAAGATGTTGAAGATAAAGGAATCGAATGTACAGTTCAGAAACATCAAATAAAAGTCAAAGAAGCCCTCCTATTTATCTTGAGCTCGGGGACTCATAGTAGTGACCTAAATTGTAGTTCTCACCCTTCTCACCCTTGGCTTAGTGCGCCGACATACAGAGCAACGTGCAAGAACCAATAAGGATTCCCCTCATATTAACAAATATCTGCGATATCGACGAGGGTCCTGTTGCCTAACCCGGTATCGATGAAGCTATCTGAGAGAGCATATCTGAATCTTTTAGGGGCTGTTGGTGGTAGAGTTGCGGGGAGGTACAAGGAACGATGTAACAATCCGCCTAGACCCACACGGAATTGTTGCTCGTAGGGCGTGGGGATGCCTCTCTAGTACATATATCTAGTGCGGGATGGTGAAATGCCACTATCATTATTGTCAGATTTCACATAACAAGGTTCAAACTTCAAACCAACCCACGAGACTCCTCAGGATATATATTGAATACAGGTATTCAAAGATGAGCGCAAATCCGTCCCCGACGCACCACCACATCGTTTTCCTTCAGGCCGATTATTGTCCAATTCCCGACTTTCGCTTCCCGCCTGGTCATACTTTTACTACGACCGTCTATCAGCAGACTTCACTCTCAGAACTCCATTCGCGTATTCATGATGCCTCAGTTGTTGTATTCTCATATATCCCATTTGACGCGCACACACTCTCCCCTGAGGTGACACCGCATCTCAAACTTATTGCCGTCGCAGCAGTGGGCACGGATTGTATTGATCTCGAAGCATGCAGAAAGAGAGGGATCACTGTGAGCAGGTCCGTTGGCGCAAACGTGGATTCAGTTTCCGAGCATGCAATCGGATTGTACTTCGCTTCCCGGCGGCGCATACTGGATATGCACACGTTGACGAGAGCGGGCGAATGGGCGCACAAAAAAGGAACCATCATGTATCAACTTCTCGACAAACACGGCCAGCCTCCTTTGAGTTGCCAAGACGAAGTAGTTGGTATTATTGGAAACGGGATTGTTGGTAAGTCGGTCAAGTCCGATGTGGTTCCGTCAATTGTTGCTCTCGAGGCTGACAATACAAATGTAGGACAAAGGATCGCTCAGCTCGCACGCAACCTGGGGATGAAAGTGCTCATATCAGCTCGGAAAGATCCTGCAGCATCGGCGTCACTGAGCACGGTCGACAGCATCGAGCGAGCTCCATTCGATGCGGTCATCAGACAAAGCACGGTCATTTTCGTGGCAGTGCCGCTTAGTCCTTCGACGCGGAATCTCATATCGACCCCAGAGTTGGAAATTATGTTACCGCATACTGTCATCGTCAACGTCTCCCGCGGAGGAATCGTAGACGAAGACGCACTAATCGAGGCTTTGAAAAAGGGTACGATTGCCGGCGCGGCCACGGATGTCTTCCGTCAAGAGCCTGCTGGATTGGATAACTCTCCATTACTGTCCGACGGGACAAAGGGTCTTAATCTAATTGTCACTCCTCATCTAGCGTGGCTATCGAAGAAAACCCTAGCCAACTATTCGCAGATGGTCCAGCAGGCCATTGAAGGATGGAGTGCAGGACAGCCATGCAATGTCGTGACATAATGATCCGGCTAATATCCTATACTCCGGGACAATTAGCATGTTAGCAAATAATCATATTAATTAGCGATGCACCTGTTGTTGTTGTTGAACACCCAAATTACACTGCTAGTTAGTTAGTTAACTAAGTTAATAGTAGACGCTGACATCACCGTGACTTATCTTATCGCTTATCATGTCGCTTATCTCACCGTGTTGAGTCACGCGTCGCCTCAAACTCCAACATTCTGTGCTCCCCTCTCGAGTCGACAAATCAGCCCTTCGACTGCCATCTTGTGGATGATCTTTCTTCAAGTCTGTTGAATGGAACGAAAATTGCAGCTCTGAGAGATGTATCTTGAATTGCGGTCTGGATGAATTATCAATCCATCACCATGGCGGCTAGTGCCACCGACAATGGCCACCGCGCCAACACCCCCGAGCAAGCTGGCTCAGCTATCCCCAGGAGTTCTGAAGGCCACGAGGAACGGAGCCCTGGATACCGTTACGATGTCTTCGACCCGGAATTAGAAACGGAGAGATCATCTCGGACATCCCCTCAGAGTTTCACTCCCCGTTCCCTCTTCGTTGGACTCGTCATTGGCGCCTTGATCACTTTTTCCAATACCTACTTCGGCTTGCAGACCGGCTGGATCAGCACAATGGCCATGCCTTCAGCACTTATCGGCTTCTCTGTTTTCAAAGTTTTCTCCAAGTACCTCTCTTACCCGTTCACGCCCATAGAAAACGTCCTTATTCAGACGGTGGCTGGGGCGGTGGGAACTATGCCGTTAGGGTGCGGGTTTGTTGGCGTCATTCCCGCGTTGGAATTCCTGGTCCGAGACGGGGAAGATGGGCCTTCTGGCGACGGCGGTACCGGAGAAGGCGGTCCGTTGAAGCTCAACTTCTGGAAACTGGTACTTTGGAGTCTGGGAGTCTGCCTTTTCGGGGTTGTCTTTGCCGTCCCGCTGAGAAAGGAGGTAATCGTCAGAGAGAAATTGAGGTTTCCCAGTGGGACGGCATCGGCTCTCATGCTCAGAGTTTTACACGGGAGTGGGTCTAGTGACGAGAAGGCGAAGAAAAACGTCAATTCGACTGCGGTGCTAAGAGAAGGAGAGGGTGAAACGCTTGCCATGACGCATGAAACCGGAGAGGAAGAGGGAACTGCGCTACTGCAAAAGGATGACAGCGAACGTCAGTTAGCAGACAGGCGAAATTGGAGGTCCAAGATGCGTCTCCTGGTGGGCGCTTTTGCGGTGTCTGGTGTTTATGTGAGGTCTCCTGCTACTGGTCATACTAAACCGAGCCCGCGACACTAACCGTGACAGACGCTATTCTCCTACTTTGTCCCCCAAGTCCGTGATGTGCCCATCCTTGGCCTTTCCCTAGCACAAAATTGGCTATGGACGCTCAACCCGTCCCCCGCATACATTGGCCAAGGAATCATCATGGGCCCATCTACCTGCATGCATATGCTTTTTGGGGCGATACTCGGCTGGGGCATCTTATCTCCGCTCGCAAAGGCTCGTGGCTGGGCGCCTGGGCCTGTGGGTAGCTGGGAGGATGGAAGTAAGGGCTGGATTGTATGGGTTTCTCTAGCCATCATGCTGGCCGACTCGCTTGTCAGTCTTGGTTGGCTGGTTTTGAAGCCCGTCATCGCCAACGCTCCAAAGCTCAAGGCCAGATTCTTTTCCAGTCGCGCCGGAAAATGGATTCTGGCCCAAGCGTCGAACAACGGTTCTCGCCATTCATACGTCAGATATTCCGCCCTGAGTCCCATTTCTGAGGAATCATCGACAGCAGCCTATTCCACCCACCTCCCGGCAAGGTACAGCGAACCCGAGGAAGAAGATGATGCGCCGCCTTCCCAGCTCATCTCTACTCGGACTGTGGCCATCCTGCTTCCCTTGACCCTGATACTGAACGTAGTCTGCATGCACATTGTCTTCGGCGACGTCATGTCGCCCTTGCTCTCCAGCCTGGCCACCCTCCTCGCCGTGCTACTATCAATAATGGGCGTCCGGGCACTGGGCGAGACAGATCTGAACCCCGTCTCCGGAATCAGCAAACTAACCCAGCTCCTCTTCTCTCTCGCAACGCCCGCCTCGCACTTCTCCCGCCGCACCGCCCTAATCACCAACCTCCTCGCCGGCGCCGTCTCCGAATCCGGCGCCCTGCAGGCCGGCGACATGATGCAGGACCTCAAGACAGGCCACCTCCTCGGCGCAAGCCCCAAAGCCCAGTTCTACGGCCAAATGATCGGCAGCCTCGTCGGCGCCGTCCTCTCCACCGCCGTCTACAGGATGTATGTCAGCGTCTACCAGGTCCCCGGCCCCATGTTCCAGACCCCAACCGCCTACGTCTGGATTTTCACCGCCCGCCTCGTCACAGGCCAGGGCTTGCCCCCGATGGCCTGGCAGGCTTCCATGCTCGCAGGTACCGTCTTCGTCGGCATCACCATCCTGCGTATTTACGCCGCCTCGCCCCTGGCGAACGGCGGCCGCCGCAACGTCTCTGCTCCCTGGAGGGCATGGGTCCCCGGTGGCATCGCGGTCGCCGTCGGCATATTCAATGTCCCTTCGTTCACGCTGGCCAGAGCTATCGGCGGGATAATCGCCTGGTGGTGGTCGCGGAAGCACACAAGCACCACCACCTCGGATACCCCGGGCGAAACCGTAGCAGATCAAACACCCGGAGAATCGAGAATCCCCGCGGCCGTGGCCGGGAAAACAGCCGAGCAGGCCGCCCGAGAAGCGGACGCGGCATCTTCGTCGGTGGTGGTTCTAGCCTCAGGGTTGATTCTAGGAGAGGGAATCATCAGTATTGTCAATTTGCTTCTGGCTAGTGGGAATGTTCCACACCTCTAGATAGACAACATGTATATAGTATCATCTGCAGAAGCATAAGAACTATTCGAGGATTACAGCCTTTATTGAAAATATTCTGATTTTGCTGTATTCACTACTATCTACATAGACGACCACCAACTATACATGAGCAATCAGAGAACGTACAGGATTATTGCAGGAAGCCAGACCCCTTCCTTTGATTCTCATTCTCCGATGTAAATGCGAATGGAAGACAAGAGAAACTGCAGTTGTGCTGATACACAATAAACGCACTGTATAGGGGGTAGAGATAAAGCACAGTGTATGAACTTCACAATCAACATCCTTTCTCAAGAGAGGGGGAATAAAAAAAAAAAAAGAAATTGTTAAGGCTGAAAGAAGTGGGTATTCCCGTTGAACAAGACATGGGCAGAGCTTTCTCTTGCTTCGAGAGGAGACAGTTGCCGGCATCGTAGAAGAAAACGTAAAGAGGGGATAGAAAGATACTAAGTATGAAAGAGAGTCCTCCGACGAGGAGAAGAGAAGCGAAATCGAAAAAGCAGGTTGACAGGGCTCATTCGTCCCAGACGCAGGTGATACTCATACCAGGCTCGTTCCGTCCAGCGGCAATAACAATCAACTGCCCCCCTCATATCAATCAATTGCATTTGCAGGTCGCTTTTCGTTCACATTTGGACATTCATTAGCCTATTGACTTCACGCGTGATCATCTCGAACCAGTGCTTGCTGCGGTGGCGGGGTGGGAATTGCTGGGAGGGCACCGGACGGAGGTGGCATCATTGGCCCGGCCAGAGGGCTTGGTCCTGGTGATCCAGTTGAACGAGGAATAGGTCCCACTGACCCACCTGCACTGTTGCTACGTTTCCGCTGGCTCGCTGGCATCTCCGGTCTCTGCAGTCCTGGAGGTCCGTAAGGTCCAGGACTCATGGATCTTGGCGGCATTGGCCGGCCACCGGGACCTGGCGAGAACGATCGCGGAGTGGGAGGAAACTGTGCAGGAGACATTGGGTGCTGGGGATACGGGCGTGGGGGCGGGGGTCCGCCATGAGGGTGTTGAGCCGGGGACATTGGGCGCGGGGCCGAGGGTGACCGTGGGCGGGGATCATGAGGATAGAAGCCCGGAGGTGGTGGCCCCATAGGTCCAGGAGGTCCAGGAGGAGGCCCCCAAGGGCCGTTGGGTCCCATCATTGGCGGTCGGGGCGGCCCGCGGGGGCCAGGGCCTGGACCGGCTCCTGGAGGCGGACGGGCTCGAGGCTTCACGGGACGGGCAGAAAGACAAGACCGGGGAACGACTCCTTGCTGCGAGCGATCGAGTCTGACGCAGAGCGCCCAACCGTCGTCATACTCGTGCAGAAGCCGGACGAGCTGACCAGCGTGCAGCTCCAACTCATCCTCCATTGAAGGCTTGAAATCCATTTGCACGCGATGAACATTGCTTGGCCCGGGAGGAGGAGGAGGGCCTGCAGCACCGCCGGGTCCGAACGCTGGAACAGCAGCAACCGCGGTAGCAGTGGCGATCGGTGCAGGATCAGCGCTAACGGCGCTTACAGGACTTTGAGCCGAGCCTTCGGGAACCGATGACGCTTGGGACGATGAGCTTTCTGGGCGGCCAGGGAGGTCTTTGTCGGAGGGTTTGGCCGCGGCAGCGGCAGCAACACCACCAGCCACTGCGGCTCCGGTAACGGCAGCTCCAAGAGCAGATTCTACGCCAGCATCGCTCGGTGCCGGGACAGTGGGTGACAGGGGAGATTGGGGAAGAGGGACCGCCGAGGGACTCGGCGGGCCTGTCGCTGCAACCGGGGACGGAGCTTCCGCCTGATTGCCAAAGGGATTCACTGGATCGCCGAACGGATCTGTCCTACTGACGCTCGACTGTGGCGTATGGGGCGGCGAGGCATTGCCGGTCAAGTTACGCGATCCAGCTGCAGCGACTCCCAGTGTAGCACCAGCACCAGCACCAGCACCAGCCCCGCCAGGAGCGAGAGCGCCCATAGGGGTCAGATCTGGTGCAAACTGAGTGACAGGGCGGACATTGAGCTGAGGAGGTTCAGATGGGGTCATCGGTTGGGGTTTTGGCGGAGGTCCAGGGGGAAGCATATTATCGGCTTCATGGGATTTCTCGTTGACTGCTTCGGCCGCTGCCATTTGTTGCCCTTGCTTCCTCTTGCGCATGAAGAAGAAGATGAAACCCGCAATCAAACCAAGTCCAAGAATCACACCAATTGCAATACCCGCTTTAGCACCCCCGGTAAGTCCCGAGCTCGAATCGGCAGCAACTGGAGAGGCCGATGGCGCGGCTGATTTTTCCAGAGACGATGATCCACGGGTGGTAGTGGTAGTATCCAAACCTGGGATAGTCAGTGACGAAGTCGAGCTAGAGGTGGCCGTGGAGAAGGTGGTCGGAGTGGTGATGTCCTCAGTGTTGTCGGTGGTGATCGCCTTGGTCGCCTTGGTGGTACGTTCAGTGGTCGTGGGTTCCGCTTCGGTGACCGTAGGCTTCGTCTCTTTGGTCGTTTTCGGCTTCGGTTCGGCCGTCGTTGTTTCTTCCTCGGTTGCGGGAGGCCGTGTGTGTCCAACGGGAGCGCCGACACCCTGATTCGGTCGTGTCGCCGTTTCTGCCGGGTCTACGCCCGTTACATAGCCGCCGATAGGACCGTCAAAGGTGGGAGCTGCTGTCACGTAGACGATGGTCACGGCTTCATTCTTGGGATCTCTTTCCTCGAGACTTCGCTCCTCAAGGGCAGCGTGGTGATCGCGATGCGCATGAGCGTGTACCATGATTGCGATTGAGGTTGTCGCTCTTGCTTCGCTGCTGGAAGAGCAATTGGTTCAGACGACAACGACGGAAAGAAGCATAGACTTCTGATGATGATGATGGTGGTGGTATGATGAGATGGTAGGTCTTGCAGAGACCTGATATAATGATAACGAGAGGATGGGATTCTTGCCCATCAAAACAAAAGACCCGACAAGACGTGTCTAGATCAAAGATGGACCCTTAGTTCGTACTGGTCTGATCAAGCAGGCCGCGTTTCAAAGCAAAGGGAGCGCAAGCGCGTCAAGGAATGTGAGAAGTAAAAGAATGAATCTGGGTTATGGAGGGGCTGGCGGACTAGCCACTCAATGAATGAAAGAACCACGAGCTGCCAGGCCGCGAAAGTGTCAAATGAAGGAAGGGATACCAAAACGTGGAATGACCACGAATTGGGAGATGGAAAAAGGAAGAAGGTCGCAAAGGGAAAAGAAGGACGAGAGAAGGAAAGAAAAGAAGCGAAAGACGGCGGATTTGGTGGTGGTGATGGCCCTGAGCGGGAGAGACAGACGCCCTAACTAACACTCAGCAGAGAGCATCAACGGGAATTGCTCTGGGCTGTCTGTACTCTGTCTGTACTGAGTCTACCTGTGTACGGAGTAGCAAAGGGAAATGAGCCACCGTCAATCATTTACCACAAACGGGCGGACGTAAACGAAATGAGATCAGAGCTAAAAATGAGGGGACTGGCCAATCACAAGCAAGAGAGACACGGGCTGGGTCTGACCACACTAACCAGATGGGGCCATCCTCCCTGGTCCAGACCCGCTGTTCGCAGGGTTCTGCCTTTGCTCATTGGCTGATGGGTGTGACGGTGCCTGGTTTCATGACCGTAATGACCAATACGACTCAGCGAGCCGCCATAATCCAGCTCATTATTGTTGGATTCGATCATTTCATGTTTATCATAATTGATTTAAACACAGTTATGTACCAATCACTCTCAGTATTTATGTAGGCACAGAGTAGATATTGATTGTCTGGGATATGACAAGGTGGGAGAATCACAAAATCTGCCTCGTTGACATGCCACATCGAGGAAGGTTTAGCCTTGAGCACGACATGACCGAGTTAATCGAGTCAAGGGGACCAAGCCTAATTATTCGTTCTCTAATAATGCTTCGTACAGATGTCTCAAAATTCCACTGCCGGATACCCAGCATCCATGGGATAAGCAAACTATGGACCTATTCTCAGTCCCTAGATTCTCGCTGTCTACCTTGGGAGTCAGCTTCTTTTCTGCGCACAGCTCATTTTCAAGTAATAATCTTTAATCCTCGCACACTCGGTTGCCTGCATCACTCTGTGCTCTCTACCTAGTCATCACTGTATACCGTAGTTATTTACTCCGTAGTATCAGCATTGTGCTGCGATTTGATGGTCTCGTTATTAGCCAAGCCCCTCTTAATTCTCCGCCATCTCCGGTCGTTCCTAGCGCCATTTACTGGGATGAATATAATCATCCCATTGGGGGCTGAAGGCTGCTTTTCATTCATCTTCTCTGATTCCAATTCGTAATTAGTTATTTCAATACCGTGGATCTTGATTTGTGTGCGCCACGCAGATATCTATTTAAGATGATTCTGACTGCAAGGTGTGATTGTTGCACTGCTGCAGCCACATTTCAAATCGTACTCGCATTCAAGACCGCCGATCCCGTCGGAAATTGCGTTCGCTTACATGATCGCTTATTAGCCATGTGTTCATCCTGTGACGAGTTGTCAGTGCCTCGGTTGCGGTTGGACTAAGAGATCCTGACTAAGTGTACCGAGTAAATTTGAAGGAATCAGTTGCTGGAGCTCAGCCCCAGTCACAATTATGGCTCAACCACTCAAGGGTGTGGCGAGTTGGCAATCATTGTGGTAGTAATGCCGCTTCGAGCCGACTCAAATTTAAAGGCTGAAACACCCGCTGCAGACTGGTGGGCCGCTAGAAGCTTGGCCATGATGATCGCAACATCATCGCGAGATGATGCTGTATCATGTGAGATCATGGCAATTAAACCCCTGGAACAGACTGGCTTCAGGTTGCTGAAAAATATGGATGATTCAAGGCCTGCCACAATATTAGCATCAGGCCGGTCCACTTAGAATGCGTAGCCTACCTCTGCAGCAGACAGCCGTTCACTGCTCTCGTAGCGAACCAGTCTGCTCACGAGATCCCGTCCTTTAGAAGAAGCTCCTCTGAGAATTTCATCCCACGGTTTCGCAGGAAATCGGTAAAACTCGATCTTACCCCAGTCGGGAAGTTTCTCACTCTCCTGTTTTCTATGTTAACCTAGCCCGAACACCAGAGAGGCAGAGCGACTCAATATGGACGGATGACTTACGGGCCAGGTACTCTCATCTGGGGTTCCCAGGGTCTTGAAAATCGACTGAACAAGCGACAGATCACTCCCCACGGGCCCGGAATCAAACAGCTGCTTGTGCCCGACAGCGACAGCTTCGGCCACAACACAGCCAGCGGCCCACAGATCCAAAGCTGTTCCGTATCCCTTGAACCCAAACAGGATCTCAGGCGCTCGATAAGATGTGGTTCCTACATCGGTAATTTTTTTATCAGCCGGCTCGGAGCTCCTGTCTCCTTCTTTCCATGCGATACCAAAGTCCGCCAGGTACGCCGGGCCGTCAGGCGAGTCCAACAGAATGTTAGAGGGTTTGATATCCCGATGAATGATTCCCAGCTCATGAAGGTGTGCCAACGCGCTGAACATATCGTGCAAATGGGCCTTTATCAGCGTTGCAGTGAGCATATCACGGCGGAGCAAATGTTCCATGTCGTATTTTAGATAGGGGAAGACCAGGATGAGTCTTCCTCCGTCAACCTTGAGCGAGTCCAGCAGACTTATAACATGAGGACTCGCGGCTTCTTTCAAAAGTCGAACCTCGCGCTCAGCGTCATGTGGTGGCGTCAAGAGATGGGGAATAGTAACTTTCACCGCAACCACAGCTCCATCCTCACGCTTGGACTTATAGATAGTGGAATGAAGTCCATCAAACACATGGAGACATCCTTTGAACGGACCAATTGCTTCTCCTCCTGTCCATGCACCCTCTTCGGGCTCATGTTGCAACTGGTTTGGACTGCTGATTATTGGAGCTACCGAACCACTGGCCTCTGCGGCATCGATGGCATCCTGGCACATCCTGTCATATTCTTCCTGCAAGATCCTTTATGAGCAGGCGGTTTGATGACCATGGTGGAGAACAGACCTTCGAGGTAGCTTTCTCATAAGCCTCACTTTCGAACCTCTTTGCTTGGGACTGAGCTTCAGCAAAGGCAGCTGAAGACGAAGCTCGCTGATAGGCGGTAGTCCTAGGCTGTAGTATTAGAATTTGCCAAGACCGACGTTCTAGTAGACTGGCCTCGATAATCATAGGCTTACAGAGATTGAATTGCCGTTAATCGATCGGTGAACCCCAGAGCTTTCTTCCAGTCCGATGCAGCCATCTTGTTGGATGTTTCGAATTAGACGCGTGGGGCAGAGATGACGGAATAAACCTGGAGAAGGAATCGAGCTAGTCAAAGGAAGATTGATAACCGGCTCATCGACTACCTGTACTGACAATAAGAACCAGCCTTGTGATGAACCAGCAATGTTCCCTTTTTACTCTTGTCAGTTGTAGCGGCCGCATGGAAATCGATGGAACATGTGACTGTTTCCTTTGCTAATACTAGCAGCAATAATAATCCTGCCTTACGATGCCTGAGGTATACTCGCTAAGCTAGCCTCATCCAGCTAGCCTCGCACCCCCCCAGTCTGATTGACCAATTGCCTCATCCCCTCTGCTCGGCTCCTCCATGATTCTTCCGTGTTGCAACCCCATCGTCATCACATCACATCCATCCCATCCCATCCCATCAAACCGTTCCTCTTCTCTTGTCTGCTCCTTACTCCACTCCGAGTTCCATTGATCGGAGGATTCGGTCTTTTCTGAAAATATTCGGAGGATCTCAATTGCTCCTTCACCCCGTAATTCGGTTTGTGTATTCTTAATTTATCCCTATTATGAACCTTACGATCGCTCCCTTCTGGTACCGTTGATCTATGAATCGGAGCGATGGAGCTCTCACGGCAGGAGTATCCTGCCCTGCTGGTAGGCATAACCCGATCTCGCACACCTTGATCTGCCCCTGCTATGGCAATGAAATTGCAGCAGCTAATATTTTTCAATTTATTCCTGCCTTTAGGCCTCTGTGCAACCCAACCAAGCGATTAACATTCTCAATGATCGCATACGTATCATTAACAAGATTAACGCGGATATCGCGGATTGGCTCCAGGTATGGCTTCAACATCTTAACACAAGTGACAACAGAAGTTTTGGATCTAACTCCTTGTCTTCCGCGCCACAGGAACGCCGCCGAGTTGAAGAAGCTTACGCGCAAGGGCTAAGGAAACTGGCGCATCGACCACAACTTGAGAACGGGGCGGCACTTGGGTAAGCTCGGTTATTTGGAACTGAAGCAGGAAAAGATAAGACTGATTTCAATATGCTTTACGGCACAATAGCATTTTCCAACTACCATGGCAGCGCATCATCAATGCCACCGAAGCCGTTGCCGCATCACACGAAACGTTCGCACAGAAGATTGACGAGGACGTGGAGCGCCCCTTAAGAGAATACAGCAGCAAGAATCGAGAATTAGCATCGATGCCTGGCATCCAAAGTGATCTCGCCGCTTTGGCTAAGAGCTTCGAAGCGAACCAGAAGAAGGTGGAAAAGGCCAGGGAGAAAGGGCCGAAGGGGGCGGAGAAACTGGCCGCTGCCATTTCCGCCGCAGAGGAGATCAGAGAACAATGGGATTCAAGGGCACCTTTTGTGTTTGAGCAACTTCAGGCAGCGGACGAAGGCCGAGTAAATCATCTCCGCGACGCGCTGACTCAATTGCAAACGCATGAATCGGACCAGGTAGAACGGTGTCGCCAGGCTGCCGAGAGCTGCCTAAATGTACTTCTAAATGT